CTTCCTGCATCCTTTATGACAATCCAAATCTTTTACCTCTCCATTGTGTCCAAAATTCACTTTTAAACTACGAGTGATATTCCAATCCTACTAAGGATTTAAACTGTTTACAATGGTCTTTAAGATAAGTTCTAAATGTTCCTCATTCCTTATTGAAATTTTGGTCTTCCTGATTTCTGATTCTTCCGGTGATTTTGGCCATTTTGGCATAATCCGTCAACTTGATCTGCCTGCCTTCTCTGGTCGGGACTTTATCTTCTTCCCATCTCTGGGCTAATAGCATCCGCACAGCTGCGGTCACATACATAAATATGACTTTATTTAGCCCCATCCTTGGTTAAAAAGGCAACCCATAAAAACAATCATTAAAAATGGGAGGGGCCAAGGGCCTGGGCATGAGGCTACTGTAATAAACAAAAATCTGCCCTTATTCCCTTATGGGGGACACAAGAGCCCTTATAGAGTCCTTTGCAGGTTCTCCATCGGTCGGAGAAAAGAACAGAGGCCGGCCAGAGAATATTGAGAAGCAAAGCAGCTAGTAAGCTTGATCTTTATTGAACTGTTGCAACAGGGTGCCCCCTTCACACACAGGAAAAGAGGAGGACCCAGAACCAAGGTGTGCCCGCCCTTATATGGACATTTTAAATTGCCCGCCTTCGAGTCCAAGACCACCCCCAGAAACATCATACCTACATCACAGAAAGGGTGGTCTACAACAGAAATCTGAGTGTGTTGTTTATCTCCTGTCTGGCAGATTACCTGTTAATGCACACTTGATTGGATACCCTGGGGAGCCTGGCCAGTCTTTTGTAATGATAAATACTTAGTTCCTGAGCCAGGTCACAGGCTCACCCTATTCATACACAGACATACCCTTAAGACAGGATTTGTGAACGAAAAGACATTGGGGAGGCTTTTCCATTTTCCTTCGACCTTGCAGAGAAATTATTTGGGGTCAATTTGGGAGGGGCAAAATGGTTTCAGGACTTTTTCTGTGGGGTTTCAGACATGTGGTTTATGTATGCAGTTATGAACATTTATCCTTAATTTTTTTATTTCACTACCATGGTGCCGTGTTGGGGAGCCCAGGATTTAAACTGACGAGTGGCCATTTTGGCTGGAATAGTACGCCCCCCAAAGGTTGTTAGCTGTGTCCCTAAAACACTTCTCTTACTTTCTCTTGCATTTGCAGTCAGAATGCAGAAGAACAATGGGAGAAATATGCATGTCTAGGAAGGCTGTTTGAAGGTGCATAATGCAGTCTGAAACTATGGATCAGGGCTTAGATTGAAACATTTTAAAAGCAGACCATGCTGGAAATAGACATACAGGGCACTGAGCAAATGCCCATATTCCAGGAGGCTGCAGAGCAGAAAGAGGGAAAAAGGAAGCCAGGTGTTTCTATCACGGCTGCTCAGAGCTGCCTTGGGCTCTTCCGCAACTGGCACCTCGCAGCAGCCCTTCCACCAAGCTCCCTGCACTGTTTGCACCCTAACTGGTCATTATAACTTTAAGATCTAGTACCTGAGCTTATTCCTTTCCTCCCCCCTCCCCATTCCCCTTTCCTTTTATGCCATCTATTTTAGATTGTATTTCATTGATCTGGAAGCCTTTTTTTTTGGCTAAACACTTTATAAATAAATAAGTGAATGCACTGTGCATATCCCTAGTATATTCTTGCCACTTTTAGAAAAGCCACCAAAAAAGAAGATATTTTTAGAACTGTCACCAAGGGGGAGGTGGGACAAGGAGTAAGAGCAGGTACAAATAAGCAATGCAGAAATAGCCATGAGTCTAGCAATATTCTTACAGGGCAGCACTGGGGGAAATATCCACATCGGGTTCTTTTCAACTGACTTTACTCGGCGTAGACCTGCTGAAATTAGTGCTCACATGACTAAGGGCTGGTGCATAGGCCAGAGCACTAGTTCAAAACCCGTCTCAGACATTAAATTCACCAGGGGAGACTACCTTAAGGCAGTCAGTGGCACTTCTTAGGATATCTGATCAGAGAGGAGCTGCAATTCACTATGACACAGATGAAGGAGCCCAAGAATTGGAAGGGACTCAGGAGATCATCCACACTGACCCCCCCAACTTATAACAATACAGTTCAGACTGGAATTTTATATATAGTAACAGGAAATTGAAACGGGACCTATCCAGCATTGCATCGTAAGGGGATGTTACAACGTGGAAAGAGATGGGGAAAGAGGGGTGTTCCTTTTTTTAAAAAAGCAACAAACTTGAACCCAGGTGTGCTGAGCCACCAAGACGGCAGAAAGAGAGATGGAAGGTGTTAAGATGTGTCGCCTTCTCTATCGAATAACAGAATAAAGTAATATTCCTTTTGACGAGGAAACATTGCAAGGCGTTGTTTTGACCGAGTAAAAATACACAGCCGTTTCCCCGCCTGTGTTTGTTTACTACAGATATCAAGGTGGTGGCGTAACGGACTAAGACCTGGGAGAGGCCAGGGTTCAAATCCCCACTCAGCCACGAAGCTCACCAGTCGCTGCCTCTCAGCCTAACCTACTCCACAGGGTTGTTGTGATGATGAAATGTATACGGCCTCGAGACCCCTGGAAGATAAAGGTGGTATATAAGTATGATAAATAAATAAATACAGCAAAAAGGAAAAAGAGCCTATAAATCTTTTTTAAAAATTAAAGACGTTCTTTTTTTAAAATATACATTTTTATTGATTTTTTTTAACATATCAATTCCAACAATCATATAACATAACTTCTTATCTTATACAATATTTTAGACTTCCGTCAACACCTCTGATGATTTTTCGTTCTTTATCACTTATTCTGCATTTCTTAATTTCGCAATTACTCTTAATTATCATTAACTAATAACTCTCGCCGTAGTCTTTCTTGCAATATTTCAAATAGTCCTCCTTACAAAACTTCTTTCAGTCCTGCTAGCGTAATCTGTTCATTACAGTTACTTTTCAAATAGTGCGTATATTTACTCCAGTCTTCTAAGAATCTCTGGTCCCGCAGGTTTTGAATCCTTGCTGTTAATTTATCTAATTCTGCATAGTCCAACAATTTCATCTGCCATTCTTCTTTTGTCGGTAACGTTCTGAGGACCTAACTGCATTAAGGGTGTATAGTGCTGTCAGTGGTTGGTTGGTTTCCTAAAAGTTGATATGAGGAGGCGATTTCACAGCAGGACTGAAGTGTCTGGGGAAGAGAAGTGTCATATTTTGTTCCGCAGTCATGGAAGGACACAGAGAGCCCTGAGACAGGCAGCTTGGGAACATGAGGGAGCCCTTCCCAGACTGAGAAGGACCTTGGGCTTCTCCTGCCCTGTTGTGCCTGTGCTTGCAACTCTCTGAGTCCAGCAAAGCCAAACAGGACCTATTGTCTTGATACACCTGTATCGGACATTTCACAGAAACCTTGTCCTGAAACAGTTGCATCAACCATGCACAATCCCTGAGTGAAAATGACAAGGCATTGAGTTCTGCTTCACAGGAACTTAGGCTTACTGTTGTCTGCTTTTTGCACAGCCAGTCAAACAGACAGTGGTTGTACATGTAGCGCACTCCAGAAGTGCCGGTACCATCCGTGGTGTCACTTCCAAAACTAGCATCTGCAAAGATTTCAAGACCTCTAGTCTTCTGACCTGTGAACCTCAGTCTGTAGTGCAGTGCCGTGAGCCCTCGCCATGCGTTCTCTCTAATCACGAGAAGCGGCACAGGCATATCATTGACGTGCGCCAAGCTCAGCAACGGAGCTGCGATGGGTGGGAGACGGAAGGGAGCTTCTAAGTGCAAGGGGGTGTCGGGCGGCAGCTTGTGTTCCCGGTGCTAAAAAGTCCCAAAGGCTGCAACCGTTCTTCATAGGGGAGTTCCTCCACCCAGTGGCGTAGCGGCAGTTGTCAGCTGATGGAGTAGGGCTGCCATATTTCAAAAAGTGAAAATCTGGAAAAAGCTTTTCATTTCCTTTCCTTTCCTTTTGGCCAAAACCCCCCAAAGAACAATAAGATTCAGAATGCAGCAGTCTGATTGGTCCTAGAACAATAGGATTCAGAATTCAGCAGTCTGATTGGTCCACAGGAGCCACCCAATCCAGCTCCAGGTGGAAGTGAATCCGCAACCTGATTGGCCTACAGGCGAATCCCGGAATTAGCCAATCACGTGGGGCCCATTGTGTAAATAATGTATATAAAGCAGACATTCTGGGGGAACTTCCATTCCTCCTCACCACTATGAGCTGAATAAAGAGCATGAAATCCACTCTCGACTCTGAGTATATTTCACGGCACTAAAGTGGGAATGTTAGTCGAGGAATCTGCAGTGACTGTGTGCGGCAGAGGAAGACTCTGGATCAGGCAATGTACTTGCAACGACAAGTCCTTGCGAATAAATGTACGGAGTCCAGCATTTTGTGTGCAATAAAGGCACCAGAACCTTTCCCACCTATATGCATCAAACAGAAAAGCTCGTAAATCTGATTCTGCCCCTCAGGGAGAGGTGGGTTAAGCCTGGGCTTTGGGTTTTTAAGAATTGTGCTTTTTCATTTATATTTTGAGGTCTTATTTATTGTGCACCGCTTTGGACAATGCGTGTGAGTAAGCAGCATTCGCTTAGCTGTGGTTCCTGCATTGCGGGGGCTGGACTAGATGATGCTGTGGGTCTCCTTCAACTCTACAATTCTGTTCTGTACATAAATAAGTACACAGGTGATGAATGAAACTGGTGTGGACATTTATTTCAAAATAAAACAAGATTTCCTTTTGCACCTTTGTCAAAGCTGTAACATTCCAAACTTACATGTTGGCTAAAAGCAACTATTAAAATAATTTGTTAAAAACAACTTGCTACACGACGGGCAGATTCCATCCACAGCGGAGGACCTGTGTGGCTTCATTGATTTCAGAGGGAGAACGGTGAGCAACGCCTTCGTTCCCACCCTGTTACCAATGATGGGCCTTGAAGGTGCTTGGCTGAGCCTGGATCATGCCCAATATCTCTGATGGTATCCCTATACGCTTGAAATATACACAATGTCGTGTTTCTCGAGTAATTTGATGTAGTGTTCCAGCTGCATCATCTCCACCTCCATCTTCTCTTTGCGAAGTCTCCTCGGAATCGAATCGAGGAAAACGGAAAGACTTTGGTATTCGTGGTTGATCTCCTCCCAGTTTTTCTTCAGGCCCTGAGAGAAGGAAGGGAAAAGCAAACTCTAAGCAAACTTATGAAGTATGCAGCAGGAGGATGTCAAAATGTGCTTTATGTGCCTTTGCAGCCAGCAGTGCAGAAAGAAATTTAAAAATGGATAAAATGAATGTATTTATTTCATAAAACATATGCACCGCTTGATTGTAAAAACAAGAACAGCCCTCAAAGCCGTTTTCAAAAGAGACAAAATAATAAAATTATCACTAAGAAAAATTAAGTACGATGATTTAAGATGTTGAAAGTTTTAAGTAATGATAGACTAAAAATAGATTAAGACCGGCATCAACTTTCTAAACATCTGGGTAGCTTGTCTAGACAATAATGTATTAAGCAGGCACCAAAAAGAGGACAGCCTAGGGGTCCGGCTGGTGTCAGGAGGCATAACTTGATAAACTTTTATCAAGTTGCCTCTTCCTCACCTTTTCTCTTAACTAAAAAGCCCCAAACTCTGCAACCATTCCTCACAGGGGAGCCTCTCCAGCCCCATGATAATTTTGGTGCTCCTTTTCTGAGCCAACTTATTTCCCCCCCTGTCCCATCTGATCTGCGTCACCCCTGCGTACCTCCATGATTTTCTCCTTCTCTGCCTTGGAGAGTCTCGTTAGGCCTTTCTGCAGGAGGGCTTGCTGGAGGTAAGCATCGCTCTCCTCCTGAGCCTTCTTGGCGTCCATTATCCGCTTCTTAATGTATTTTGGTGTCACACCAAAATCCTGCAAGGAAAACACACTTGGATGTCCCGAATGATGCACTGCAGAAAACGCCTGAACACCCCCTGATCTCCTCCTCCAAGCCCACAAAGCATGGCAAGAAATTGACCGAGAAAATGTTCACTGTAAGAATAAACAAAGCAACTGGGTAATTTCAAAGGTAAGGATTTGCTGAATCAACAAATTGAACTGGAATACAAAAGAGGGAGGTATGAGGAGGTCCGGGGAAATAAGTATAAGGAAGATAGGTTATGGAAATTTAATGTCCTTTTAATTGTTTTATTTGGTATGTTTTCTTTTATTTTTTACTTTTTTGGTTATATTTTTAAAAAAAACTTTATTCTTTTTCTTTCTGTATTCTGTATTTTTTGTATTTTTTTGAAACTTTAATAAATATCATTAAAAAAAAAAAGAATAAACAAAGCGGCAAATACTTTAGTTTTGGTACTATGGATATATATATGTATGTGTGTATTAATCAATTATTTGCCCAGTGAATCAGATCATGAGCAAAATGCGAATAAAAGAAAAGCATTTAATAATAATAATAACAAAAAAGTATTACTAATACTCCGCCCATCTGGCTGGGTCTCCCCAGCGACTCTGGGCAGCTTCCAACAGGATATTAAAAACACAATAAAACATTAAATATTAATAACTTCCCTAAAAAGGGATGCCTTCAGAAATCTTCTAAAAGTCAGATAGTTGTTTATTTCCTTGACATCTGGTGGGAGGATGTTCCACAGGGACGGAGCCACTACCGAGAAGGCCCTCTTGGGTTAGCGTCTTTAATGAGTCTATGTAAGGCCTCTAGAACCTTAGCAACACATTTTAAATATTATTTTAGCCAAAGCATCCAAGATTTTTAAATGTGCCTAGAGAAGGGCACCTCCAAGGAGGGCTGAGAGAGACCCCAAATCTGAAAATCCTGGAGAGCCTTTGCTGCAAGCCAGTGTAGGCAACACTGGGCCAAATGGTCCAAGAGTCAGATCCAGAAAAAGCAGCTTCCTGCGCTCCTCTGAACCATACCTTTTTGTGGAGGTATCTTTGAATGAGCCCCGAATCATCCAGGAGGAACTTGTCTCCCTTCCGCACGTCCACACATGCCCGGAGGGGCTTCTTGGCCACGGCCATGATGGCCTCGGCAACGTTTGAGGAGATGTAATCCTTCTTGCTTCGGATGCCCATGATGGGGTGGTCGTTCCTCTCGGGCACATTCAGCCCTGGCGGCTTCTTGATGCCTTGGTTCCTTCTTCCTGCATTGTTTTGGAAAAGCCACACGTTTGCAACTGTTTTATCAGCAAAGAACTGCCTTGGGGACCCTCTGGCACCCACCAGGGAAAAAACAAGGTATACAGAAATCAACAACAACAGCACAGTTGCACACTGGGTTCACTTGCAGCCCCAGAAGAAAGCAGAACTTTTCTAGGTAGGCCTGGTCTGGTCCAGTGTCCAGCTTGTTCTCTCAGACCAGATGCAGAATCCTAGAATCATACAGTTGAAAGTTGGAAGGGACACAAAGGGTCAACTAGTGCAACTCCCCGCAATGTACAGAGCATGCAAAGTGGTGGTTGTGGCATCTTTCCCTCCCAAAGACGGTGGTCCTCTCTCAAATGCTTTCCATGAGGATTGGGAGAGACCCATAGCACAGAAGATTTAAATGGCTCTGGAGATTTGTGCTTCCAACGAACCTCACCCCGACCCCACGGTTCTGCTAAAACGTACGCTTTAAGAGCTTGGGTTCGTTGGCATGCTTCCGAAGAAACTCTCTTGGAGTGGGGATGTAGAGCTTGGGGATCCCCATGGTTTTGGAGGGCGCCGTCTTCCTCTCTTGGATTTCGCGTATCACAGTTGGCTTGAAGGTCGACATAAACCTTTCGTTCAAGAGGTAGCGGAAAGAAGCACACCATTTATATTTCAAGAGTCATTGGCCGGCCGTCAGGCAATGTGGGGCAGCTGCCTCGGGTGGCAGGTGCTGGGGGGTGGGGTGGGGTGGTAGTGGGAGTCATTTGGGGCTGAAGTGACTTTAAATAAATAAATAACTAAAGGTAAATAAATAAAGCAAAGAGCTCCCACTACAGTCAACATGACTAGCTTGCCCCATTGATCTCACTAATGCCCACGTTTGACTGACTACGGCTGGATCCAACCCACCAAATTAATTTCCTTTAAAATGATTTGGAGTGCGATGAGAGCCCCTCTGTACTATTTCCCGAGGGGTGTTTGTTTTTTGTTTTTTGTTTTTTTAATTAATGTTTGCTAGTTTGCCCCCATACCTGACCGTCTTGACAGGTTTTTTCTCCTCTTTGGGAATCAGGTTGTAGATAATCTCCTCTGCATAGAAGGCAGTCATCTTCAGGCTTCAGGCAAAAGTCCTGGAGAGAGCTGCATTGAAATTGCACAATGCAGAGGTTTTCAACCTTTTTGAGTCCATGGCTCCCTGGACCAGCTACCTTTCTTTCTGCAGCTCCCCTGTGGGGCTCAGGAGCCCAGTTATGCCACCCCTTATCCGCAGAGCCGGCAGCCCCTCACCCATTTTCAAACACCCTCCCTTGTGGAGTGATTCCTCAGCCTCCTCTCCCCTCTTCTTGGGAGTCCTCTGGGCAGCCGCTGCTGCCGCCCCTGGCCTCTGAGCTGCCCCTGTGCCCCATAGAGAGGTGCCTCCTCACCCTGCCTCACAGGGCCTGGGACTTGTCTGTCCATTCCCAACAGCAAGGGCTGGCTGGCTGGGCTCCCTCGCCCACTTGCTTGCTTACTCTGAAGCTGCCTCAACTCCTGGCAATCAGCCCCCCTGGCCAGCCCCAGAGGCCCCATTCAGCTGGGGAGCTTGTAGACAGGGCTGCTGCAAACAACAGCCACACAAGCCTTTGGGAGGCAGAGACACAAGAGGGCATCCGAGGATGGAGGGAAGGAAAGAGGGAGAGAGGCCAGTGTTGCCAGCGGCACCCTGACCATCATTCAAGGCACCCCAGGGTACCATGGCACACTGGTTGAAAACCCCTGGCACAAGGCATTAGCCGAGGCACAAAGTGGGTAAGGACCAGTTTAGGAGGAGCCTAGCACTGCCTGCTAAAGTGAAGAACGACTCTGGATGAGGTACAAGGAGGTCTCTCCTTGTACAGCAAAACTAAATTGGGTTGAGTAAGTGTTTCCACTTATGGCTGGATGAAGAGATGGTGAGGCGTTAGGGTGGCAGAAGATAGTTGGCCAGAGGATGAAACATCCAAGATGAGGTACCGTATTTTTCTGTGTATAAGATGCCCCTGTGGATAAGATGCCCCCTATTGTTTGGGACTCAAAATTAAGAAAATGCACTATCCGTGTATAAGACGACCCCTTATTTTAAACTTCAAAAATTTAGGAAAAAATATAGTCTTATACATGGAAAAATACGGTATATTCTTTTTCCTATATAGGGAGTTTGTCCTAATGGAAAGCTCTTGCAGACTCCTTGAACTCTGTCCTGCAATGCAGTACTGAATAATGTCTGATCAACCGGGAATATTAGTGTGAAGGCACCATATTTGAACCCCTAAGGGGAAATTTTTGCAGGGGAGGAACCAAACCCCCAGGAGAGAGGACTACTGAATCTTACAAATATGCTCTCTCGGCAGCCAGACTTTTAGATGACAACAACAACAGTGGTTTGGGATTCATTTTCAGGAAGTGATTGTTAGCGCTTGAGAGCCAGAAAACTGAGGGGCACAAATCTATGGTGTAACTCAATTTGGAGTACTGTGTGCAGTTCTGGATATTTTCAAATTCTACAGTATCCAAAAAGGATATTGTAGAATTTGAAAAGGTTCGGAAAAGGGCATCCAAAATGACTGAGCGAGTGGAGCGACTCCCTGAGAGTTGCAGCATTTTGAGTCTAGAGGAAAGGCGAGTTCGAGGCGACATACTAGAAGTTTATAAAATTATGCTTCTCTCAAAACACCAGAACTTGTGGACATGCAGTGAAGCTGAATGTTGGAAGATTCAGGTCAGATAAAAGACGGGACTTATTCACGCAGCACAAAGTTTAACTGTGGAACTCCCTGCCACAGGAAGCAGCCATGGCCACCAACCTGGATGGCTTTAAAAGAGGGTTAGACAAATTCATGGAGGAGGAGGAGGAGGAGGAAAGGGCTCTGGGTGGCTCTGGGTGCAAATCCTGCTTGTCAGTTTCCTTTTGGGGCGTCTAGTTGGGCCCTGGGCAAAGAGGATGCTGGATTAGACGGGTCATTGGCCTGATCCAGCAGGGTCTCCTTAGGTTCTTTTGAGTAGATGATGAACCTGGGACTGTTGTTCTGCCCCCCCTTACACTGATGCTCCCCACAACCTCTCTTCGTAGGGGTCCGCCCTCTCTACTAACCGTTTCCTTATTCTCCATATCATTTTTGTTAAATCTTCCAAAACATTTACTACCATATACATTTTTTTAAACACTAACCGTTTCTGAGCAGATTTGAACAAGCTGGACACCCCCACCCCCCCACAGCTCAGGTCGCAGGTGGCAGTTGGGATTCTGAAGGGAGGGAGGAGGGCCCCCCAGGTGTGCGCAGAGGCTCCGCCCACTGGTCGCATGCTTCTCCCAGGAGGGAGGGGCTTGCCCCCGAGGCGGGCAGTTTTCTTGAGCAAGTCCACAGCCACCCCTGTGAGGGAGGGCAGCAGCTCTCTTTCTTCCGCTTATGGTGGAAACATCACTTCCTATCATATCCATCCTATATTAACTCTCAAAGATGGACAGGCTGCCCAGAGGAGCAGAAAGAGACCCCTCCCCACGGGCTCAGATTAATGGCTTGAACTCAAACTGGTAACCAGACCTCTGAGCCCAGACTTCCTATGCAGACAAGGTCTCACTGTGGCCAGCAATTGTGTTGCAGCATCCCGCACTCGCTACAGCTTCTGGATCAAACACGAGGGAAGCTCCACATAGAGCGCATGGCAGTAACTCAGTCCTGAAGTACTCAGTGCATGAACCACCGTGGCAAGGCTTCCCTGGTCCAGGAATGGCTGTTGGGCCAGTTGTAGCTGGTCAAAGGCCACCTGAACGCAAAAGGTTTAAGACTCGGTAGAGGAGATGAGTTGCAGACCCCATGTGTCCCCGTTCAGCTGAACTCTCTCAGACGCCCACCTGGGATCTTCCCACTTGGCATCCTTTCCCAGGACACTCCATTCCATTCCTCTTCCCACCCACTTTTCCATTTCTTCCCCAGCAGCGACTCAGCCTTCCTGGGCCACTGGGCTTTGGGCTGGTTAGTCTCCCCCAGGAAATATTTTTTCCTGAAAGGTGGTGGGATGTGTACATGTTGTACTTCTTCAATCCTGGGGGTTCCTGCTACCCACCCAAATCTGATAATATTTCTGCTGTTAGCTAGATAAGGATCGGCATTCAGAGAACAAGCTTGCTCTCTCTCTCTCTGTGTACAATCCCTTCTGCTTTCTGTCTTATTCAATAATATACTGTAATTTCAAAACATACCACAGATTGATTGCTCAAATAGACCGCAGCTTCCTCCTTTTTTGGCTTTGCTAACTTGCAGCCACTTTTGTTAAAATAGATATTGTTAAGTAAAATGATGTGCTGTTTCTGTAACTGAAATGCATTAAATTAATGGGCGCGTTCCTTTCTGTGTACTGCAGGCCGATATGGGAACAGGAAATGTAATTTATGAAATTTATGACTTGCTTGCTTGGAAAGTCAGGACACCTCCAAGTGTCCTTATTTTCCAGGGACATCCTTGATTTAAGAGAAGCCATCCCAGTTTCTGATTTGATCCCAGAATGTCCCACTTTTCCTTAGGACGTCCCTATTTTCACTGGAGAAATGTTGGAGGGTATGGAGTTACTCGACCCCCGAGCCGTCTGAGGGCAATCCTGTATAGGGAAGGTTGTTTTTTTAATGTTTAATGTTTTATTATGTTTTTAATATTTGCTGGAAGCTGCCCAGTTTGGCCACCTGACAGTTCTGGATCGCAGCGAGGGGCCCGACCTGATCTGGGGCTGTCTCGACCCAATTTGACCCAAGACCAGATCCCTCTGAACTGGCTCAGGATTTGGGCTGATGGATTGTTGGTGAAGGACCCTGTGTGAGACGCAGAGAAGTAAGGATCTTCCAAGGTGGGAAGCTGGGAGAAGAAAGAGAAGCTCCCAGGTGAGAGTTGGGAGGCTCCACCCCCTCTTGTGTGGGATAAGAGTTAAGATCTACCTGTCAAAGAGGACTTTGCACCTCTCTATCTCTTCTTCTTTAGATCAGTTTGCTTTTCAATGAAATGTAATATGAAAAGTCTGAATAAAACCTTAATTATAAAATACAGGGGAAAGGATTTGGGCTTCAACTGAATGGGTTGCACAGCTCTGCTACCCAGCATGTCCTCCTGGCCCTACTAAAATATCGTGCTGCCTCAGGTGTGGTGGAGACACTCTCTCAGCAGTCAGGCTGGGTTAAGGTCCAACTGCTGGTCCAACTTCTGTATGAGGAACGGATGCCATCTTGTAATTCGCCTCAGGTAGCAAAATGTCTTGCGCAGGCCCTGCTCAGGAGACACTGATGAGACCCTTCTTAAAGAACAGAGTAGCTTTTATTTAGAGGCTGTTTCATGGCACAGCTGCAGGAAGCAGGCAAGGAGCAGTAAAACATGACTCCCCAAACATGGGAGAAATCAGTGGGCAGTTGTGGTTACAGAGTGCAGCGTTCAAAATGCAAAGTGCACAAGACATCTCCGGCAGTCAAGTTTCTCAGCAGTCTCTCAGTGCAGGGAAAGAGGTGGGATCTGGTCCCATCTTGTTGTCAGCCAGCAGAGGTGATCTGGTCATGCCCTAGTTCTGGTGAATATGGCTTCTAGGCATGGATCCTTCCGACTGGATTTCTGATTCAGCTCCAGGAATTCCTTGGCAGGGAACCTCTTTGGCACTGCTGGTACAAAGAGCAATAGAATATGCTCCCCCAAAATACAGATATATCCAGGGTTAAATGCTAAGGGGTGTTTTCAAAAAGAAATTATATCCTACTGGATCTTCAAAAAGACATCTAGATGGCTAGCAATAAGAAAATGAAAGAAAAAATATTACAAGTAATCACACACACAGAGATTCCAATCAGTCGCCAGTTGAAAATATACTCTGGAAACCAAGCCTTATGAGGAACGGTTGAGGGAGCCTTGTATGTTTAGCCTGGAGAAGAGGAGACTAAGAGGAGACAGGAGAAACATCTTCATATCTGAAGGGCTCCAGAGGGTAGGAACCAGACCCATGGATTCAAGTTACCAGAAAGGAGCTCTGACTAAATATTAGGAAGAACTTTCCGATGGTAAGAGTAGTTTGACTGTGGAAGAGACTGCCTCTGAAGGTTGTGGACTCTCCTTTATTGAAGGTTTTTAAGCAGAGGTTGGGTGGCCATCTGTCATGGATGCTTTAGTTGATATCCTGCATTGCAGGCATTGGACTAGATGACCCTCAGGGTCTCTTCCAACTCTACAATTCTAAGATTCTATGGATAAGGAAGAATGGGAGAGAGATCAATCAGGCAGGTCAAAAGCTTGCTAGGACAAAGGGGCCATAAGCAGCTCCTGTCAAGAGCATTCCTGCAACACCCCAAGTTTCCAATCACGTTCCAAAGACTGCTAGGGCAGGCAGATTTACGGGCACATTCTTATGCTGGGGTGGTTAGAAGCAGGCCCCATTCACTTTCCTTATTATTATTATTGGCAGTCATCGGAGGTAATACAAATCCCTGGAGAGAACAGCATTTCACCCAACACCAATTAGACAATTAGACAAAAAAACTATGACTGGGAAGCATTTTGTCTGCAGCAACAAAGGGCTCGTTCACACTTCTGTCTGTTCTGTGCCTGGGAAGCATGGTTCTGAGCAGTTTTCCTCTCATCGCACACTTTCCAGGCACAGCTCCAAGCAATTTTGTCTTTGCCCCACTGCTTACCCCCAGCCTGCTCTTTAGCGCTAAATCAGAACAAATGGCATTCCACGGAAAACCCGATTTCTGTTAGTTCTGATTCAGCACTAAAGGTTTCCCCGAGCGAAACTGGCCGGGCAAATGAAGATGTGGATAAGCTCACCTCACGACAGGTACAAATGTTTCCATAGCCACCTTCACCCAAATACGCACAGAGAGCAAGAGACTCTGGTCTGAATTACACTCATAGAACCTGAGCTCTCTGCTGATAGCCAAAAGCAAACAAAGCGTGCCTGAAAAGCTATATATGATCCCCTTGTTTAAACCAGTTTGGAACAACAGCTGCAATCCCATTTCCTAAGTTTGCCTCCTCGAGAGGCCTTTTTTACTTCAATTTGATCATACAGCTTCTGCTCTCCAGGTAGCAGAGGCTCCTTGTTGGCAATTTTCTGTATCAACTAGCTACTTTCCTCACTTCCTTCAGGGACCGGATTCGCTGCTGATATCCAGGCTTCAGCTCCTGTTCTTCGGACAGGATGAGCAGATCAATGTACTCTGGGGTAGAGAGTGGGCTGGGCTTCAGTGCAATCGCCTGAAGGCGCTGGAGGCTTTGAGATGATTTCTTGATGAGCTCTTCTAAGATGTGTTTCACTTCTTCATATTCCTCATTAAGCTTTTCAAGCAATTTCTCTGTGGTCATCAGCTCACCAGAGGCACGTTCATACTTTTGCTTCAGTTCTTCATAGGTCCTTCTCTCTTTTTTGGTGGTATATTCAAATTTGTATTTCTGATTGTAGTGCACACTCCACTCACACTGGCGCGGACAGACTTTGCATCTTCCTGTGCTGCTATTGATAGCGGCACAACCATGCTTATCTTCATCTCTAGGAATTCTACAAGGATAGTGACAGGTGAAGTGACAATTCATGCAATTAGTTATGTATTTTCCCATGCCAGATATATCCGTCCTTCACTGATACAGTTACCTCTACCTCATATGTAAAGTTTCTGTTTGCCGCCATGTCAACCTTATGCTTGTCCAGGGCTTCCTGCGTCTTCCTCAGTTCTTCCAGCTTGGCCAGTCCAGCTTTGATTTGGGGCTGCAACCCTTCAATAGCAGCTTCAAGCTCTTTTCGCTCCCTGAGCACTTCCTTTGTCAATGTTAAGCTCTTCGCTTTCTAGCGTGTGGGATGAATCAAAGAAGGTCTTCATGCTCATGGTGCCCATTTTCCAAAACATTTTATCAAAATTGAAGTTTCCTCCAGGCTCCACAGGATTGTTGGCAAACAGTGCTGAATTGTTGAATTTGAAGTGCACAGGGGTGTCCTTGGCATCCTTAGCGCATGGTACATTGGCTTCCTCAATGGCCTCGAGAACAGGAGGGGTCTGTCCATCTGCAAATGTGATCAGGACTTGGATGTTGTCCTTTATATCTTTGCCAAAGATGGAGAGCACAGAATCAAAGACGTATCTCTGGGCATGAGTTAAACGAGCAGAAGAGGCCTGGACGACAATACAGATGGCATCTATATGATCAGTGCCCCCCTGGGGAGGAGAAAAACTCCCGGATCTGCTTTGTTATCAACTTGTCATGCTCTATTCCTCTTGTGTCTCCAAATCCTGGAGTGTCAATAATGGTGAGGGAATAGGGGACTTGGAAACCCTTGCAGTGGTGGACAACGTAGGCAGTCACTTCTGATGTTTGGCTTTGAGCTTGGCTTCTGTTGGTATTTTCATGAATAAGTTTGAATCGGAATTTATCTCCCCATTGCACGCCCAGGATGTAGTTGATCATTCCATTGATGAGAGTGGTTTTCCCTGACCCTGTTGCCCCCATCACCATAATCACTTTGTTGGGGATCTGAATGTTCTCTTTCCCTAGCTGGTATGTTAGACAGGATCCAGAGGCATCCTGTATGGGCTCCAGTGGCAGAGCATACACTGCTGGTGGCCCATCCTCCACGCGGGTGCTGCCTTGGAGGTATTGACAAGCTACTCTCTTCTCGTCTCCTTCCAATGATGTGGAAACCTCAATCTCTATGCTGGGCTCACTCTCAGCCCCATCGGCACACATGGCTGAGACTCTGAATCTGTAGGGTGTCTGGGGCTTCAGACCATCCATCTCACAGAACTCTGTTTTCTTCCCTGTTCTTTTTTCAGCCCATTCATCTTTGTCCTTGCTTTTTGCCTCTCCAGCCTCTTCACGGTAGTCCACTTTGTATTCCTTTATAACAGCTCCCTGGCCAATGACCTTTGGGCTCTCCCAGGCTATACTGATTTTGGAAGACTCTGCGATTATCACTCTCAGTTCCCCAGGAGGGCTGGTAGGACGTGTCTGTACAGATTCACTCACGTTGCTGGTCTCACTAAGTCCTGGTTTGCTCCTAGCGCTGTATCGAAACTGGTATTCTGAGTCCGGCCTCAACCCTCTCACTTGGAATGTCTCCTGACTGTCGTCAGTATTCACAATCTTCCAATTTTCTTCTCCTGCAATCTTGTACTCTACTTGATAGCTGGAGACCGAAGCCCTCCCATACTCCGCAGGTTGAAATGTCAGCTGCACACTCTCATGTCCAATTCGGCCAACCAGGGGAGGGAGAGGATTTGAGGGCAGCTCAAAGTTGCTGCTGACCATCTCCCCATCTTCATAGAGGTAAATGGAAGCACCTGGGTTGTTTTGATCTGGGACGGAAGCCACAAGGAACCGGGTTTTCTCATTTGATTTATTGACCCGGGCAAAATGTGTAATGGATTTGGCAGCTTTACGAGCATTCCGATTTGTCTCTTGGTGCTCAAACCAGGCTTTACTGTTCTTGGGTGTCAATTGGCCACTGGTGGAATTTGCTGTTTCCTGAAAAAAATCTTTCTGAAGCCAGTCTTGTAAGGTGGCTAAAAATGGTTCCTCATCATGTAAAGAAGTGAAGGTAAATGAGACAACAAACTCATTCACAGGGTTTAGCACGATTTCTTCCAGTTTGTTCTGGGAAGAGATTACTTCCATTTCACTTAGGATTCTAAGGTAAGAATTCACCAAATTAATCTCTCGTTCCTTGGCATCCAAAAACTCACTGAGTCTTTGGCTGTTGAAGGGAGACTGGTTAATGGACATTAAAATGTCCACCAGAACACTTTCCTCTTTCCCGCCTCCCCGGATCAAAGGCAGGATTCCTGCCAGGTGTTTCTGGAAAGTCTGCCTGTGCTGCTTGCACAGATCCTTGAATCTCTTGATTTTCATCTTGAATTCTGGGAAGTTTTCAGCAACAGGATTCATAGCCAGATCATTACATCGCATGTTGATTTCATTCAGTTTCTCCAAGATAGTTTGAGCATCAAAGATCAGTGCTAAGCTGATCTCACGCACCATCTTAGCTGCTCTGGAATCTAGCTTGGTCAGTGGGTACAGCCAAACTCTGACAGGCACAGCCTTCTCTCCATCCTCCCCGAGCTTTTGGGGCAGATCGCTGTAGACTTTCATGGCATCTTGAAAAGTCACCGGATTACTTTCCAAAGAAAAATCCCCATAGAACTTGCAGCTGAAATTCTCCGTTTGGGCTTTCTCCTTCTCCTCTATCTGGACAGATGCTTCCCCTTTGATAGAGACTGCAATCAAGTTGATCGCAGCGTGGAGGCTTCCTTGTATATCTTGCACAGACTCGGAAGAAGAGACATTTCGGTCAAACACAAAGAAAGCCTGGGCTCCATACAAAATGGCAGTGACAACATGGGTGGCTGTGCCATGGTCGAAAACAGCTGGATAAATGACATTTTGGATTCCCAAATGGCTCATGGTCAGCTGTGAGTACTTGGTGGTAGCTTTGTACTGCAGAGTGACTCTGGCCTGTTTCGTGGACTTCTTGGTGTCTTGGAGGAATTTGCCTGATCCACCCACTTCAACCAATCCCCCCAAAAAACTGGCCTTGAGTGATGCTGAGACATTGAGGGCAGAGGCCTTATCATCGATGGAGTCAGATGCAATGATTTCATATTCAGCCTTGGGTTGAGGTTTGATACACAAGTCCTTCTGAAGTGAGGCCTGGTCCCAAAGGGTGATTCCTGGGATAAAGCAGAGAAATATGCAAGGCTTGAGTATGTTCATACAAATGTAGAACACAATTAGCCTAATGCCTAAGGGTGTACAGAGAAACAAGGAGATAAAATAGACCTATCATTGCCCACAATGTCTGCGCTCATGAATTTTGTCCCACTGTCATCCGCAACGAAAGAGGTTTGTGCAGTTTTGTAAAACTTTGCAAAAGGCAGGGAAAATATTTGACCAGAACATTTCATGAGCTTCTGTTGTACAGGCCTCAGAAACGGGATGGGCACTGGCTCAGCAGCAGGGATAAGATTCAGTCACCACCATTTAGGGCTGTGATCATGTCCTGATTGAGGCCCTAGAGAGCTGGTGCTAGTTGTTGACTGGCACGGAAAAAATGGGTATATATAAGGAGAATTCCCTGGGGGCCAAGATCCAAGTTGGGACAAAACACTTTGGTGAGAGAACCCCAGCAGATTTAAAATCACAAAATATGCAACAAAGCAAAGTGTGGAAATTTAGGCTGTCAGACCTTTAAAATATGTGCTTGTGAGTTCCTTCCAAAATAGTGTCCCCCCCCCAAGCATTGAAAAAGACCACATGTTTGGTAAGTTCGTAATGGTTTACTTAAAAACTCTCCAAAGGTCAGATTCATGTCCTTTTCCATACAGCAGTCAGAAAACACAGGGAGTAAAACTTGGCTTAGTTACAGTGGTGAAAGTTGTTAAATTATTGGCACAGGAACACAACAATGGATTACAGTCCCTCCAGGTGTCCCTATTTTCCAGGGACAGTCTTGGATTTACAGAAGCCATCCCGGTTTCTGATTTGATCCCTGAATGTTCCGCTTTCCCTTAGGCGTAGGACATCCTTATTTTCATCAGAGAAATGTTGGAGGGTATGGAGTTATGTGACCCCTGAGCCAAGGAGAAAAGTAACTAGACAACCTATAGAAGACATCTGAAGGCAGCCCTGTTTAGGGAAGTTTTTTATGTTTAATGTGGTATTTTTCAAGGAAAAAAGAACTCTCCATGAATGCTTCCCTTGTTCTCTTATAATGCAATTGTGCCCACCTGAGAGGTGCCGGAACTGAGTTCTGGCAGGTTCTGGCTGAAAAAAAGTCCTGGTTTTTTTTACCTACAGTAATAATTGTGGAAAGATGTATTCTTAATGGCCTGCATAGGCCTGGTGGACTACAAAGGTTTTCAGCAAGCTTTAAAAAATTGAAACAGAACACACCTGCTGAATCTTTATTGACAGATGTTGATGGTGATGATTTGGGCCAAGACGATGCCAGCAAGGTTAAGGAGCAAAGACGCTATCACGGGCAAGAAGACTTCTTTTTAATAAGTGGAAGCCTTGTCCAAATGAAGAGAACATAAAGGAACACAAACGTTGGCAAAAGAAGACAGTAAGGGATGTTGAAAATGAATTTGAGGAGCACGTTTAGCACTGAAACTGCACTGTTTGGGCCAACTGCTAAGTGTAAGCTCTTCCTTGCACCAGCTCTACCTGGGATGAGGGCATCTTTACGGCAGTCGTACAGCATCCCCAGCTGGAATGGGCGGCCCAGGGCTGGTATTTCAACCGTGTCATCTGATCTGTCCATGGCTCTGGTCCAGGTTGCTCTCCTGCCTTCACCTCCCTGCAAGAAACAAGAGATGTGAAGGACTCTGGAAAGATTATTCGGCATGCAAAGTGTGTGGGGAAAAGAGGAAGATTAGCACTACCATCCAAAGAGGGATGCCAACATGCCTTCAAGACCCCCCCAAAAGGGAGGTGGGAGGTAATGTCACATGGGGGGAATTAGACGGTTGTATGCAGTAGTTGCACATATTCAAGGCAGCTTGTGCAACTGATCTTCTTCTCTCCCATCTACAGCCCCCTGTAGCAGTTAATCTCTATCCAGTGATCCCTGCACCCTGAACAAAGGGGACTGTGTCACACAGAATTGTAGTGGGAGGGAAATCACCCTGAAACTGGGCAAAGGGATCATGTGCCACTGGGGGTTCTGCTTGGACAGGATTCCTAGGCCCAAAGTCAGGTGAATCCCACTGCAGCCCTGTATGGCAGACACGACACTATCCAGGCCCTCTGGAAAGGGTTTGGGTGGGCACAAGGGGTCACAGGAGCTAGAAGGGAAGATCAATATTTTCCATGTACAACCACTGGGTGCTTCCTACACTGAATTTCCGTTTGGCTGAGAATTGTGCCTCCTGAGAACATTTCGGATGGTAGAGAAATATTCTACCACCACCAGTTTTGGCACCACTCTGGCACAGTATTCAAGGAGGCTATCAAAGTGGGGGAACTCATACATGCAGCCAGCCAAATCACACAACAACAACAATAATTATGGCAGGAATCATGACTGATGCTGCCATAAATAACAGCGAGATACACAAAGTAGTATTTGGCAGAAACAAACTGCAGTGGAAGCAGCGCTGATCGTGATGAATACAAGCTGAAATGGAAGTTGCTGCTCTCTTATATTACTCCTTGTGCTGCACCAAGAAGTTCATGGCACAATGGGAGCCAAATAACACGGTAAAGGGATGGTATCCGCAATATACAAAATACTACTCCAAAATCTCACAAACTCCCTAGATACAATCAAAAAACAATGGGAGAATGACATAGGCTATGAGATTAACCCCACTCAATGGACCATAATGTGGTCTAAACCCCCCTTAAAATCCATATCAAAAAAGAAAAGAAAAAAGAATTCAATCTGAAAATCACCTGCAGGTGGTACCTAACACCAAGGAAACTAGCACTAATACGCCCAGGAACCTCACCAAAATGCTGGAGAGGGTCACCTCCACAGGCACATATCTCCACATGTGGTTGGAGTGTCCCAAAATCCAACTATTCTGGACAACAGCCATACGATAAATATGTAAAAATAACCAAGCAAGTATTAGAAATCACCCCAGAATTGGCCCAACTAAACAGCTTCCAAGACAACAATGCCCACTTACACCACAAAGAACTCATAACCCACCTACTCTCAGCAGCCAGAAGCACCATAACCAGACATTGGAGAGACCTGTCAGGAGTAAGCATGGACCAAGGTACCAAATAGTATGGGAAACAGCCTTACTAGAAAAATTTGCCAATAAACTGAAACTGACAGGGGGACAAATAGAAGAAGACACCTTCACCCTGGTATGGCTCCCCTTTATCACATACACAGCCCAACAAGACAATGACAAAAATCCACCGACAGCATACAAATCAATATGGCTAACCTGATCCAAAACACCCACCCACCCCACTCACACATGGAAACAAAGATCACCACGGCCAACCACAAATGAACAGCCACACCCTAGGCCAACCCCAACCTCTCTCACCACCAAAGGAACACAAGTGAGTAGCAGAGAACCTGCACAAGCAACGCTGACACAAAACCCCACATATATTAAGTAAAATAGAAACATCACCACCCGACCCCCACTCACCTTTCCCCCCTCAGCCTCTTTCCCCCTAGTCTTCCTAATCTCTCAACAAATGATTTGGCAGGAGAGTGTGGCTGGAATAATCTTGAAGCTGCCAAAAGGGAGAAGAGCAGGGCCAAAAAAGGCTTTTATGGGTATGTCCGTAGCAAAAGGAAGAACAAAGAAACAGTGGGGTCACTCAGAGGAGAAGATGGTGAAATGCAAACAGGGGACACAGAAAGAGCTGAACTCCTCAATGCCTTCTTTGCCTCAATCTTCTCCGATAAAGAAAACAATGCCCGACCTGAAGAATTTGGAGCAAATGATTCAGCAAAGGAAACACAGCCCAGAATAACTAAGGAGATAGTACAAGAATACTTGGCTAGTTTAGATGTATTCAAGTCTCCAGGGCCAGATGAACTGCATCCAAGAGTATTAAAAGAACTGGCAGATGTGATCTCAGAACCACTGGCAGTCATCTTTGAGAATTCCTGGAGAACAGGCGAGTCCCGGCAGACTGGAGGAGGGCAAATGTTGTCCCTATTTTCAAAAAGGGGAAAAGAGAGGACCCAAATAATTACCGCCCAGTCAGTCTGACATCAATACCAGGGAAGATTCTGGAGCAGATCATTAAGCAAACAGTCTGTGAGCACCTAGAAAGGAATGCTGTGATCACCAATAGTCAGCATGGATTTCTGAAAAATAAGTCATGTCAGACTAACCTGATCTCGTTTTTGACAGAATTACAAGCCTGGTAGATGAAGGGAACGCAGTGGATGTAGCCTACCTTGATTTCAGCAAGGCATTTGACAAGGTGCCTCATGATATTCTTGTAAAGAAGCTGGTAAAATGTGGTCTTGACTATGCTACCACTCAGTGGATTTGTAACTGGCTGACTGACCGAACCCAAAGGGTGCTCATCAATGGTTCCTCTTCATCCTGGAGAAGAGTGACTAGTGGGGTGCCACAGGGTTCTGTCTTGGGCCCGGTCTTATTCAACATCTTTATCAATGACTTGGATGATGGACTCAAGGGCATCCTGATCAAATTTGCAGATGACACCAAATTGGGAGGGTGGCTAACACCCCAGAGGACAGGATCACACTTCAAAACGACCTTGACAGATTAGAGAACTGGGCCAAAACAAACAAGATGAATTTTAACAGGGAGAAATGTAAAGTATTGCACTTGGGCAAAAAAAATGAGAGGCACAAATACAAGATGGGGACACCTGGCTTGAGAGCAGTACATGTGAAAAGGATCTAGGAGTCTTGGTTGACCACAAACTTGACATGAGCCAACAGTGTGACGCGGCAGCTAAAAAAGCCAATGCAATTCTGGGCTGCATCAATAGGAGTATAGCATCTAGATCAAGGGAAGTAATAGTGCCACTGTATTCTGCTCTGGTCAGACCTCACCTGGAGTACTGTGTCCAGTTCTGGGCACCACAGTTCAAGAAGGACATTGACAAACTGGAATGTGTCCAGAGGAGGGCAACCAAAATGGTCAAAGGCCTGGAAACGATGCCTTATGAGGAACGGCTAAGGGAGCTGGGCATGTTTAGCCTGGAGAAGAGGAGGTTAAGGGGTGATATGATAGCCATGTTCAAATATATAAAAGGATGTCACATAGAGGAGGGAGAAAGGTTGTTTTCTGCTGCTCCAGAGAAGCGGACACGGAGCAATGGATCCAAACTACAAGAAAGAAGATTCCACCTAAACATTAGGAAGAACTTCCTGACAGTAAGAGCTGTTCGACAGTGGAATTTGCTGCCAAGGAGTGTGGTGGAGTCTCCTTCTTTGGAGGTCTTTAAGCAGAGTCTTGACAACCATATGTCAGGAGTGCTCTGATGGTGTTTCCTGCTTGGCAGGGGGTTGGACTCGATGGCCCTTGTGGTCTCTTCCAACTCTATGATTCTATGATTCTATGATTCTATGAAACCGATTTGTAAAAAGGAAAATGTTACATGGGGAAAAAATATGAGAGAGAGACATTGCACCTACCTTTATAAATAAAGAAAATCTTTAATAAAAATACGTTTAAAAAAAGAAAATCTTTTGTAGAGGAACACAGAACTGTAGAGTTGGAAGGCACACCCAAAGGTCATCTAGTCCAACCCCCTGCAACCCACAGGTGAAGAATCCCTGACGGAATCTCAACTAAAGCATCCAGGTCAGATGGCCATCCAACCTCTGCTTGAAAACCTCCAAGGAAGGAGAGACCACCACCTAACAACAAGGGAGTGTGTCCCACAGTCGAACAGCTCCTTCCGTCAGCAGGTTCTTCCTAATGCTCAGCTGGAAAGTCATTTCTTGACATTTGAATCCATTGGTTCAGGTCCTGCCCCCTGGACCAGCAGCAAAGAGCCTGTTCCATCTTCCCTGTGTCAGCCCTTCAGGTATTTCAAGATGGCTCTCATATCATGTCTTAGTCTTCTCTTTTCCAGGCTAACCACACCCAACTCCCCCAACCACTCCCCACAAAAGCTTGGTTTCCTGACCCTTCATCATCTTGGTTTCCTGCACCAGCACACGTTCCAGCTTGTCAGTATCTTTCTTAAACTGTGGCGCCCTGAACCTTACAAAGTACTCCAGGTGTGTTGGAAGGGACCCCCTAGAGTAATCTAGTCCAGCCCCCTGCAATGCAGGAATCTCAGTTAAAGCATCCATTTACATTTAACCACTTCCAGTGTCTTTCTTTATTAAGACTTTGACTAGGTTTCCTGTTCATTAAATGTCTCCCAATACCCTTTTCCATCTGTCTGCAAAACAATTCAAGATTAATCCCAATTGCCCTGTCTAGCTGATTCTCTTTTCAGGCATACGGTGCCCACCATAGAGCCCATAACAATTTATTCTTTTCCGTGTTCTGGAACGGACGTTCACTACATGCAGTCCCTAAAAGCAGCTAGTTCTGTACTGTAAAAGGCAGTTTAGCTAGGCCATAAACTCAAAAGTAAATGGAATAATCAAAATGATAGTTTTATGAAATTATATTCTCAAACACACACACACACCCCTGACTAGAAAACCCTAACCAGTTGTAGTGTGGGATGTATTTACACTGGTGAAAGGAAATCTCTCCCTTTCTGGGAAAGGCTCTGGCTGGGGAGAAACCTTCCTTACAAATGGCCTTGACCGGCTGTGAACTTGAGATCCCTGTGCCTTCGCCTCTTTTGCTTTCACTTTACTTGGCAGAGCCCAGTCTGAACTCCCTGCACTCTGAGCACCAGATCCAGCCCCACTTGGAAAAACCAATCAGTCCAAAATGCAGCAGCCAGATTACTGGCCAGGCTATTAATGGGTTGGCAGAAACAGTTTCAGATTTGGCAGGAGAGTGTGGCTGGAATAATCTTGAAGCTGCCAAAAGGGAGAAGAGCAGGGCCAAGCTTACAAGACAAGGCTGCTCATGTTTGTTCCTATTTCTTTCCCTTTTTGTAGAAATTTAGATATCCAAGGAGGGCTTCCTTCAGAGTAGTCTCCTTACCCCACATTCAAGGAGACCAGGGCCACACCTGATGGGGCATTAGGTGCCTCCAGCACCCAGCTGTTCACCCCACCACACCTCAATTAAACAGAGTTCAAGGCACTACACATTTCAGCAGCACAAGAGATCTGACAAGGAAATGGGTTCTGCAATTTGCCACCTGCTCTCAGCCTCTCTTCCTGGGCAGCAGACCTTTCATTCAATCACTTTGCAAGGAGGGAAGATTCCTCCTATAAGAGTAGGGAAAAGCCAAAGGTGTGAGATAGCAGAAGTGGAGTTGGAGCTGAGTTCCACGTATGCTCTGATTGTGCTTGCAGAAACTGGGCAGGATGCCAACCCTTTGAAGATCCCTCAGTTTCTCTTGACACCCCCAGCTTTCCCCCAAGATGAGGCCAAAGGAAAGGTAGGGCAGAGAGGGAGAGAAAGAGATCTGATGCAGGTCTCCCCCAAATTGCGAGGATTAAGAGCAATCTCACACATGTGGCAGTCTTAAAATAAGCGAAAGGGGCAGAGAGTAGAGGTGCTCAGCATCTTAGGAAGGTGCCATATCCTGAGTCAGGGCAGGGGTCCCCCTAGTCCCACCCCAAAGCCCAGGAGAGCCTTGCGCTGCAGCCTTCATTCCTTTGCTCCAAGTCTGGGCCAAATCAGGATGGATTGGTGGCCTTTCCAAAGAGCCAGAGAGCAGGAGGCGAGGGCATCATCAGCGCAAGATCCCGTCACAAAGTCCCCTCTGCAGTATGCCACCTGGAACGGTTTGCAGCAGCCATGCAAAAGAAGCCTTTGACAACAAAAGAAGCCGCGACAACGTCTAATGTGCAAACGCGTCTTACCAGAAACGTGGAAAACGGATGAATCTTGCCTCCAAGTGGCTCTCTTTCTTGAGTTTGTCTCGACTTGCGTTGGTCCCCTCTTAAAGCACAAGTCTGCTTCAGGCACAGAGGCCACTTCTCCTCTTATCTATTCGGGAGTCACAAGGTGCAAGGAGAAAAACATCACTTTCAGGGGGATAAGGAAGTTGCGAGATAGTGGGAACCCATTTCCACTCGTCAGCATTTCACTCCAAAAAGGCTCTTCAGCAGTGCATCGCAGAGTTGGAAGGGACCCCAAGGGCCATCTAGTCCAACCCCCTCCATCGGCCTCCCCACAAGTCGGATCCATGCAGAATCAAGGTCCTTAGTTGCACAACCCTCCCTTTCCTGGTATCCGGACCCAAAATGGATCCATGGAAGCCGGTTGGCTTCATACAGCAGGGATTGACATCACGGGGGATCTGTTCTTCCCCCGGGGCTTTTGGGAAAGAGGTTGTCAGCAGGGCCTCCATCTTGGCCTCAGACATGTGGGCTCTTGGCGGTAGAGGAAGGTTTCCCTCGACATCATATATACTGAGCCACAACCAGCCTCAATTTATATGAGATTAGGAGAGATGAAGCCTTCTGGAGCAAAAGCAGTCGACCCCGGCAGAACTGCCCTGAGATGTTTGGGTGAAGGGCAATATACAAACAACCGCAATAAATATTATCTTCCATTTTTATGCACTGTGGCAGCAGCAGGGCCATGCTCTGGGGGAACCCGCCAAACCCCTCACAGATGAAGGAGGAAATTCTGTGTATTCAGGGGGTGGAAGAGCTGACAGGAATTTGCCTCCCGGTATAAATGTGATGGGGCTGTCCCCTCAGGCAGGCGTGGGGAACCTTTGCCCTCCTGAGGCTGCTGAACTACAACTCCCACCACCAGGCGCTTTGGCCAGGCTAGCTGGGGCCGGTGGGAGTTGCAGTTTGGCAGCATCTTTTGCGCCCAAAATCCCCCCCGCCTGCCCCAGGGCTTTTGAACTCCTCATGATGAACTCCCCTCACAAATCTTATTTATTTGACTGGCCAAAGGCTCTTCCGATGCTGGAGGGAAACATTTTGAACCTGCTGTTCTGGTGGCCTCAAGAAAAAGAGCGGGAAAATCCTAGCTGTTTCTGAGGGGAAAGCGTCTAAATTTCTCCTCAGAACCAGTCCTCAAACTGTAGCCTTTTTAGGCCCTTTAAACCATGGGTAGGAAAAATGTTGCACCCGAGCTGGGACGAAAAGGAGCCAAACGACACCAAGGGGTTAAATCCAGAGAAAGCGCTTTATTCTGCCATCCCGGGTGGGCAGAGGAGCAAGTGTGATAAGTCACAAACAAGCACGAAGTTCAAAGGCATTGCACAGAGTTTATATCCCCCTTTCTAGTCCCCCCCCTTCTTCAAGAGTCCTGCCCAGGAGTTCCTCTGAGCATGAACAGAAAGCTGTCTTGGGACCATTTTTGGACTTTTCCCAGGAAGGGGGTGAGAGGGTTTTCAGAGTGTTCCCGTTGTTTCATTCTGGTGCTCTGGCATGGTTCCCGGACAGAAAGCAAGTTGCAAGGTGGTTCTTTAGCAAGGCCAAAGGCTCTGAGAAAGGCCTGAGAAGACAAGGGGCTCTGTTCTCTACCTGGTTGCAATCTTTTTTTTAGTTACAGCAAGCGCGGAGTGCTTGGCTAATGCATTTTGTCTTAGAGGAAAATGCAGTTTTAAAATGCTCGAGGCGAGGCTTTTGAGGCCTGGCTGGGGGGAGAATTTGCAGACAGTTTTTAGGGTAACCCTAACTGTACCCCTTCAAAACTGCTTAGGGCAATACACTCCTTTTGCTTCTGAGGGGGGAGAGAAACTTGCACAGCCAGCTTCTAGGTTAACAATGTTTGTTCAGCGATTTCTGTCCATCCTGCAGCCTTTGCACAAAACTCAAGAGCACCACTCCTTAATTCTTGGGACTCTGAGCCTGTAAAAGCGATGAGGAAGGAGATACGCTGCCTTTCACTTTTCATAATATCCCTTCTGAGCGTTCGGTGCAATCTCTCAGATCCCTGACTAGCACCCTTTTTATGAAGCTGAAAAGCTCCGGGTGAAGGGACTTAATTTCACTGTCATCAAGGGACAGGAGGAGGAAAACTCGGCCTATTTGGGGCACGTATTCCTGCCCCCCTCAGCGCCCTCTTGGCTCTGGTCGCCATTTCACGCATCAGAAGTGTGGGGCTGAATTGATGCTGCACCAAAATGGCTGCCCTGTCGGGGAAGGCTTTTCCAGAGGGGCTTCCACAGAGGAGTCAGGAACCCCCAAGCCCACTCCCCAAAGTGGCCCTTCCTGGCAAGCGGAGGGAGGCTGTTTCCCCCACCATGCCGGCCTCACAAAATGGAGCCTGGGGGCGCATTGCCTGTCGTGTGGCCCCAGGCTGAGGGGAGAGAAGAGGAGGCTGAGGGGATCCTCCCGCCTGGCCATGGCCTTACGAAGAACAGTGGCAGGATTTGGCCTGCAGAGCAGTGCCATAAGAATGGTGGGGAGGGCAGAGGGGACCCTCCGGGGGGGGGATGCCCCCCACCGCTCACTCCACCCTGAACTCTGCTGACTTGGCCTTGGGCACGATGCCCATCACAAGGTGGATATTGCGGTTCTAACGGGGGTCGCCCCCCATTTCCTGCCTGCACCCCTCTCCCATTGTACAGGCTCCCGAGACGGAGTCGGCACAGGAGACTATGGGGCAACCAAGCCCCGTATCTCCCCCTTAAATAGGTTTGTGAGCTGTGGTGGGTCCTCAGATCCGCCCTTGGCTTTCCTCTGACTCCAGGATGATCTGGCATTATTAGATATATAATAGATATTTAAAAATCTGTTGGAGGTCTGGCTGTGTCAGAGCATTGTGTGGGGCTCTTCTCTCCCATTCGTGACTAACTCTGCCTTCCCTCAGGAGACACGGGGGGGGGGCATTACTGTGCCCCTCAATATAGGAGGAGAAAGAACGCTAAAAAATATCCAAATTCATTTCCTCAATTCAGAAATAATAACCGTAGGCATATAGGTTTTGAACACACCTTCAAAAAGTCTAATTATTTTTGCAGGATTTTCCTTGAAAGGATTTTGCTTTTTCATTTATATTTTGAGGTCTTATTTATTGTGCGCCGCTTTGGACAATGCGTGTGAGTAAGCAGCATTCGCTTAGCTGTGGTTCCTGCATTGCGGGGGCTGGACTAGATGATGCTGTGGGTCTCCTTCAACTCTACAATTCTGTTCTGTACATAAATAAGTACACAGGTGATGAATGAAACTGGTGTGGACATTTATTTCAAAATAAAACAAGATTTCCTTTTGCACCTTTGTCAAAGCTGTAACATTCCAAGCTTACATGTTGGCTAAAAGCAACTATTAAAATAATTTGTTAAAAACAACTTGTTACACGACGGGCAGATTCCATCCACAGCGGAGGACCTGTGTGGCTTCATTGATTTCAGAGGGAGAACGGTGAGCAATGCCTTCGTTCTCACCCTGTTACCAATGATGGGCCTTGAAGGTGCTGGACTGAGCCTGGATCATGCCCAATATCTCAGATGGTATCCCTATACGCTTGAAATATACACAATGTCGTGTTTCTCGAGTAATTTGATGTAGTGTTCCAGCTGCATCATCTCCACCTCCATCTTCTCTTTGCGAAGTCTCCTCGGAATCGAATCGAGGAAAACGGAAAGACTTTGGTATTCGTGGTTGATCTCCTCCCAGTTTTTCTTCAGGCCCTGAGAGAAGGAAGGGAAAAGCAAACTCTAAGCAAACTTATGAAGTATGCAGCAGGAGGATGCCAAAATGTGCTTGATGTGCCTTTGCAGCCAGCAGTGCAGAAAGAAATTTAAACATGGATAAAATGAATGTATTTATTTCATAAAACATATGCACCGCTTGATTGTAAAAACAAGAACAGCCCTCAAAGCCGTTTTCAAAAGAGACAAAATAATAAAATTATCACTAAGAAAAATTAAGTACGATGATTTAAGATGTTGAAAGTTTTAAGTAATGATAGACTAAAAATAGATTAAGACCGGCATCAACTTTCTAAACATCTGGGTAGCTTGTCTAGACAATAATGTATTAAGCAGGCACCAAAAGAGGACAGCCTAGGGGTCCGGCTGGTGTCAGGAGGCATAACTTGATAAACTTTTATCAAGTTGCCTCTTCCTCACCTTTTCTCTTAACTAAAAAGCCCCAAACGCTGCAACCATTCCTCACAGGGGAGCCTCTCCAGCCCCATGATAATTTTGGCGCTCCTTTTCTGAGCCAACTTATTTCCCCCCCTGTCCTGTCTGATCTGCGTCACCCCTGCGTACCTCCATGATTTTCTCCTTCTCTGCCTTGGAGAGTCTCGTCAGGCCTTTCTGCAGGAGGGCTTGCTGGAGGTAAGCATCGCTCTCCTCCTGAGCCTTCTTGGCGTCCATTATCCGCTTCTTAATGTATTTTGGTGTCACACCAAAATCCTGCAAGGAAAACACACTTGGATGTCCCGAATGATGCACTGCAGAAAACGCCTGAACACCCCCTGATCTCCTCCTCCAAGCCCACAAAGCATGGCAAGAAATTGACCGAGAAAATGTTCACTGTAAGAATAAACAAAGCAACTGGGTAATTTCAATGGTAAGGATTTGCTGAATCAACAAATTGAACTGGAATACAAAAGAGGGAGGTATGAGGAGGTCCGGGGAAATAAGTATAAGGAAGATAGGTTATGGAAATTTAATGTCCTTTTAATTGTTTTATTTGGTATGTTTTCTTTTATTTTTTACTTTTTTGGTTATATTTTTTAAAAAAACTTTATTCTTTTTCTTTCTGTATTCTGTATTTTTTGTATTTTTTTGAAACTTTAATAAATATCATTAAAAACAAAAAAGAATAAACAAAGCGGCAAATACTTTAGTTTTGGTACTATGGATATATGTATGTATGTATTAATCAATTATTTGCCCAATGAAGCATATCATTAGCAAAACGCGAAGCACAGAAAACCATTTAATAATAATAATAATAATAATAATAATAATAATAACAAAAAATTATACTCCGCCCATCTGGCTGGGTCTCTCCAGCCACTCTGGACAGCTTCCAACAGGATATTAAAAACACAGTAAAACATTAAATATTAATAACTTCCCTAAAAAGGGATGCCTTCAGAAATCTTCTAAAAGTCAGATAGTTGTTTATTTCCTTGACATCTGGTGGGAGGATGTTCCACAGGGACGGAGCCACTACCGAGAAGGCCCTCTTGGGTTAGCGTCTTTAATGAGTCTATGTAAGGCCTCTAGAACCTTAGCAACACATTTTAAATATTATTTTAGCCAAAGCATCCAAGATTTTTAAATGTGCCTAGAGAAGGGCACCTCCAAGGAGGGCTGAGAGAGACCCCAAATCTGAAAACCCTGGAGAGCCTTTGCTGCAAGCCAGTGTAGGCAACACTGGGCCAAATGGTCCAAGAGTCAGATCCAGAAAAAGCAGCTTCCTGCGCTCCTCTGAACCATACCTTTTTGTGGAGGTATCTTTGAATGAGCCCCGAATCATCCAGGAGGAACTTGTCTCCCTTCCGCACGTCCACACATGCCCGGAGGGGCTTCTGGCCACGGCCATGATGGCCTCGGCAACGTTTGAGGAGATGTAGTCCTTCTTGCTTCGGATGCCCATGATGGGGTGGTCGTTCCTCTCGGGCACATTCAGCCCTGGCGGCTTCTTGATGCCTTGGTTCCTTCTTCCTGCATTGTTTTGGAAAAGCCACACGTTTGCAACTGTTTTATCAGCAAAGAACTGCCTTGGGGACCCTCTGGCACCCACCAGGGAAAAAACAAGGTATACAGAAATCAACAACAACAGCACAGTTGCACACTGGGTTCACTTGCAGCCCCAGAAGAAAGCAGAACTTTTCTAGGTAGGCCTGGTCTGGTCCAGTGTCCAGCTTGTTCTCTCAGACCAGATGCAGAATCCTAGAATCATACAGTTGAAAGTTGGAAGGGACACAAAGGGTCAACTAGTGCAACTCCCCGCAATGTACAGAGCATGCAAAGTGTTGGTTGTGGCATCTTTCCCTCCCAGAGACGGTGGTCCTCCCTCAAATGCTTTCCATGAGGATTGGGAGAGACCCATAGCACAGAAGATTTAAATGGCTCCGGAGATTTGTGCTTCCAACGAACCTCACCCCGACCCCACGGTTCTGCTAAAACGTACGCTTTAAGAGCTTGGGTTCGTTGGCATGCTTCCGAAGAAACTCTCTTGGAGTGGGGATGTAGAGCTTGGGGATCCCCATGGTTTTGGAGGGCGCCGTCTTCCTCTCTTGGATTTCGCGTCTCACAGTTGGCTTGAAGGTCGACATAAACCTTTCGTTCAAGAGGTAGCGGAAAGAAGCACACCATTTATATTTCAAGAGTCATTGGCCGGCCGTCAGCCAATGTGGGGCAGCTGCCTCGGGTGGCAGGTGCTGGGGGGTGGGGTGGGGTGGTAGTGGGAGTCATTTGGGGCTGAAGTGACTTTAAATAAGTAAATAACTAAAGGTAAATAAATAAAGCAAAGAGCTCCCACTACAGTCAACATGACTAGCTTGCCCCATTGATCTCACTAATGCCCACGTTTGACTGACTACGGCTGGATCCAACCCACCAAATTAATTTCCTTTAAAATGATTTGGAGTGCGATGAGAGCCCCTCTGTACTATTTCCCGAGGGGTGTTTGTTTTTGTTTTAATTAATGTTTGCTAGTTTGCCCCCATACCTGACCGTCTTGACAGGTTTTTCCTCCTCTTTGGGAATCAGGTTGTAGATAATCTCCTCTGCATAGAAGGCAGTCATCTTCAGGCTTCAGGCAAAAGTCCTGGAGAGAGCTGCATTGAAATTGCACAATGCAGAGGTTTTCAACCTTTTTGAGTCCATGGCTCCCTGGACCAGCTACCTTTCTTTCTGCAGCTCCCCTGTGGGGCTCAGGAGCCCAGTTATGCCACCCCTTATCCGCAGAGCCGGCAGCCCCTCACCCATTTTCAAACACCCTCCCTTGTGGAGTGATTCCTCAGCCTCCTCTCCCCTCTTCTTGGGAGTCCTCTGGGCAGCCGCTGCTGCCGCCCTGGCCTCTGAGCTGCCCCTGTGCCCCATAGAGAGGTGCCTCCTCACCCTGCCTCACAGGGCCTGGGACTTGTCTGTCCATTCCCAACAGCAAGGGCTGGCTGGCTGGGCTCCCTCGCCCACTTGCTTGCTTACTCTGAAGCCGCCTCAACTCCTGGCAATCAGCCCCCCTGGCCAGCCCCAGAGGCCCCATTCAGCTGGGGAGCTTGTAGACAGGGCTGCTGCAAACAACAGCCACACAAGCCTTTGGGAGGCAGAGACACAAGAGGGCATCCGAGGATGGAGGGAAGGAAAGAGGGAGAGAGGCCAGTGTTGCCAGCGGCACCCTGACCATCATTCAAGGCACCCCAGGGTACCATGGCACACTGGTTGAAAACCCTGGCACAAGGCATTAGCCGAGGCACAAAGTGGGTAAGGACCAGTTTAGGAGGAGCCTAGCACTGCCTGCTAAAGTGAAGAACGACTCTGGATGAGGTACAAGGAGGTCTCTCCTTGTACAGCAAAACTAAATTGGGTTGAGTAAGTGTTTCCACTTATGGCTGGATGAAGAGATGGTGAGGCGTTAGGGGGGCAGAAGATAGTTGGCCAGAGGATGAAACATCCAAGATGAGGTACCGCATTTTTCTGTGTATAAGATGCCCCTGTGGATAAGATGCCCCCTATTGTTTGGGACTCAAAATTAAGAAAATGCACTATCCGTGTATAAGACGACCCCTTATTTTAAACTTCAAAAATTTAGGAAAAAATATAGTCTTATACATGGAAAAATACGGTATATTCTTTTTCCTATATAGGGAGTTTGTCCTAATGGAAAGCTCTTGCAGACTCCTTGAACTCTGTCCTGCAATGCAGTACTGAATAATGTCTGATCAACCAGGAATATTAGTGTGAAGGCACCATATTTGAACCCCTAAGGGGAAATTTTTGCAGGGGAGGAACCAAACCCCCAGGAGAGAGGACTACTGAATCTTACAAATATGCTCTCTCGGCAGCCAGACTTTTAGATGACAACAACAACAGTGGTTTGGGATTCATTTTCAGGAAGTGATTGTTAGCGCTTGAGAGCCAGAAAACTGAGGGGCACAAATCTATGGTGTAACTCAATTTGGAGTACTGTGTGCAGTTCTGGATATTTTCAAATTCTACAATATCCAAAAAGGATATTGTAGAATTTGAAAAGGTTCGGAAAAGGGCATCCAAAATGACTGAGCGAGTGGAGCGACTCCCCTGAGAGTTGCAGCATTTTGAGTCTAGAGGAAAGGCGAGTTCGAGGCGACATGCTAGAAGTTTATAAAATTATGCTTCTCTCAAAACACCAGAACTTGTGGACATGCAGTGAAGCTGAATGTTGGAAGATTCAGGTCAGATAAAAGACGGGACTTATTCACGCAGCACAGAGTTTAACTGTGGAACTCCCTGCCACAGGAAGCAGCAATGGCCACCAACCTGGATGGCTTTAAAAGAGGGTTAGACAAATTCATGGAGGAGGAGGAGGAGGAGGAGGAGGAGGAAAGGGCTCTGGGTGGCTCTGGGTGCAAATCCTGCTTGTCAGTTTCCTTTTGGGGCGTCTAGTTGGGCCCTGGGCAAAGAGGATGCTGGATTAGACGGGTCATTGGCCTGATCCAGCAGGGTCTCCTCAGGTTCTTTTGAGTAGATGATGAACCTGGGACTGTTGTTCTGCCCCCCCTTACACTGATGCTCCCCACAACCTCTCTTCGTAGGGGTCCGCCCTCTCTACTAACCGTTTCCTTATTCTCCATATCATTTTTGTTAAATCTTCCAAAACATTTACTACCATATACATTTTTTTAAACACTAACCGTTTCTGAGCAGATTTGAACAAGCTGGACACCCCCACCCCCACAGCTCAGGTCGCAGGTGGCAGTTGGGATTCTGAAGGGAGGGAGGAGGGCCCCCAGGTGTGCGCAGAGGCTCCGCCCACTGGTCGCATGCTTCTCCCAGGAGGGAGGGGCTTGCCCCCGAGGCGGGCAGTTTTCTTGAGCAAGTCCACAGCCACCCCTGTGAGGGAGGGCAGCAGCTCTCTTTCTCCCGCTTATGGTGGAAACATCACTTCCTATCATATCCATCCTATATTAACTCTCAAAGATGGACAGGCTGCCCAGAGGAGCAGAAAGAGACCCCTCCCCACGGGCTCAGATTAATGGCTTGAACTCAAACAGGTAACCAGACCTCTGAGCCCAGACTTCCTATGCAGACAAGGTCTCACTGTGGCCAGCAATTGTGTTGCAGCATCCCGCACTCGCTACAGCTTCTGGATCAAACACGAGGGAAGCTCCACATAGAGCGCATGGCAGTAACTCAGTCCTGAAGTACTCAGTGCATGAACCACCGTGGCAAGGCTTCCCTGGTCCAGGAATGGCTGTTGGGCCAGTTGTAGCTGGTCAAAGGCCACCTGAACGCAAAAGGTTTAAGACTCGGTAGAGGAGATGAGTTGCAGACCCCATGTGTCCCCGTTCAGCTGAACTCTCTCAGACGCCCACCTGGGATCTTCCCACTTGGCATCCTTTCCCAGGACACTCCATTCCATTCCTCTTCCCACCCACTTTTCCATTTCTTCCCCAGCAGCGACTCAGCCTTCCTGGGCCACTGGGCTTTGGGCTGATTAGTCTCCCCCAGGAAATATTTTTTCCTGAAAGGTGGTGGGATGTGTACATGTTGTACTTCTTCAATCCTGGGGCTTCCTGCTACCCACCCAAATCTGCTAATATTTCTGCTGTTAGCTAGATAAGGATCGGCATTCACAGAACAAGCTTGCTCTCTCTCTCTGTGTACAATCCCTTCTGCTTTCTGTCTTATTCAATAATACACTGTAATTTCAAAACATACCACAGATTGATTGCTCAAATAGACCGCAGCTTCCTCCTTTTTTGGCTTTGCTAACTTGCAGCCACTTTTGTTAAAATAGATATTGTTAAGTAAAATGATGTGCTGTTTCTGTAACTGAAATGCATTAAATTAATGGGCGCGTTCCTTTCGTGTACTGCAGGCCGATATGGGAACAGGAAATGTAATTTATGAAATTTATGACTTGCTTGCTTGGAAAGTAAGGACACCCTCCAAGTGTCCTTATTTTCCAGGGACATCCTTGATTTAAGAGAAGCCATCCCAGTTTCTGATTTGATCCCAGAATGTCCCACTTTTCCTTAGGACGTCCCTATTTTCACTGGAGAAATGTTGGAGGGTATGGAGTTACTCGACCCCCGAGCCGTCTGAGGGCAATCCTGGATAGGGAAGGTTGTTTTTTAATGTTTAATGTTTTATTATGTTTTTAATATTTGCTGGAAGCTGCCCAGTTTGGCCACCTGACAGTTCTGGATCGCAGCGAGGGCCCGACCTGATCTGGGGCTGTCTCGACCCAATTTGACCCAAGACCAGATCCCTCTGAACTGGCTCAGGATTTGGGCTGATGGATTGTTGGTGAAGGACCCTGTGTGAGACGCAGAGAAGTAAGGATCTTCCAAGGTGGGAAGCTGGGAGAAGAAAGAGAAGCTCCCAGGTGAGAGCTGGGAGGCTCCACCCCCTTCTGTGTGGGATAAGAGTTAAGATCTACCTGTCAAAGAGGACTTTGCACCTCTCTATCTCTTCTTCTTTAGATCAGTTTGCTTTTCAATGAAATGTAATATGAAAAGTCTGAATAAAACCTTAATTATAAAATACAGGGGAAAGGATTTGGGCTTCAGCTGAATGTGGTGCCCAGCTCTGCTACCCAGCATGTCCTCCTGGCCCTACTAAAATCTCGTGCTGCCTCAGGTGTGGTGGAGACACTCTCTCAGCACTCAGGCTGGGTTAAGGTCCAACTGCTGGTCAAACTTCTGTATGAGGAACGGATGCCATCTTGTAATTCGCCTCAGGTAGCAAAATGTCTTGCGCAGGCCCTGCTCAGGAGACACTGATGAGACCCTTCTTAAAGAACAGAGTAGCTTTTATTTAGAGGCTGTTTCATGGCACAGCTGCAGGAAGCAGGCAAGGAGCAGTAAAACATGACTCCCCAAACATGGGAGAAATCAGTGGGCAGTTGTGGTTACAGAGTGCAGCGTTCAAAATGCAAAGTGCACAAGACATCTCCGGCAGTCAAGTTTCTCAGCAGTCTCTCAGTGCAGGGAAAGAGGTGGGATCTGGTCCCATCTTGTTGTCAGCCAGCAGAGGTGATCTGGTCATGCCCTAGTCGCCTTCTGGTGAATATGGCTTCTAGGCATGGATCCTTCAGACTGGATTTCTGATTCAGCTCCAGGAATTCCTTGGCAGGGAACCTCTTTGGCACTGCTGGTACAAAGAGCAATAGAATATGCTCCCCCAAAATACAGATATATCCAGGGTTAAATGCTAAGGAGTGTTTTCAAAAAGAAATTATATCCTATTGGATCTTCAAAACGACATCTAGATGGCTAGCAATAAGAAAATGAAAGAAAAAATATTACAAGTAATCTCACACAAACAGAGATTCCAATCAGTCGCCAGTTGAAAATATACTCTGGAAACCAAGCCTTATGAGGAACGGTTGAGGGAGCTGGGTATGTTTAGCCTGGAGAAGAGGAGACTAAGAGGAGACAGGAGAAACAGCTTCATATCTGAAGGGCTCCAGAGGGTAGGAACCAGACCCATGGATTCAAGTTACCAGAAAGGAGCTCTGACTAAATATTAGGAAGAACTTTCCAATGGTAAGAGTAGTTTGACTGTGGAAGAGGCTGCCTCTGAAGGTTGTGGACTCTCCTTTATTGAAGGTTTTTAAGCAGAGGTTGGGTGGCCATCTGTCATGGATGCTTTAGTTGATATCCTGCATTGCAGGCATTGGACTAGATGACCCTCAGGGTCTCTTCCAACTCTACAATTCTAAGATTCTATGGATAAGGAAGAATGGGAGAGAGATCAATCAGGCAGGTCAAAAGCTTGCTAGGACAAAGGGGCCATAAGCAGCTCCTGTCAAGAGCATTCCTGCAACACCCCAAGTTTCCAATCACGTTCCAAAGGCTGCTAGGGCAGGCAGATTTATGGGCACATTTTTATGCTGGGGTGGTCAGAAGCAGCACTTCCATATGAGGCCCCATTCACTTTCCCGATTATTATTATTATTGGCAGTCATTGGAGATAATACAAATCCCTGGAGAGAACAGCATTTCACCCAGCACCAATTAGACAATGAGCAGGTAGGAACAATGACTGGGCATTTTGTCTGCAGCAACAAAGGGCTCGTTCACACTTCTGTCTGTTCCGTGCCTGGGAAGCATGGTTCCAAGCAGTTTTCCTCTCGTCTCACACTTTCCAGGCACAGCTCCAAGCAATTTTGTCTTTGCCCCACTGCTTACCCCCAGCCTGCTCTTTAGCGTTAAATCAGAACAAATGGCATTCCACGGAAAACCCGATTGCTGTTAGTTCTGATTCAGCACTAAAGGTTTCCCCGAGCGAAACTGGCCGGGCAAATGAAGATGTGGATAAGCTCACCTCACGACAGGTACAAATGTTTCCATAGCCACCTTCACCCAAATACGCACAGAGAGCAAGAGACTCTGGTCTGAATTACACTCACAGAATCTGAGCTCTCTGCTGATAGCGAAAAGCAAACAAAGCATGCCTGAAAAGCTATATATGATCCCCTTGTTTAAACCAGTTTACAACAGCTGCAATCCCTTTCTTAATTTTGCCTCCTAGAGAGGACTTTTTTTCTTTAATTTGATCATACAGCATCTGCTCTCCCGGCAGCAGAGGCTCCTTGTTGGCAATTTTCTGTATTAACTCAGCTACTTTCCTCACTTCCTTCAGGGACTGGATTCGCTCCTGATATCCAGGCTTCAGCTCCTGTTCTTCGGACATGATGAGCAGATCAATGTACTCTGGGGTAGAGAGCGGGTTGGGCTTCAGTGCAATCGCCTGAAGGCGCTGGAGGCTTTGAGATGATTTCTGAATAAGCTCTTCTAAGATGTGTTTCACTTCTTCATATTCCTCATTAAGCTTTTCAAGCAATTTCTCTGTGGTCATCAGCTCACCAGAGGCACATTCATACTTTTGCTTCAGTTCTTCATAGGTCCTGCTCTCTTTTCTTGTTTTATATTCAAATTTGTATTTCTGATTGAAGTGCACACTCCACTCACACTGGCCTGGACAGACTGTGCATCTTCCTGTGCTGCTACTGATAGCTGCACAACCACGTTTATCTTCATCTCTAGGAATTGCACAAGGATAGTGACAGGTGAAGTGACAATTCATGCAATTAGTTATGTATTTTCCTGTGCCAGATATATCCGTCTTCACTGGTACAGTTACCTCTACCTCATATGTAAAGTTTCTGTTTGCCGCCATGTCAACCTTATGCTTGTCCAGGGCTTCCTGCGTCTTCCTCAGTTCTTCCAGCTTGGCCAGTCCAGCTTTGATTTGGGGCTGCAACCCTTCAATAGCAGCTTCAAGCTCTTTTCGCTCCCTGAGCACTTCCTTTGTCAATGTTAAGCTCTTCGTTTCTAGCGTGTGGGATGAATCAAAGAAGGTCTTCATGCTCATGGTGCCCATTTTCCAAAACATTTCATCAAAATTGAAGTTGCCTCCAGGCTCCACAGGATTGTTGGCAAACAGTGCTGAATTGTTGAATTTGAAGTGCACAGGGGTGCCCTTGGCATCCTTAGCACATGGTACATTGGCTTCCTTAATGGCCTCGAGAACAGGAGGGGTCTGTCCATCTGCAAATGTGATCAGGACTTGGATGTTGTCCTTTATATCTTTGCCAAAGATGGAGAGCACAGAGTCAAAAACGTATCTCTGGGCATGAGTTAAACGAGCAAAAGAGGCCTGGACGACAATACAGATGGCGTCTATATGATCAGTGCCCCCTGGGGAGGAGAAAAACTCCCGGATCTGCTTTGTTATCAACTTGTCATGCTCTATTCCTCTTGTGTCTCCAAATTCTGGAGTGTCAATAATGGTGAGGGAATAGGGGACTTGGAAACCCTTGCAGTGGTGGACAACGTAGGCAGTCACTTCTGATGTTTGGCTTTGAGCTTGGCTTCTGTTGGTATTTTCATGAATAAGTTTGAATCGGAATTTATCTCCCCATTGCACACCCAGGACATAATTGATCATTCCATTGATGAGAGTGGTTTTCCCTGACCCTGTTGCCCCCATCACCATAATCACTTTGTTGGGGACCTGAATGTTCTCTTTCCCTAGCTGGTATGTTAGACAGGATCCAGAGGCATCCTGTATGGGCTCCAGTGGCAGAGCATACACTGCTGGTGGCCCATCCTCCACGCGGGTGCTGCCTTGGAGGTATTGACAAGCTACTCTCTTCTCGTCTCCTTCCAATGATGTGGAAACCTCAATCTCTTTGCTGGGCTCACTCTCAGCCCCACCGGCACACATGGCTGAGACTCTGAATCTGTAGGGTGTCTGGGGCTTCAGACCATCCATCTCACAGAACTCTGTTTTCTTCCCTGTTCTTTTTTCAGCCCATTCATCTTTGTCCTTGCTTTTTGCCTCTCCAGCCTCTTCACGGTAGTCCACTTTGTATTCCTTTATAACAGCTCCCTGGCCAATGATCTTTGGGCTCTCCCAGGCTATACTGATTTTGGAAGACTCTGCGATTATCACTCTCAGTTCCCCAGGAGGGCTGGTAGGACGTGTCTGTACAGATTCACTCACGTTGCTGGTCTCACTAAGTCCTGGTTTGCTCCTAGCGCTGTATCGGAATTGGTATTCTGAGTCCGGCCTCAACCCTCTCACTTGGAATGTCTCCTGACTGTCGTCAGTATTCACAATCTTCCAATTTTCTTCTCCTGCAATCTTGTACTCTACTTGATAGCTGGAGATTGAAACCCTCCCATAGTCAGCTGGTTGAAATGTCAGCTGCACACTCTCATGTCCAATTCGGCCAACCAGGGGAGGGAGAGGATTTGAGGGCAGCTCAAAGTTGCTGCTGACCATCTCCCCATCTTCATAGAGGTAAATGGAAGCACCTGGGTTGTTCTGATCTGGGACAGAAGCCACAAGGAACCGGGTTTTCTCATTTGATTTATTGACCCGGGCAAAATCTGTAATGGATTTGGCAGCTTTACGAGCATTCCGATTTGTCTCTTGGTGCTCAAACCAGGCTTTACTGTTCTTGGGTGTCAATTGGCCACTGGTGGAATTTGCTGTTTCCTGAAAAAAATCTTTCTGAAGCCAGTCTTGTAAGGTGGCTAAAAATGGTTCCTCATCATGTAAAGAAGTGAAGGTAAATGAGACAACAAACTCATTCACAGGGTTTAGCACGATTTCTTCCAGTTTGTTCTGGGAAGAGATTACTTCCATTTCACTTAGGATTCTAAGGTAAGAATTCACCAAATTAATCTCTCGTTCCTTGGCATCCAAAAACTCACTGAGTCTTTGGCTGTTGAAGGGAGACTGGTTAATGGACATTAAAATGTCCACCAGAACTCTTTCCTCTTTCCCCCCTCCCCGGATCAAAGGCAGGATTCCTGCCAGGTGTTTCTGGAAAGTCTGCCTGTGCTGCTTGCACAGATCCTTGAATCTCTTGATTTTCATCTTTAATTCTGGGAAGTTTTCAGCAACAGGATTCATAGCCAGATCATTGCATCGCATGCTGATTTCATTCAGCTTCTCCAAGACAGTTTGAGCATCAAAGATCAGTGCTAAGCTGATCTCACGCACCATCTTAGCTGCTCTGGAATCTAGCTTGGTCAGTGGGTACAGCCAAACTCTGACAGGCACAGCCTTCTCTCCATCCTCCCCGAGCTTTTGGGGCAGATCGCTGTAGACTTTCATGGCATCTTGAAAAGTCACCGGATTACTTTCCAAAGAAAAATCCCCATAGAACTTGCAGCTGAAATTCTCCGTTTGGGCTTTCTCCTTCTCCTCCATCTCAACAGATGCTTCCCCTTTGATAGAGACTGCAATCAAGTTGATCGCAGCGTGGAGGCTTCCTTGTATATCTTGCACAGACTCAGAAGAAGAGACATTTCGGTCAAACACAAAGAAAGCCTGGGCTCCATACAAGATGGCAGTGACAACATGGGTGGCTGTGCCATGCTCAAAAACAGCTGGATAAGTGACATTTTGAATTCCCAAATGGCTCATGGTCAGCTGTGAATACTTGGTGGTAGCTTTGTACTGCAGAGTGACTCTGGCCTGTTTCGTGGACTTCTTGGTGTCTTGGAGGAATTTGCCTGATCCACCCACTTCAACCAATCCCCCCAAAAAACTGGCCTTGAGTGATGCTGAGACATTGAGGGCAGAGGCCTTATCATCGATGGAGTCAGATGCAATGATTTCATATTCAGCCTTGGGTTGCGGTTTGATACACAAGTCCTTCTGAAGCGAGTCCTGGTCCCAAAGGGTGATTCCTGGGATAAAGTAGAGAAATATGCAATGCTTGAGTATGTTCATACAAATGTAGAACACAATTAGCCTAATGCCTAAGGGTGTACAGAGAAACAAGGAGTTAAAATAGAGCTATCACTGTCCACAATGTCTGCACTCATGAATTTTGTCCCACTGTCATCCACAAAGAAAGAGGTTAGTGCAGTTTTGTAAAACTTTGCAAAAGACAGGGAAAATCTTTGACCAGATATGATAGTGTAACAAGTGTGAACATTTCATGAGCTTCTGTTGTACAGGCCTCAGAAAGGGGGTTGGCACTGGCTCAGCAGCAGGGATAAGATTCAGTCACCACCATTTAGGGCTGTGATCATGTCCTGATTGAGGCCCTAGAGAGCTGGTGCTAGTTGTTGACTGGCACGGAAAAAATGGGTATATATAAGGAGAATTCCCTGGGGGCCAAGATCCAAGTTGGGACAAAACACTTTGGTGAGAGAACCCCAGCAGATTTAAAATCACAAAATATGCAGCAAAGCAAAGTGTGGAAATCTAGGCTGTGAGAAATATGTGCTTGTGAGTTCCTTCCAAAATAGTTCCCCCCCCCCACCGGGCATAGAAAAAGACCACATGTTTGGTAAGTTCGTAATGGTTTACTTAAAAACTCTCCAAAGGTCAGATTCATGTCCTTTTCCATACAGCAGTCAGACAACACAGGGAGTAAAACTTGGCTTAGTTACAGTGGTGAAAGTTGTTAAATTATTGGTACAAGAACACAACAATGGATTACAGTCCCTCCAGGTGTCCCTATTTTCCAGGGACAGTCTCGGATTTATAGAAGCCATCCTGGTTTCTGATTTAATCCCTGGAATGTTCCGCTGTCCCTTAGGCGTAGGACATCCTTATTTTCATCAGAGAAATGTTGGAGGGTATGGAGTTATGTGACCCCTGAGCCAAGGAGAAAAGTAACTAGACAACCTATAGAAGACATCTGAAGGCAGCCCTGTTTAGGGAAGTTTTTTATGTTTAATGTGGTATTTTTCAAGGAAAAAAGAACTCTCCATGAATGCTTCCCTTGTTCTCTTATAATGCAATGGTGACCACCTGAGAGGTGCTGGAACTGAGTTCTGGCAGGTTCTGGCTGAAAAAATGTCCTGTTTTTTTACCTACAGTAATAATTGTGGAAAGATGTATTCTTAATCGCCTGCATAAGCCTGGTGGACTAGAAAGGTTTTTAGCAAGCTTTAAAAAATTGAAACAGAACACACCTGCTGAATCTTTATTGACAGATGTTGATGGTGATGATTTGGGCCAAGACGATGCCAGCAAGGTTAAGGAGCAAAGACGCTATCACGGGCAAGAAGACTTCTTTTTAATAAGTGGAAGCCTTGTCCAAATGAAGAGAACATAAAGGAACACAAACGTTGGCAAAAGAAGACAGTAAGGGATGTTGAAAATGAATTTGAGGAGCACGTTTAGCACTGAAACTGCACTGTTTGGGCCAACTGCTAAGTGTAAGCTCTTCCTTGCACCAGCTCTACCTGGGATGAGGGCATCTTTACGGCAGTCGTACAGCATCCCCAGCTGGAATGGGCGGCCCAGGGCTGGTATTTCAACCGTGTCATCTGATCTGTCCATGGCTCTGGTCCAGGTTGCTCTCCTGCCTTCACCTCCCTGCAAGAAACAAGAGATGTGAAGGACTCTGGAAAGATTATTCGGCATGCAAAGTGTGTGGGGAAAAGAGGAAGATTAGCACTACCATCCAAAGAGGGATGCTAACATGCCGTCAAGGCCCCCCCAAAAGGGAGGGGGGAGTGTCACATCATGGGGGGGGGGTTAGACGTTTGTATGCAATAGTTGCACGTGTTCAAGAAAGCTTGTGCAACTGATCTTCTTCTTGCTTCCCTCCCATCCACAGTCCCCTGTAGCAGCTGAAAACTCTATCCAGTGATCCCTGAACAAAGGGGACTGTGTCACACAGAACTGCAGAGGGAGGGGAAATCACCCTGAAACTGGGCAAAGGGATCATGTGCCAATGGGGGCTCTGCTTGGACAGGATTCCTAGGCCCAAAGTCAGGGGAATCCCACTGCAGCCCTGTATGGCAGACACTACACTATCCAGGCCCTCTGGAAAGGGTTTGGGTGGGCACAAGGGGTCACAGGAGCTGGAAGGGAAGATCAATATTTTCCATGGACAACCACTGGGTGCTTCCTACACTGAATTTCCGTTTGGCTGAGAATTGTGCCTCCTGAGAACATTTCGGATGGTAGAGAAATATTCTACCACCACCAGTTTTAAACCCCAACTATCTGGCACAGTATTCAAGGAGGCTATCAAAGTGGGGAACTCATACATGCAGCCAGCCAAATCACATAACAACAATAATTATGGCAGGAATCATGAATGATGCTGCCATAGCTAACAGCGAGATACACAAAGTAGTATTTGGCAGAAACAAACTGCAGTGGAAGCAGCGCTGATCGTGATGAATACAAGCTGAAATGGAAGTTGCTGCTCTCTTATATTACTCCTTGTGCTGCACCAAGAAGTTCATGGCACAATGGGAGCCAAATAACACGGTAAAGGGATGGTATCCGCAATATACAAAATACTACTCCAAAATCTCACAAACTCCCTAGATACAATCAAAAAACAATGGGAGAATGACATAGGCTATGAGATTAACCCCACTCAATGGACCATAATGTGGTCTAAACCCCCCTTAAAATCCATATCAAAAAAGAAAACAAAAAAGAACTCACTCTGAAAATCACCTGCAGGTGGTACCTAACTCCAAGAAAACTAGCGCTAATACGCCCAGGAACCTCACCAAAATGCTGGAGAGGGTCACCTCTACAGGCACATATCTCCACATGTGGTTGGAGTGTCCCAAAATCCAACTATTCTGGACAACAGCCATACGATAAATATGTAAAATAACCAAGCAAGTATTAGAAATCACCCCAGAATTGGCCCTACTAAACAGCTTCCAAGACAAGAATGCCCACTTACACCACAAAGAACTCATAACGCACCTACTCTCAGCAGCCAGAAACATAATAACCAGACACTGGAGAGACCTGTCAGGAGTAAGCATGGACCAAGGTACCAAATAGTATGGGAAACTAGAAAAATTTGCCAATAAACTGAAACTGACAGGGGGACAAATAGAAGAAGACGCCTTCACCCCGGTATGGCTCCCCTTTATCACATACACAGCCCAACAAGACAATGACAAAAATCTACCAACAGCATACAAATCAATATGGCTAACCTGATCCAAAACACCCGCCCACCCCACTCATACATGGAAACAAAAATCACCACGGCCAACCACAAATGAACAGCCACACCCCGGGCCAACCCCAACCTCTCTCACCCCCAAAGGAACACAAGTGAATAGCAGAGAACCTGCACAAGCAACGCTGACACAAAACCCCACATATATTAAGTAAAATAGAAACATCACCACCCCACCCCACCCCCACTCACCTTTCCCCCCTCAGCCTCTTTCCTCCTATTCTTCCTAATCTCTCAACAAATGAAACTGATTTGTAAAAAGAAAAATGTTACATGGGAAAAAAATATGAGAGAGAGACATTGCACATACTTTTGTAAATAAAGAAAATCTTTAATAAAAATATATTTTAAAAAAGAAAATCTTTTGTAGAGGAACACAGAACTGTAGAGTTGGAAGGCACACCCAAAGGTCATCTAGTCCCACCTCCTACAACACACAGCTGAAGAATCCCTGGTGGCCATCCAACCTCTGCTTGAAAACCTCCAAGAAAACCTCCACCACCCCTTGTGGGAGTCTGTTTCACAGTAGAACAGCTTCTACCATCAGCTGGAAAGTCATTCATTGACATTTGAATCCATTGGTTCAGGTCCTGCCCCCTGGACCAGCAGCAAAGAGCCTGTTCCATCTTCCCTGTGTCAGCCCTTCAGGTATTTCAAGATGGCTCTCATATCATGTCTCAGTCTTCTCTTCTCCAGGCTAACCATACCCAACTCCCCCAACCACTCCCCCCAAAAGCTTGGTTTCCTGACCCTTCATCATCTTGGTCTCCTGCCCCAGCACACGTTCCAGCTTGTCAGTATCTTTCTTAAACTGTGGCGCCCTGAACCTTACAAAGTACTCCAGGTGTGTTGGAAGGGACCCCCTAGAGTAATCTAGTCCAACCCCCTGCAATGCAGGAATCTCAGCTAAAGCATCCGTTTACATTTAACCATTTCCAGGGTCTTTATTAAGACTTTGACTAGGTTTCCTGTTCATTAAATGTCTCCCAATACCCTTTCCCATCTGTCTGCAAAACAATTCAAGATTAATCCCAATTGCCCTGTCTAGCCGATTCTCTTTTCAGGCATACGGTGCCCACCATAGAGCCCATAACAATTTATTCTTTTCAGTGTTCTGGAACGGACGTTCACTACATGCAGTCCTTAAAAGCAGCTAGTTCTGTACTGTAAAAGGCAGGTAGAGACCTTTTCAGTTTAGCTGATTTATGAAATTATTGTTTTCTCCAACATATAACACACACCCCTGACCAGAAAACCCTAACCAGTTGTAGGGTGGGATGTATTTACACTGGGGAAAGGAAATCTCTCCCTTTCTGGGAAAGGCTCTGGCTGGGGAGAAACCTTCCTTACAACTCACTGTTGACTCATTTTAAGCTTGTGGTCTACTAAGACCCCTGGATCCTTTCTACATATTCTGCCAGCAAGCCAGGTATCCCCATCTTATATTTGTGCATCTGTTTATTACTTCTAAGTGCAGAATCTGACATTTTATCCCCATTGAAATCAGTGTTGTTAGTCTTGCCCCAGTTCTTTAGTCTGTTACAGTCATATTGAATATTGAATCTCTCTTCTTCAGTATTAACTACCCTTCCCAGTTCAGTGTCATCTGTCCAAGTCAACAAACACAAACCCTGGTTAAATGCCAAGACTTTGCCTGTGCTCACAAAATCTGCTAAGGAGATTTCAAGCTTGCTGCCTTTAGCTGCAATCACTATAAACCTTGTCTACATGTTCAATGTATGCCCTGCTGTCTTGTATGTATTCTATATTCATTATGAATTTTTTTTAATGTATTCTATATTAACCTTGTTTATGATCGACATTTTTGTATTCACTCATAGGAAGTTTGATTCTTGCTAGATTAGAAAAATAAGCATTAATGCCTACTCTCATCACCTCAGTTAAACAGAGTTCAAGGCAGTACACATTTCAGCAGCACAACAGATCTGACAAGGAAATGGGTTCTGCAATTTGCCACCTGCTCTCAGCCTCTCTTCCTGGGCAGCAGACCTTTCATTCCATCACTTTGCAAGGAGGGAAGATTCCTCCTATAAGAGTGGGGAAAAGCCAAAGGTGTGAGATAGCAGAACTGGAGTTGGAGCTGAGTTCCACCTATGCTCTGATTGTGCTTGCAGAAAGTGGGCAGGATGCCAACCCTTTGAAGATCCCTCAGTTTCTCTTGACACCCCCAGCTTTCCCCCAAGATGAGGCAAAAGGAAAGGTAGGGCAGAGAGGGAGAGAGGGAGAGAAAGACATCTGATGCAGTTCTCCCTCAAATTGCGAGGATTAAGAGCAATCTCACACATGTGGCAGTCTTAAAATAGGAGAAAGGGGCAGAGAGCAGAGAAGAATAAACAATGGGGGATGCCATCAATGACTGAAATACTTTTCTCATTAATTGATGGAGACTGGTAAAACAAACCAAGGGAACACACAGAAATGTCCAGGATGCAATAGCCCAGATGGTCCACAGCCGCCTGCCCCCTCCCTCCTGCAAGGAAGCAACTGGCAGCAGCAGAGGTGCTCAGCATCTTAGGAAGGTGCCATATCCTGAGTCAGGGCAGGGGTCCCCCTAGTCCCACCCCAAAGCCCAGGAGAGCCTTGCGCTGCAGCCTTCATTCCTTTGCTCCAAGTCTGGGCCAAATCAGGATGGATTGGTGGCCTTTCCAAAGAGCCAGAGAGCAGGAGGCGAGGGCATCATCAGCGCAAGATCCCCGTCACCAAGTCCCCTCTGCAATATGCCAGCTGGAACGGTTTGCAGCAGCCATGCAAAAGAAGCCTTTGACAACAAAAGAAGCCGCGACAACTTCTAATGTGCAAACGCGTCTTACCAGAAACGTGGAAAACGGATGAATCTTGCCTCCAAGTGGCTCTCTTGCTTGAGTTTGTCTCGACTTGCGTTGGTCCCCTCTTAAAGCACAAGTCTGTTTCGGTCACAGAGGCCACTTCTCCTTTTATCTATTTGGGAGTCACAAGGTGCAAGGGGACAAGGATCACTTTCAGGGGGAGAAGGAAGTTGCGAGATAGTGGAAGCCGTTTCCACTCGTCAGCATTTCACTCCAAAAAGGCTCTTCAGCAGTGCATCGCAGAGTTGGAAGGGACCCCAAGGGCCATCTAGTCCAACCCCCTCCATCGGCCTCCCCACAAGTCGGATCCATGCAGAATCAAGGTCCTTAGTTGCACAACCCTCCCTTTCCTGGTATCCGGACCCAAAATGGATCCATGGAAGCCGGTTGGCTTCATACAGCAGGGATTGACATCACGGGGGATCTGTTCTTCCCCCGGGGCTTTTGGGAAAGAGGTTGTCAGCAGGGCCTCCATCTTGGCCTCAGACATGTGGGCTCTTGGCGGTAGAGGAAGGTTTCCCTCGACATCATATATACTGAGCCACAACCAGCCTCAATTTATATGAGATTAGGAGAGATGAAGCCTTCTGGAGCAAAAGCAGTCGACCCCGGCAGAACTGCCCTGAGATGTTTGGGTGAAGGGCAATATACAAACAACAGTGATAATAAATATTATCTTCCATTTTTATGCACTGTGGGGGCAGCAGGGCCATGCTCTGGGGGAACCCGCCAAACCCCTCACAGATGAAGGAGGAAATTCTGTGTATTCAGGGGGTGGAAGAGCTGACAGGAATTTGCCTCCCGGTATAAATGTGATGGGGCTGTCCCCTCAGGCAGGCGTGGGGAACCTTTGCCCCTCCTGAGGCTGCTGAACTACAACTCCCACCACCAGGCGCTTTGGCCAGGCTAGCTGGGGCCGGTGGGAGTTGCAGTTTGGCAGCATCTTTTGCGCCCAAAATCCCCCCCGCCTGCCCCAGGGCTTTTGAACTCCTCATGATGAACTCCCCTCACAAATCTTATTTATTTGACTGGCCAAAGGCTCCTCCGATGCTGGAGGGAAACATTTTGAACCTGCTGTTCTGGTGGCCTCAAGAAAAAGAGCTGGAAAATCCTAGCTGTTTCTGAGGGGAAAGCGTCTAAAATTCTCCTCAGAACCAGTCCTCAAACTGTAGCCTTTTTAGGCCCTTTAAACCATGGGTAGGAAAAATGTTGCACCCGAGCTGGGACGAAAAGGAGCCAAACGACACCAAGGGGTTAAATCCAGAGAAAGCGCTTTATTCTGCCATCCCGGGTGGGCAGAGGAGCAAGTGTGATAAGTCACAAACAAGCACGAAGTTCAAAGGCATTGCACAGAGTTTATATCCCCCTTTCTAGTTCCCCCCTTCTTCAAGAGTCCTGCCCAGGAGTTCCTCTGAGCATGAACAGAAAGCTGTCTTGGGACCATTTTTGGACTTTTCCCAGGAAGGGGGTGAGAGGGTTTTCAGAGTGTTCCCGTTGTTTCATTCTGGTGCTCTGGCATGGTTCCCGGACAGAAAGCAAGTTGCAAGGTGGTTCTTTAGCAAGGCCAAAGGCTCTGAGAAAGGCCTGAGAAGACAAGGGGCTCTGTTCTCTACCTGGTTGCAATCTTTTTTTTAGTTACAGCAAGCGCGGAGTGCTTGGCTAATGCATTTTGTCTTAGAGGAAAATGCAGTTTTAAAATGCTCGAGGCGAGGCTTTTGAGGCCTGGCTGGGGGGAGAATTCACAGACAGTTTTTAGGGTAACCCTAACTGCACCCCTTCAAAACTGCTTAGGGCAATACACTCCTTTTGCTTCTGAGGGGGGAGAGAAACTTGCACAGCCAGCTTCTAGGTTAACAATGTTTGTTCAGCGATTTCTGTCCATCCTGCAGCCTTTGCACAAAACTCAAGAGCACCACTCCTTAATTCTTGGGACTCTGAGCCTGTAAAAGCGATGAGGAAGGAGATACGCTGCCTTTCACTTTTCATAATATCCCTTCTGAGCGTTCGGTGCAATCTCTCAGATCCCTGACTAGCACCCTTTTTATGAAGCTGAAAAGCTCCGGGTGAAGGGACTTAATATCACTGTCATCAAGGGACAGGAGGAGGAAAACTCGGCCTATTTGGGGCACGTATTCCTGCCCCCCTCAGCGCCCTCTTGGCTCTGGTCGCCATTTCACGCATCAGAAGTGTGGGGCTGAATTGATGCTGCACCAAAATGGCTGCCCTGTCGGGGAAGGCTTTTCCAGAGGGGCTTCCACAGAGGAGTCAGGAACCCCCAAGCCCACTCCCCAAAGTGGCCCTTCCTGGCAAGCGGAGGGAGGCTGTTTCCCCCACCATGCCGGCCTCACAAAATGGAGCCTGGGGGCGCATTGCCTGTCGTGTGGCCCCAGGCTGAGGGGAGAGAAGAGGAGGCTGAGGGGATGCTCCCGCCTGGCCATGGCCTTACGAAGAACAGTGGCAGGATTTGGCCTGCAGAGCAGTGCCATAAGAATGGTGGGGAGGGCAGAGGGGACCCTCCGGGGGGGGGATGCCCCCCACCGCTCACTCCACCCTGAACTCTGCTGACTTGGCCTTGGGCACAATGCCCATCACAAGGTGGATATTGCGGTTCTAACGGGGGTCGCCCCCCACTTCCTGCCTGCACCCCTCTCCCATTGTACAGGCTCCCGAGACGGAGTCGGCACAGGAGAATATGGGGCAACCAAGCCCCGTATCCCCCTTAAATAGGTTTGTGAGCTGTGGTGGATCCTCAGATCCGCCCTTGGCTTTCCTCTGACTCCAGGATGATCTGGCATTATTAGATATATAATAGATATTTAAAAATCTGTTGGAGGTCTGGCTGTGTCAGAGCATTGTGTGGGGCTCCTCTCTCCCATTCGTGACTAACTCTGCCTTCCCTCAGGAGACACGGGGGGGGGGCATTACTGTGCCCCTCAATATAGGAGGAGAAAGAACGCTAAAAAATATCCAAATTCATTTCCTCAATTCAGAAATAATAACCGTAGGCATATAGGTTTTGAACACACCTTCAAAAAGTCTAATTATTTTTGCAGGATTTTCCTCAAAAGGATTTTGATTTTTCCAATTGCAAATATCGGAGCTTGTAAAAGGGACATGCTGAATGGTAAAGGTCCTTGGGGGTCTAACGCCCTGACCATTTGGCTGTTCCAAAGGATCATGCACTTGCCGGAGAGGGGCCACCACAGGGGGTTGGGACAAAGCCTTAGATTTAAGTGTCTCTACAGGTTTTGTTGCCCTGTCCCACGCTGTTCTCAAAACCTTTTGCTTTTTTCTCCAATTCTCATCCTGGCACTGGGCTGCTTCTAGAACCCAGGGGGCCACATCCAGTTCTGCTTTAAACGGTTCTACATACTGGAACACTCTGTCAGACTGCTTACTAGTCCATCTTATCTCTTTATCTAGAGTTTTCCTGAAGTCCTCCTCCTCCTCATCATCACCTTTCTCTTCACCTTCCTTGCTTGCATCACATGGGGGTTGGGGAGGGGCAGAGGGGGGAATCTTCTCATTTGGGTCCTCAGTCTGGGCTTTGGGCGGAGAAGCAGCCCTATTTGCTCCCAGATTTGGTTGCCTTGGCGCAGTTGCTGCATATGGTGGGGGGGGGGGGGGGTAATTATCTCCTCTTCCAGGACTGGCAAAACTGGTGGCTTCTTAACTTGTAATTGTACTGAACACAGTTTGACTTGGGCAGTCACAATTCTATTTTTCCGAAGCCATGAGGGATTTTGATCCACATTGGCTTTCCAGATAGAAATATAGGGACTCTGATCTGTGTGGGCCTTGAAAATGTTACTCCATAAAATGTTGACCAAGTTTGGATCAAAGGATCCTCCAGGAGCCCATTCTGGTAAATACGAAGGCCAGTCAACTTCACATAAATGTTGGAGTCTGCCTTTTTTTCTTCTGCTTTCGTGGCACTTTTCCAGTTTTCCAGAAAGCTCTGTAGTGGTGTCTCAAGAATTGTTTTACTGCTTTTATTTCCCATGACTCTGGGATCCTGGGGACACTGGGACACTCAGCCCTCCTAACGTTATTTTTTTCCCACTCAGTCACAGGCCAGACGTTGCTTCCAACGTCTCACACACTCAAAACATTCGCTGGAGTGTCCCCACACGCACATTCAGAAACCCATGCACCTCCCTCAATCCCGTTTTTACCAAAACCAACCACAACCACAACCGGCAGCGCTTAGACTTTGACCGGTGCCCAGCAGACCCTTTGCTGCTTTTTCTGGGCGACACCAAAACCAGTGGCACTTCTTCTACCCTGCTGGCGGAGTTGATCAAACTCTCTTGCTCCCAAGCCTACCTTGTTCCTCGAGGTACCTTCTTTCTGCACGGCCGTTGCTCTTTCTCTCCGTCACTTGTCGCGTGTCCACTCAGGAACGGGTGCCCAGTCCCTCCCACGAAGTTGGCAGGATGTGCGCTGGAACTGTTGACCCGGGATCCCGAGCTGCTCGCCTTGCAGTGACGCCCTGGACCTCTTTGTCCCTCGATCTCGGGGAACGTGCTTTTTCCCGGCCCGATGCGCCAGAAACATGAAGCCTTTTTAATCCATGGGTAGGAATAATTGTTGCACCCGAGCAGAGACAAAAGGAGCCAAACGACACCAAGGGGTTAATCCAGAGAAAGAGCGTTTATTCTGCCATGGGGGGGGGGGGGCAGAGGCACCTGTGTGATTCAGTTCACAAAAGACAGGCCGCACTGAAAACATTTTGCAAGCAGCTTTTATCCTTTTTTCCTCTCCCCCTTCACAGATTCTTACATAGAAATGTTGCTTTTCGTTCTCTGGCTCTTCTCCCGGAAGTATGTTGCAAGTCAATGTACCAGGACAAGGTTATCTTGGATCTGGGAAGCGAAAAGCTTCACTGTTCTCAGCTGTAGGTTTGCTACAGCGTTTTTGTTGCAGAGAGGACTGCTTAGCTCGTGCTTTTTGTCTTAGAGGAATATGCAGTTTTAAAATGCGTACGCCGAGGCCTGGCTGGGGTGGGGGTGGGGAATTCACAAACAGTTTTTAGGGCTTTCTGGGGTAACCCTAACTGTACCCCTTCACTGAGGGGCCTAGCAGGTCCGGTTTCAGCCTTTCCTTTCCTGAAGCAAATTCTCTTTCCATGGGAGAAATGTTGGAGGAGAGGCCAAGAGTCCCCAGTGAGCGATGTATTTTCTTCAAGGCCTGATGCCTCGTGAAGTGATAAGAGAAGGCCTTGCAAGGGATTCTGTTAGGGGTTGATTTAAAACCAGGTCCCCCAGTCTGGCCTCCCAGTGGCTTCTTGTGGTAAAAAAATGGCTGAGTGAAATTTGGGGCCTGTATAAGGGAGTCCTTGGAGCACCCCATAATCGCCTAACTGTGGCTCCCATAGGTTCAGGTTGGGGGTCACAAGCAAGAGACTCCAGCCAGGAGATTGAAGCAAAACAGGAGGCCTGATCTTTATTGTTGCAACAAGACTTCAAACTACCACATGGAAGAAGCAGAGGGAAGCCCCAAACAAAGGATGGCTCCACTTTTTTTATAAATTTCCCAGAGTTTCCCATAAAACATCATACATTTGTCATGACTATGTCCTAAATTGGGAGGGGTCTTCTGGCAGAAACCTGAGCACCAGGCTTGCCCTGTCCCTCACCTGACCTTCACCTTCCAATCTTTTGGTGAAACAAAAGTATTTACATTTTCTGTTTTCCCAGCCAAGTTCAGCACACCCTTTGTCTTGAAGGAGACCCCAATCCACTGAGGTTGGGTTTGCAATCGTTCTTGGAATGACTACCAGGATGCCAGAAATTATCACCCAGGCAGTGGGGCCTGCTGGGTACGTGGTCTCACGTTTCAGGAATTATGGCTGCCCCTACCCATGGTCCCAAGATTCTCCTCTGATAGCCATTTTCCTTCTGAGTAGAACAAGATTGGAATGGTGTAAATGTGTCACTGGAGTGATTTTATATGAATTTCTAAAGTTTTCCCATTGAAGCAGTACATAGAGACATTTCCTGTATCAGGGAATTGCTACATTTGGTAGGTCTCTCGTCCCTCTTCCAAGTACACTTCCACACTTTCTAGGCGGAGGACCGAGCCGTTATTCATTTTGCTTTGCTGCTTTATCTGGGAAAACCTTAAAGGTTAAAGGTAAAGGTACCCCTGCCCGTACGGGCCAGTCGTGACCAACTCTAGGGTTGCGCGCTCATCTCGCTTAAGAGGCCGGGAGCCGGCGCTGTCCGAAGACACTTGCGGGTCACGTGGCCAGCGTGACAAGGCTGCACTGGTGAGCCAGCACCAGCACAGCGCACGGAAACGCCGTTTACCTTCCCTATTTCTCTACTTGCACTTAGGGGTGCTTTTGAACTGCTAGGCGGGCAGGAGCTGGGACCGAACGGCGGGAGCTCACCCCGCTGCAGGGATTCGAACCGCCGACCTTACAATCAGCAAGTCCTAGGCACTGAGGTTTTACCCACAGCGCCACCCGTGTCCCTAGCACCACAACAAGGGCAATCGTATTAAAGGCACATATTACATTGCGGGACTGACACGTAGTGGATATTTTAAATGTTATGTTCTTAAGGTCCCTCCAGACATTTCTGTTGCTCTGAACTGTAGGATGAAGCCTGTATCAGCTCTGGAGAAAGAAGCGGGTTTCCATGAAATGCTGATCTGGAGGACCGGTTCCTGGAACCTCTCAATTTTCTTCCTCATCTGAGCAGATTTTGCAAAGGTCTTTATTTTCATTATTGTACAAGGCACACTGGAAAGGGGATGTGGCCTCTGCGACCGAGTTATTCTGAATCTGAATCTGAAAGGGGTGGTGATGGTCACAGGCGTTCAGAGGGTCTAACATGGAGCAAGGGTCTGAAAGAGGAAGTCGTCCTTCTTGCCAACTGTAAATGCAGCGTCTCCTTTTGCAATGGTTAGGATTGTCCGTTCACGTGGAGTATCACAGGAGTATCTGTGGAGGGATGAATGCCTGTGCCTAGGAGGAGTGTTCCTGGTTTCCCTAAATGTGGCAGTTGTGAGACTATTCTGAACAAAGTCCTTGGACACAAGGAATGCTTCCAGATGTCCGCCAGTCACACATTTTCTTCAGCAGTGGCAGCGCATGAGGTGGGGCGGGAGCAGAAGTGCTGTCCTCCAGGCAAGGTGGGGAGCAAGGTGGTGGCTTGCCAGTGCCACTTAACCCCGCCCTAACCTGTGCACGGTGCCCACCCCCAGAATGGCACAGTTGATGCTCCCCACCCCATCACCCCATCACCCCTGCCATGCCACTGTACAGTTTGGGGGTAAGATTTCTGAGTGAGTTCTGGCTGTTTAATTCTCAAGATATTTAGAGTGCACTGGACTAGATTTATTTTAAATTGGTTTCTGACCCAGACTTGGCATGGTCAGATATGGTCACTCTGCTGGTTGGCTAAGGCTTGGAGGAGGACTATGATGGTCTTAGTTCTCCTGGACCTTTCAGTAGCTTCTGAACAGGCTGCCTGGGGTGGGACTCCAGGGGCAGTGTGTTTGAATGCTTCCACTATATAAATATGAACTCAAATATTGCAAAATGCCATAGCATTCCACCAAAGAAACCTAAGCTCTATGTGTAGGCAGTAGTGCACCCTGGAACTTCACACTGCTCAGATAAGTGGAGTCAATGTAAGATGGCGGGGTCACGAAAAATGTATGGCAGCCCTAAGCAATTGGCACCCTAATCCATGGGGTCACGGGGCCACCCAAAACCCGACGTCATTCGATTCACTCCAAAGCAGTACAAGACGTTGACAAAAGGTCTGCGATAGCTTTTCACAGCAAAAACCCCATGCTTTGCAACGCCCTAAAAGTGGAGCAATCAGCACCATAAGTCGGGTGTGTGTGTGTCACGAGGTTGCTGAAAACCCGACATCATCCAATTCACTCTGAAGTGGAGCTAAACACCAACGAAAGGTCTGCAGCAGTGTTTTGTGGCGAACACCCCGTGTTTTGAGGTGCCCCACAAACAGAGCACTCGGCCTGTGGCAGAGTGGGCATTACTCTTTTTGTGGGGTGTTGCAAACCATGGGGGTTTCGCTGCAAAACGTTTGCCAAAGTTTGGCACCGGTTTGGATTGAATCAGAGAACATTGGTTTTTTTGTGACCTTTTGACCAGCCCCCCCCCCTTTGAGGGACTATTGCTCTGTTGGTGGGGTGCTACAAAATGCAGGGGTTTTGCTGCAAGACATTGCAAAACGTTTGCCAAAGTTTGGCGTTGGTTTAGAGTGAATTAGACAATGTTTGGTTTTTGGTGAGCTTTTGACTCCCAGCTTAGAGTGTGTATCACTCTGTTTGTGGGGCGTTGCAAACCACAGGATTTTCACTGCAAACTGTTTGCCAAAGTTTGACACTTGTTTGGAGTGAATTGGACAATGTCGCATTTGGGGACATTAACTACAACCCCAGGTTTCCTATATCAATTACAGTGGTACCTCAGGTTACATACGCTTCAGGTTACATACGCTTCAGGTTACAGACTCCGCTAACCCAGAAATAGTGCTTCAAGTTAAGAACTTTGCTTCAGAATGAGAACAGAAATTGTGCTCCAGCGGCGCAGCGGCAGCAGGAGGCCCCATTAGCTAAAGTGGTGCTTCAGGTTAAGAACAGTTTCAGATTAAGAATGGACCTCCGGAATGAATTGAGTACTTAACCCAAGGTAACACTGTACTCTGTGGGGCACTGCAAAATGTTGCAAAACAACTGTAAAACATTGGCACTGGTTTAGAGGGGATCCCAGATTTTTGAGTTCAACTGGTTTAGAGGGGATCCCAGATTTTTGAGTTCAACTGGTTTAGAGGGGATCCCAGATTTTTGAGTTCATAGCTGAGCCATTGCCATGATTAAACAATTTAAACGGCAGGTTTGCAAGATAAGAACTGGAGTATTGCTTGTTTATAATATGTGTGTTCTGTATGTGTGTGTCAAGAGGATAACATTCATGTTTACATCACATTAATACACAAAAAGGACATTGTGGCATACAATGAGCTATGAAAATGAAGTCCTGTTTATACTGAAAATGAAATACCTGCACCAAATGAAGGAAATGGTGAAGCTGACATACAAAGCACTTTGTATTGTTACAAAAGTTGGGTGCCACCCCCACTCTCTGCAAGATTCCAGGGCTTCCTAGCACTCACTCTGGGTCTGTGTTCCTTTGGAGAATTGAGACACGGCAGAGACTGTCGTAGCTTTAAAAAATATGCTTTATTCACCTATTTACACCTTCAGTTTGCATGGAGGGAGTCCAGATGTTACATCACGGTCATTTCAAGAGGGGCTTGTCCCTCAGAGCAGTGCAGCCCTGGAGTCCAAGGCATCTCTCCCAGCCAGCCTGCAGACAGCCTACCCAAGATGGAGCCCAGTCTTTTTTCTCCCCCTTCTTCTTCCCAGCACCCCTTGGTAAAAGCTCTCTCTTCCTGTCACTTCGAACCCACACTCCATCACCATGACAACCTCTGTCTGCTCAGACCCAGGCTCTCAGATGGGTCATCAACTCCTTTTGTCATGTTAATGCCTTTGCTCATTAACAGCTCTAGCTTCCAATCCAGGGGCTAGAATCTCAACCAATAGTCTCCATACAATGGTTTGGAAGAGGGGTGGTGAAGTCTTAAAAGTCCCAGTTCAGTCCCACTGCCTTCACTCTTTTGCAAGTTCATTGTTACATGTTTTAAAAAAAGAAAAAGAGTTTGGTGGCTTGTTCGGCTTGTTTTATCCTTCAGTACCTTGCCCAGTCCCTAGAGAGATAAAAAGAGAGTTTATATATTGATGTTTTCCATCATTTCACAGTCAATCTCCACCCTATCTTTACTTGCCTTCAATTTACTCTTCAAAATACTTAACACAGTATTTTGGCATCTTCCCCCCATCCTCTCCCAATAAATCAAATCCCATACATGTATTTTTAAAAGTTTGTTTGCTGACACAAACACCCCTGGAGCCAACTTTCTAACCTTTGGCAGCAACAATCCCCTCTTGAGGGGCTAACTGGTGAAAAGAGCAAAGAGAGAGAAACAGAAAGTAGCTACAGTATTTGGTTTCTCAATGCAAGTAAATGGGAGTACCAAAGATTCAAATTTCTAAATCACAGAATCACAGAATCTTGATTCAGAGGGTCAAAACAATTTGGTTCTCAATCAATTCAGTCCAAATTGTGGCCTGATCTGAACTGCCAAATTGGGTGTTGAACTGGATTTGGGGTGGGGTGGAGCTTGAACAGCCCTAAACACTGTTTGAGAAGCATTTTATTTACAGCAACAGAAAAATGGAGAACCTGTTGCAGTATTTGTTAAAAAGGGTTTCACAATCCCCCATGTGCACACTCACAACATGATGTGAATAACACTCAAGAGGACCTGAACTCACTGCTGATAGCCAAGAGTCCGTCTGCAACAATATACAACAACAACAACAACAACAATAATAATTTATATTAATACCCCGCCCTCCCCAGCCAAGGCCGGCCTCAGAGTGGCTTACAAGCAATAATAAAAAAAAGTTGAATGATTACAACTTAAAAACAAAATTAAAATACAGCATTAAAATATTGAAACATTAAAATATTAAAATGTAGCCTCATCGCAGGAGGAGAAGGAAAAGAAAAATAGAAAGAGAGGGAGGGAATCAAATTGGCTCCAAGCCAAAGGCCAGGCGGAACAACTCTGTCTTACAGGCCCTGCGGAAAGAAATCAGATCCTGCAGGGCCCTGGTCTCATGAGGCAGAGCGTTCCACCAGACCGGAGCCAGAGTTGAAAAGGCCCTGGCTCTGGTTGAAGCCAATCTAACTTCCTTAGGGCCCGGGACCACTAGGGTGTTGCTATTTATAGACCTTGAGGCTCTCCGTGGGGTGTACCGGGAGAGGCGGTCCCGTAGGTACGAGGGTCCCAGGCCATGAAGGGCTTTAAAGGTCAAAAGCAGCACCTTAAATATGACCCTGTATACTGGGAGCCAGTGCAGTTTGAAAAGCACTGGGTGAATGTGATCCCACGACAAGGACCCCGTGAGGAGCCTCGCTGCAGCATTCTGCACCCTCTGGAGTTTCTGGGTCAGCTTCAAGGGCAGCCCCGCGTAGAGCGAATTACAGTAGTCAAGCCTGGAGATGACCGTCGCATGGATCACTGTGGCCAGGTCGGGGCGGGAAAGGTAAGGGACCAACTGCTTGATGCGGCGAAGGTGGAAAAATGTCGCCTTGGCTGTTGCTGTAACCTGCGCCTCCATGGAAAGGGAGGCGTCAAGGATTACACCCAAACTCTTAACGGAAGGCAATGGCACTAATTGGGCCCCCGCAAGAGAAGGGAGTTGGTTCCTCATCCCCATGCCATCCTGACCCAGCCATAGGACCTCTGTCTTCAAAGGATTTAGTTTCAATCGGCTCCCACAAAACCATCCAGCCACAGCTTCCAAGCATCTGGTCAGTGTGTTCGGGGCCGAGCCGGTGTGGCCATCCATCAGCAGATAGAGCTGAGTGTCATCAGCATATTGGTTTAACGTATAAATAATAATTTAACGTATAAAAAAATTGTCCAGTAGCACCTTAGAGACCAACTAAGTTTGTTCTTGGTATAAGGTTTCATGTGCATGCATACTTCTTCAGATACACTGAAACGGAAGTCACCAGACTATTATATATAGTGGGAGGGTGGGGTGGGGTTTTTCTCAGGAGGGTAGTAGGAGATGGGTGATTGACTCGATGGGTATGGTAAACCTGTTAACAATTGCAATTAGTCCTACAGGAAAAAGCAATGGATAGTATGCAGATGATTAGCATATATAATGAGACAGGAATCCAATACAGTGGTACCTTGGTTTGCAACTGCTTTGGATTACAACCGCTTTGGATTACAACCATGTCAAACCTGGAAGTGTGTGTCTCTTTTTTGGATTACAACCAATTTTTTTTGGATTACAACCAATTTTGGGGGGAAGGCCCCATTGGCGAAAGTGTGCCTTGGGTTACAACCTGTTTTTATTTACAACCGGACCTCTGGAACAGATTATGGTTGTAAACCAAGGTACTACTGTATCTCTATTAAGACCAGGTCTCTACACGCTTTTCTGTTTAGTGATACTGAAAACTATGGAGAGACCTGGTCTTAATAGAGATATTGGATTCCTGTCTCATGCATATTATCCCTTGCTTTTTTCGTGTGCATGCACACGAAAGCTTATAGCAAGAACAAACTTAGTTGGTCTCTAAGGCACTACTGCACAATTTTAATTTTTTTATATGTTTCGACTGCGTCAGACCAACACGGCTACCTACCTGAATCTAGAACCATTAATATTTTACTTATACCTGTCCCGGTTCAATGTGCATCAAAAGCAAACAAACTTCCTAAATCTGGCCTGCAGGGCAGAATGCCTTTCCATTTCACTGTATTTGTACAGATCCTCCTCCTCCAGCAGCAGAGGCTCCTTGCTTGCAATGTTTTCTCTTAGCTCAGCCGATTCCCTCACTTCCTTCAGCAACTGGATTCTCTCCTGGTATCCGGGCTCCAGATCCTGCTCTTCTGAAATGATGAGCAGGTCAATGTATTCTTGAGTGAAGAGCGGGTTGGGCTTCAACCCAATTTGATGCAAGCGCTGGAGGCTTTGAGATGATTTCTGGATGAGGTCTTCTAAGGCTTGCTTAGCCTCTTTGTATTCCTGGTTGAGATTTCCAAGCACCTTCTCTGGGGTCATCGCCTCTCCAGAGGCGTCTTCATACTTTTGCTTCAACTCACCATAGGACTTAATCTCTTTTGTTACTTTATATTCAAACAGGTATTTCTGATTGAAGTGCATGTTCCACACGCAGCGGCCGGGACAGACATTGCATTTTCCCGTATTTGCATTGATAGCTACACAACGGCGCTTGCCCTCATCTCTCCGGATCGGGCAAGGATAATGGCAGGTGTAGTGACAGTTCATGCAGTTGGTTGTGAATCTTCCAGCGGCAGAGATGTCTTCCTTCCGTGGCACAGATTTTTCTACTTCAAACTCAAAGTTTATGTTGGCTGCCATCTCAGACTTGTGTTCATCCAGAGCTTGCCTCGTCTTCCTCAACTCTTCCAGCTTTCCAAGGGCAGCTCTGATTTGGGGCTGCAACCCTTCCGTGATGGCTTCTAGCTCCTTCCGTTCCCTGAGCACTTCCTTCGACAGAGTTAAGCTTTCACTGTCAAGTAAGCTTAACGTGTCAAAAATGTCTTCATGCTTGCAGTGCTCATTTTCCAGAACTTGTCATTAGGATTTAGGTTCCCTTCATTCTCTTCAGAATTGTTGGCAAACAGAGCTGAATTGTTGAATTTGAAGTGAACTGGGCTACCACTGGAATCTTTAATGCATGGCACATCCTCCTTCTTCATGGCTTCCAAAACAGGAAGAGAATGTCCATCTGCAAAGGTGATCAGGATCTGCATGTTGTTCCTTATATCTTTCCCAAAAATGGAGAGCACAGAGTCAAAGACGTATTTCTGGGCACGAGTTAAGGCAGCACTGGAGGCCTGAAGTACAATACAGATGACATCGACATGATCCGTTCCTCCTGGGGTGGAGAAAAACTCCCGGATCTGCTTTGTTATCCGTTTGTACTGCTTCCTATCTCCCATGTCTCCAAATCCTGGAGTGTCAATGAAAGTGAGAGAATAAGGGACTTCCAAACCCTTCTGGTGGTGCACTACGTAGGCGGTCACTTCTGAGGACTGACTTTCAGCCTGAATGAGTTTGAATCGGAAATCATCTTCCCATTGCACACCCAGGATATGATTGATCATGGCATTGACGAGAGTGGTTTTCCCTGACCCTGTTGCCCCCATCATCACGATTACTTTGTTGGGGACCTGCAGGTTCTCTTTTCCTAGCTGGTATGTTTGGATGGGGGCCGATCTATCTGAGGTGGCCTCCAGGGGAAGTACATACACGGATGGTTGCCCATCTTCCACCAGGGTGCTTTCCTGGAGGTATTTTCGAGCTAGTATATTTGCCCCGTCTTCTTCTTCTTCCATTGCTGTGGAAATCTCAGTCTCTTCGCTGGGCTCACTCTCAGCCCCATCAAAACATACAGCGGAGACTCTGAGTCTGTAGGTTCTGTGAGGCTTCAGCCCATCCAGCTGACAGGACTCTGTTTTTGCCCCTGTTCTTTTTTCATTCCATCTGTCCTTATCGCCCACCAGCCCCCTGTACTCCACTTTGTACTCCTTTATATCAGCTCCAATGACCTTTGGGCTCTCCCAGACAAGACTGATTTTGGAAGACTCTACAGTTCTCTCTCTCGGTTTCCCAGGAGGGCTGGTAGGAAGTGTCTGTACAGATCTACTCAAATCACTAGTCTCACTAAGTCCTGGTTTGCTCCTAGCAGTGTATCGAAACTGGTATTCTGAGTCTGGCCTCAACCCTTTCACGTGGAATGTCTCCTGACTGTTGTCTGTACTCACAATCTCCCAGTTTCCTTCTCCTGCAGTCTTGTATTCTACCTGATAGCTGGAGATTGAAGCCCTCCCATACTCCGCAGGTTGAAATGTCAGCTGCACATGGTCATGTCCAATTCGGCCAACCAGGGGAGGGAGAGGTTTTGAGGGCAGCTCAAAGTTGCTGTTGACCACCTCCCCATCTTCATAGAGGTAAATGGAAGCTCCTGGATTGTCCTGATCTGGGACAGAAGCCACAAGGAACCGGATCTTCCCATTGGATTCATTGACTTGGGCAAAATCCATAAGAGATTTGGCAGTTTTTCGAGCTTTTCGGGTTCTCTCTCTTTGCTCAAACCAGGCTTTCCAATGCTCTGTCTGTCCTCTTGCTGGCTTCTGAAGCCATTGTTGTAAGCTGGCTAAAAATGGTTCCTCGTCATGTAAAGAACTGAAGGTAAATGTGAGAACAAACTCATTTGCAGGGCTTAGCACTATTTCTTCCAGTTTGTTCTTGGAGGAGATGACTTCCATCCCATGTAGAATATTAAGGTAAGAGTTCACCAAATTAATCTCTCGTTCCTTGGCATCCAGAAACTCGTTGAGTCTTTGGCTGTTGAAGGGAGACTGGTTAATGGAAATGAAGATCTCCACCAGTGCTTGTTCCATTTTACCCCCTCCTCTGATAGAAGGCAGGATTCCTGCCAGGTGTTTCTGGAAAGTCTGCCTGTGCTGCTTGCACAAATCCTTGAATCTCTTGATTTTCATCTTTATTTCTGGGAAGATGTTCGCAATGCGGGTGTTTGTCAAGTCATTGCATCTCATCCTGATTTCATTCAGTTGCTCCATGATGGCTTGACTATCAAAGACCAGGGCCAAGCTGATCTCACGCACCATCTTAGCTGCTTGGGAATCAAGCTTGGTCAGTGGGTACAGCCAAACGGTTACAGGAACAGCCCTCTCCCCGTCCTTCCCCAGCATTGCAGGAAGGATGGCATATGTTTGCATGGCATCTTGGAAAGTCACTGGATTCCTCTCCAGAACAAAATCTCCATGGAATTTGCAGCGGAACTTCTGAGTGTAGTTCCTCTCCCTCTCTGTTGTTTTGAAGGCCAGTTTCCCTTCAGCAGAGACTATAAAGAGCTGGATTGCACCTCGGAGTTCTGCTTCTATCTCTTTTACAGACTCAGAAGAAGAGACTTCTCGGTCAAATACAAAAAAAGCCTGGGCGCCATACAAGATGGCAGTGACAACGTGGGTAGCCATGCCATGCTCAAATACAGATGGGTAAGAGATGTTTTGGATTCCCAAATGGCTCATCGTCAGTTGAGCATATTTCGTGGTAGCTTTGTACTGCAGAGTGACTCTGGTCTGTTGCCCAAACTTTTTGGTGTCTTCAAGGAATTTGCCTGATCCTTGCACTTCAACCAGCCCCCCCAGAAAACTGACTCTGAGTGATGCTGAGGCATTGAGGGCAGAGGTCTTATCTTCAATAGAATCAGAAGCAATGATCTCAATTTCAGTCTTGGGCTGCCTTTGGATACTCAAGTCCTTCCGAAGTGAGTCCGGGTCCCAAAGGGTGACCCCTTGAATGAAGCAGAAAAACAAACACACAAGGCTTTAGTTATGTTCAGATAAATGGGCAGCACTGCTGCCTGAAATGCTTAGGATGTATGGGGAAACAACAGGTATTAATTGTGGTAGAATAAAGCCACCATTGTCCATGGTGAGTACACTAATTCTTTGGTCTCAGTTTCAACCCAAGTCAAACAGCTTTGCACCTTTTCTAAAGCATTGTGCAAAGACTTAAAAATTGTTTTACTAGAGATGATAGTAGGAGGCATGTGAACCCTGTAGATGATTGTGCTTCCCTGTGGACACCTTCAACTGTCACAGTTTTTATTTTATTTTTTGTTTCTCTTCAGCATAGGAAACTCATTTTCTGTGTCCCATGCTGATTTGCTAAAGCCCCCAAGAATGTCCTCTTGGTGAGCACCATTTGTGAATTATGTGCCACAGGAATCTATATGCTTTCTGATATTCTCAAAGAATATCACAATTAAGTGCTTTAAGAACTCAAGTGGATGCTATCCTGACCTGATTTGTCACCACAACCTGTCTCATTTCCTCTCAAACTCTCTTCCTGAGTATGTTAGTTCAGGCACTGGGATCAGCCCTCAGTCTTCTGTCATGAAGACAGATGCAAATAATTCATTCAGCTTCTCCTCAATCTCCTTATACTCCATTAGCAGTCCTTTGACTCCCTTGTCATCAAAGTGTCCAACCTCCTCCATAGATGGTCTCCTGCTACAAAGGTATTTAAAGAACTTCCTGTTGCTGGTTTTAATGTTTTTCATAATGTACCGTATTTTTTGCTCTATAAGACTTTTTCCCTCCTAAAAAGTAAGGGGAAATGTGTGTGCATCTTATGGAGCGAATGCAGGCTGCACAGCCATCACAGAAGCCAGAACAGCAAGAGGGATTGCTCCCTCTTGCTGTTCTGGCTTCTGAGATTCAGAATATTTTTTTTCTTGTTTTCCTCCTCCAAAAACTAGGCGCGTCTTGTGGTCTGATGCGTCTTATAGAGCGAAAAATACAGTACTCCCCCAATTTTTTTTAAGCATCTCTTAATTTTTGCTTGCATTCCTTTGTCAAAGTTTCTATCCCTTTTTCTTCTATATTGGATATGAGTTCCATTTTCTGGAGGAAGCTTTCTTGCTTCTAACAGAGTCCATCAGTAATGATACCTTGTTGACAAAGGGCTCACTAACCCAGCCCTGCATCATATAACCAATAATTCTTCCCTATTCTGGAAGAAGCTGAAGTCATCTCCCTTGGAGTCTTTGCGTAAGTGTGTTTCATTTTGAGTGCCATGTTCCATCCCAGACATGGCAACCAAAGTGATCTCCCCATCGGCTTTACCTGGGATGAGGGCATCTCTGCGGCAGTCATACAGCATCCCAAGCTGAAATGGGCGGCCCAACGCTGGTACTTCAACCGCTCCATCTGAAATGGCCATGGCTTCGGTCCAAATCGCTCTCCCTTCTCCCTTTGCCTCCCTGCAAGAAACAAGAGATGTGAAGGAGGCAGGACAGATTTTAACGGATGTGGAGTGTGAGAGGACAAAGGGAGGAACTAGTGATGCCATCGAAAGAAGGATGCCTGCCACGCACAAAAAGATAAAACAAATAAACAAACAATATACTTAAACACACCAGCAATGGCACTGCTTCCAGGAAGGTCAGTGAAATGCTGCTTCAGCTAGAAGTGCTGGGGGAAGTAGCAGGCACACCCAGAGCACAGGGGGGAGAATCTGAGCATCAGCCGCCTCCTCTTCCTGTCTCCACTGCAGTCCTATGTTGCACTAGAAGAGGGGTTTCCCAGCTGTGGTCTGGGGGCCACCAGTTGCCCACAAGCTTCATTCAGGGGGGTCTGCAGCATCTCTGCACCACGTATTTAGATTGGGTTTTAATGGCATTTTTCACTCATTCTATTCGTTGCATTGCAATTTATTTTCCTGCAATTTGAATTCCATTGGATGAAAATTGTAATATGATAAAATGCAATACTAGGTGCTGCTGCCCCTGCTTGCGTAGATTGCCAGCTCTGCCAAACCCACACCTTCATACCCTCATTGGTGGACGAAGGTGGGGGCGGGGTAGGCGTGCCATTCGAGGTGTGTGTGACATTGCAGCTGCCCCCCGGGATGCTCGCCGATTGCTGCGCACCCCCCCAACGTGTGTCGCGCCACGCCCCCTGGGATGTGTGCCAGCCACGCCCACAGGTGTATGCCGCTCCCGGTGTCAGAGCAGGTAGCTTCGCCACTGCATACCCTCACCCTGTCACAGCTCCTTCAACCCCCCCAGTTCTTTCAAGTTCCCCATATCCTTGCAGCTCCTTCAACCTCCTCATCCCCTCATAGCTCCTTGGTTTTCCTCCACCAGGGCTTATTCAGTCCTCTGTTGTGGTTTAAAGCCACCTTGTTAAACCCTGCCCTCTCTTTTGCTTTCCTCCCCCACCCTGATTTCATGCAAATCCAGGATTGTGATATGGTACTGCAAATCCTCCTGTGGGGGCTGTGTGATGACAGCCATACCTTTTTATGTACGTAGGAAGGTAGGAAATAAAAAATAAAAATAAACAAAGGTTTGGATGGAGAGTGTTCTGAAGCAAGCAGGAGCACCAATTATTCCTCTCTCCCTTCTGCTCCCTCTTTGGAGAAAGCAGGTGCTTGAGAGAGCAATCCTACCTTGATGGATTGCCAGCAAGACCCCACTCTCTCTTGTGTGTGGAAGGAGGCAAATAATGAGATCGACTGAAGGAGGGCGTTGCTGCAGATGGTGTTCCTGTAACCCTCTGAGGTGGCACAATCTTCTAATACAATTCTGAGGATTGCGTCTTTGCTCCATAAGCACAGGCAGCTCCCTCCCTCTTTGCTCCTCCAGGGAAACAATAGGATACGAAGAAAGGGGACTCTAGCACAGCCCCTGCAATGCAAGACTTACAGCTAAATAATCCCTGAGAGGTGGCCATCCAACCTCTGTTTAAAGACCTCCATTGAAGGACAGGCCACCACCTTCTGAGGCCATGGAGTCATAGAACTGTAGACTTGGAAAGGACCCCAGGGTTTATCTAGTCCATTCTTCTGCAATGCAGGAATCACAGCTAAGGTATCCCTGACAGATGGCCATCAAAAATCTCCACCACTTTCCAAAGTAGCGTGTTGCACTGCCAAACAGCACTTTCTGCCATTAAGTTCTTCCTTAGCTACCCAACCACAGCCATCCCCTCTTTCTGGGCCAACCCTAAATCCTGGGAGGGTCCTTGCAACCCCTCCCAAAGCCTGGGATAGCCTTGCGCTGAAGCCTTCATTCATTTGCTCCAAGTATTGTGACCTTTCAAAAGAGCCAGAGAGCATTAAGCGAGGACATTGGCGCAAGAGCTCCATCACCAAATCCCCTCTAGTATGCCAGCAGCCATGCAAAAGAAGTGGTTGCACGATAACTTCTAATATAAGGTTACCAGACGTCCCCGTTTCCCGGGGACAGTCCCCAGATTTACAAATCAGTCCCCATACAAAATCCATTGACGTTGAAAAGTGTCCCCTGATTCATTGAAAAAAATCTGGTAACCTTATTCTAATAGTTGAAATGAGTCTTACCAGAAACATGGAATCTCCCTTGCCTGAGTGGTCTTGAGGGAGCCGTGCAACTTGCCTTTGTCCCGATAAGCACAATTCTGTTTCAGGCCCAGAGGCCACTTCTCCTTTTATCTGTTCAGGGATGCAAGTTTGCTAGTTGACAAAGATCACTTTCAAGGAGAGAAGGAAGTTGAGAGATGGTGGAGAATGTTCCCACTAGTCAGCACTTCACTCCGAAGAGGCTCTTGAGCATATGAGCCATTGGCCTGATCCATCAGACTCTTCTTGTGTTCTTATATATTTACAAAGGCTGTTTTGTCAATTTTTGGTTTGTAGGAAAGGTCCCATGCTAGATATATGCACACTACTAAGGAGGCGGGTAGTGGAGATTTGTAGTGAGATCCTGCCCTATACCTTTAGACAGTGCTTTTTCTGGGGGGACGCAGGGCGACGCATACCCCTAAACATTTTGTGAATCTAAGCTTGGCCTCATTGAGGGCAGTATTTCAATACGAGTAGGAAAATGAGAGTACCCCTAAACATTTTTTAAGTAGAAAAAAAGCACTGCCTATAGATCTCAGGGTGGTTCACAATGTATTAATAAGAATTTAGAAATAAATGAATAAAATCTAGATATTTAAAAATAATAAATATGTCTCACCATAGTGGGGAGGACGGACTACCATTGTGCCTGCTCTGTCTGCTTTCTGATGGGCAAAACCCAGATTTTCTCACAACAGGGATATTAAAAAAAAAGAGAGTACAGTGTAATCTCGGGTTGCAGACATAATCTGTGACGGAGGCACGTCCACAACCTGCAGCGTTCGCAAGCTGAAGCACAGCGTCTGGGCCAGCACCGGCGCAATTTGGCGCTTCTGCGCATGCGCAAAGCATGATTTAGCACTTCTGCGCAGGTGCGAGCGGTGAAACCTGGAAGTAACCCATTCCGGTACTTCTGGGTTTCCCACAGTCCGCAACCTGAAAACACATAACCTGAAGCAAACGTAACATGAGGTATGACTGTATGAGAAAATGTGAAGGGAGGGAAGGGGAAATGCTGGAAGGCAGTGACTTGGAAGAGAACATTATACGGACAATGGAGAATTAACGGAGATACAGGAAGCTTAACTATCTACTTTAAGCTGCAGTATGTATGGGCCCTTAGATAATCTACTAGGTTGAGCACACATTGCCATTTACTCTACAGGCATAAGAAAAGCCTTGTGGATCAGGCCACTAGCCCATTGAGTCCAGCTTCCTGTTATCACAGAGGCCAACCAGATGTCTGTGGAATAGCTGGATTTGAGAGCAAGAACCCTATTCCTTCCTGTGCTTTCCAGCAACTGATATTCAGCAGCATTGTAGTTTCCATCTGTTGGGGCAGCAGAGCATAGCTATCTTGCCTAGAGAGCTCGATGGACTTCTCCTCCATGAATTTATCTAATTCTCTTTCAAAGACACCTGGTGGCCATCACTGCCTCCTCTGGGAGTGATTCAATATGAAAATACTTCCATTTGCAGGAGGAAGATTAGAGTAATAAGGTCGGGGGTCGCCTTGCTAAAGGTGTTTCTGTGTCACTCCGGATTGTAGGATGAAGGCTGGATCAGCTCAGGAGAAAGAGGCTACTTGCCATGACATATGGACCTGGTGGAGCAGTTCCTGGAACCTCTCAACCTTCTTCCTCATTGGAATGGATTTTGCAAAGGTATTAATTTTCATTATTGTACGAGTTCTCAGAAAGGGCGCATATCTCCTGCAACCAAGTTATTCTGAAACTGAATTTGAAAGAGGTGGTGATGGTCACAGATGTTCAGAGGGTCCTCCGTGACACTCCATTTGGCAATCAGATGTAGAACACAAGCAGCAGGGTGTATTGTAGGCCAGAAAGAGATTTAGCTGATACTTCACTTTCTCACGTTGAGTGGAAGCCTGAAAGAGGAAGCTATGCTTTGTGGGAGTTTCTGCTTTCAGCCTGTCCTTTTGCATGGATTATCCGCTCTGGAGGAGCATCACTGGGGTATCACTGGGATGAATGGCTGGGCCTAGGAGGGAACTGCTTCATGCTTCCTTAGGAGGAGGAGTGGCCCAGGTTTCCCTAAAGACCACCCAGGAGGACTCCCCTGCTCAGCGCCTGAGGGGCCTCAATCCTGCTACTCACCACCTGGCCCAGGACGGGGCCTGACGGGCCTATAAGAACTGCTGCTGCTGGGCAGAGAGGGCTCCATTTTGTTTTGCTTTTTGTTTAAATTGCTGTTATTTTTTACCTATGTCATTTTAACCTGTGACATTAATGCTGTATTCTTAGTTTCAGATTTTTATTTCTGTGGAAATGGTTTCCCATTTGGTTGTGTGTTTTTTTGATGTGGTTTATTTACTGTTTATGACTTTTGTAAATATGTAAATCTTGTTATGCTGTAAGCCGCCTTGAGCATTGTTTTTTAACTGTGGAAAGGCGGCATACAAATAAAAAATGATGATGATGATGATGATAAAGGGGGTGCTTGTGAGACCATATGGAAGGAAACCCTTCTTGGAGCCTTCGCCCAGCGGTGCGTGAGGGTGGGGGCTGGAGTGGCAACAAGGCTCTCCTGGAGACCTGGCTGCAGGGAGACGGGTGCCAGATCAGAGCCCGGGTGCTGCTGCCAACCCCAAATCCCACCGTTCCTGCCACCTGTCCCAACTCAACCGCTCCAAAGTGCAGCAAGCACCGCCCAAATGACCCCGCGTCTGCTCCCCCCCCAAAACAAACCCCTCACGGATGCTGCTGTTCCTTGGTGGGCAGAATATTTGAAAAAGCAAGGGATGGGCAAAGATGTCGTGCGACTTTCACTTTATTAGGGTTGCCATCTTCCGAAAAGCGAAACTGCTTGCAGCGGCATTATGCGGGACGTGTCCGGGGAATTCCGGGCGTGTTGTTCCTGACATTCCTACACCGCCCTCCCCCCGAGGATCACAGGGCCGTTTTCAATATAACAACACGGAAACGTGTCACATAGTAACAAACAAAAATAATAACGATTATCTCGAGGGGGGAGGGCCGTCTCTTTGTCTCCTCTCCCCGCCTGGGCGGGGCTCCCGGCTCTCCTCTCGGGAGGCGGGGGCCGCCCCCTGCCGTGCACGCGGCGGAGTCGGGAGCGCGCCGGGCCCCGCCGCGCATGCGCTCCTCCCGCTCGGCGAGCCCAGCTGCTTCCTCGGAGCTGGAGGGGCCGGGCTGGCGGGGGCGCGCGCCTGGGGCTGCTGCTGCTGCCGGGGCTCTTCGGGCGGGTGAGTGGCGGGGGCGCGCGCGGGGGGGGGGGAGGGAGAAGCGAGCGCGTGGCCCCGCCAGCCCGAAAGAGAGAAGAGCCGGTGGTTTCTCTCCTATCCTTTGGGCCAGGAGGAGGAGGAGGAGGATGCGCACTGGGCCTCCCCTGGCCGCGCGCCTGGGCTCCCTTCTGCTCCCAGGCGCGCTCTGCGTGCGCTCAGAGGCTCAGGATCCCCCTCCCCGCAGGTGCCCGCCAGGTGTCTCCGCTTTTGGAGAGCGCCGGCTCCAGCTTTGCGCATCCCGCCCGGAGCCTGCCTGCCTGTCTCTCTCGTGGTGATGGGGGGGGGGTCTGGAGCCAAATCCCTGCTCCGGGCGGGGGGGTGCAGATGTTTCGGGTCCCTGGATGTGATGCAGCCGAGAGGGGACGCGCCTGGCCGAGGGCGCGGATGCCAGCACCTCCCTATGCGCGCACGGGGCAGGTTGCCCGCCAAGGAGGCAGCTGCTCGCAGTTGCAGGAACGTGAAGAGGTGCGCCTTGCAGTCCCAGGAAGGAAAGGATCCAGCCTCCTGCTAGCATCCTCTCCTGGAGGAGGAATTCCCCAGGACTCCTCCTTCTCCAGGGCGGGCTCCTTCCGGGCATTCCCTCCCGCCTCCCTCGGGGAGCTTCCCCGGGGAGGGCGCCCCAGAAGCGTGGCCCTGGCAGGGGGGGAGGTGGGCCAAGCCTAGGCAGGCTCCGGGACAGCCAGCCGGAGAGGGAAGGCCTGCTTCCAGGAGTGCCCAGCAGACAATAGACGGGATCCCGTGTCACACGCAAACAACCACAGTGACACCCGAGGAGGAAAGCGGCAGCAGAGGGAGGGATGGGGAGGAGGCTGGGGGGCCAACTGCCAGGGATGTTTTAGCTGAGATTCCTTTCTGATTTGGGGAGGGGGAGGACTAGGGGGTTCCCCTTCCAGTTTTAGGATGCGGCTCCCTGCTCCTTGCAGAGCCATTTTCACAGCAAGCTGTTCCTCCTGTTTCTGGCCAAGCTCAGAAGGCCGGCCAAGAGGGCCCCCCAAAATAAAACATCTCTGGGTGTGTGCAATGCAAGTGGTTCCTCCTGGGGCCCTGCTCTGGAAAGGGAGAGAAGGGTGAGCTTCGTAAGGGTTAGAATGAACTGAGCTGGATTCCTAGAGAGGACACATTAAAGATGAAGGGGGTCAGGTCCTCCAGAGCAAAAGCACTTCCCTCCCAAGTCCCTTGCCGCAGGGGTGTGCATGGATGTTCTCTCTCTGCTGTGCAAATTAGTGGCACCTTCTGGGATCTACTGTCTCTTCTGCCTGTGAAGGGAAGTGACAGGCAGGTGGGGCTTGTCAACCTGTGAAGGTAGCCCATCTGGAAGAAGGAAAACTCTGACCCTAAATCTCTTCTGCCTTGCGGAATATATTTGGGAGAAGAAAAGAATATGGAGTAGACTCTGAACAAATCCAGAATCGAGTCCCTAAGACAGTTGGATGGTGCTTTGTACGCCTCCTTCTGGAAACTCCTGCAGCCAAGCGGGTTCCAAACATTCTGCTCTGCGTTCCTTTGGACCACATCAGGGAGGGCGAGAGGAGGGTCTGGGCAGCCTAGGACTGCCGTACATACTGCCCAGGCTTGTGCCCCGTAGAGGTTACTTCAGTGCTGCTAACCTAGCAGTTTGACTTCATCCCCAGAGACGCTCAGTATGGTCTCTCGAGACAGACAGATGCCAGCAACAATTACCTGTCCTTTACCCCAAGTCCCCAGGGCAGATTGCAACATTAAAACACAATATTAAAAACAGTTTAAACCACTTACCATCATGGAAAGAAGGTGGGTCCTAGCTGCTTTTTAATTGTTTTCATCATAGCCCTCACCTGCACCTCCTTTGGCCTCCCTCACTTGGCCCTCAGGGGGTTGGCCAGCAGAACAATAACAGATAGATATCTTTCCACAATAGACTATCTTGAGAACATTGGAGATTTGAAGTGCTAGAAAATGAGACAGAAGCAGGAAGTGAGGGCGGGCGGGAGAGCAAGTCTTGAGGACCCCCAGGGTTAGCACTCCCACTCTAGCCTAGTGTCCACATTACACAAGATACAAATAACTCACTTGTCAATCACAGTTCTGAATTCATTCATTGACTGAAAACACTGAAATTGCCTGCACATTTTGCATAGTAACTTTCCTTCTAGGAAGGCTAGAGGATAGCTTCTCCATTTTCTTCCTTTTGTTGTTAAAGAAGGCTCAGAGTCTTGGCTGTAGTGTCGGGCGGGTCAGGTTCTTAGCAAGACTCGCCCACACTTGCTTATCTTGACCGTGTACCAATTCTGTAACAAAAACAATGCATTTGCTTTGTAGGGTTTGGCAGCAACTCTAATTAGCACAGTCAGAACTTGGAGGCTCTTGAAGGCTTCCTGAGAGCACAGATGGATGAGCAAGATTCATCTGGAACTGAAGCAGGAAAAGTCAGTGCCTTCAAAATTGGGAGCAGATTCTGGGAAAACTCTGTGCAGAAGATCCTGGGTGAGGAGGACACTCTCTGCTCAGATGTGCAGAGCCAGCAGTTCAGGCAGTTGTGCTACCAGGAGACTGAAGGACCCCGAGAGCTTTGCAACCGACTCTACCACCTTGACTGTCAGTGGCTAAAGCCAGAAAGTCACACGAAAGCTCAGATGCTGGACCTGGTGGTCTTGGAGCAGTTCCTGGCTGTCCTTCCGCCAGAGTTGGAGAGCTGGGTGCGGGAATGTGGAGCGGAGACCAGTTCCCAGGCGGTGGCCCTGGCCGAAGGTTTCCTCCTGAGTCAGGCAGAGGAAAGAAAGCAGCCAGAGCAGCAGGTGAGAAAGACTTTCCTCTGGATACTCCCAAGGGGGTCTGAACAGGAGGGTGAATATCCCAAAATTCTCTCCTAATGGCCCCCACCTCTTCTTTGAAAGTATCCAGAGAATGATATCAGATACCTCTGAAGTTTTTCCCTCTGCCATTACTTTCCTAATCTTTCTCCTCATTCTCTGCTTTGAATCCTTGTTGCTCTTTCAGGAAAAGGATTCCTCTGGGGCAGAGAAGACTCAGCTGAACACCAGAGAGTTGACACTGGGTAAGGAGGAAGGAGTTTTTTCTCCGTTAGGTCTCATTTTGTGGATTTTAAAATGAATCCATGGGTTCTTTTAATCTTTTTAGGGAAGACAGTTGGGGACAAGAGTCCTCAGGAAGGGAGACATTTCCCCCCACAATTAAAATATGAAATAGGTACAAACTTCAAACTGCACTCAGCAGGGGAGACATTTTCTAAGGCCTATTTCATATAATCATCGAGTTGTAGAGTTGGAAGGTACCCCAATGCTATTGGTCCAAACCCCTGCAATGCAGGAATCTCTGCTAAAGCATCCGAAGTATATAAATTTTTTTAAAAAAATTGTCCAGTAGCACCTTAGAGACCAACTAAATTTGTTCTTGATATGAGCTTTCGTGTACATGCACACTTCTTCAGATACCACACTTCTTCAGATACCGTATCTGAAGAAGTGTGCATGCACACGAAAGCTTATACGAAGAACAAACTTAGTTGGTCTCTAAAGTGCTATTGGACAATTTTTTAATATTTTTATATATTTCAACTGTGTCAGACCAACACGGCTACCTACCTGATGCTAAAGCATCCATGACAGATGGCCATCCAACCTCTGCTTAAAAACTTCCAAGGAAGGAGAGTCCACCACCTCTCATGGGAGTCTGTTCCACTGCTGAACAGCTCTTACTGTCAGAAAGTTTTTCTGAATGTTTAGTTGGAATCTCCTTTCATGCAACTTGAAGCCATTGGTTTAAGTCCTACCCCCCAGAGCAGGAGAAAACAAGCACACTTCTTCCATGTGACAGCCCTTAAGATATTTGAAGGTGGCTCTCAAATCTCTTCTCGGTCTCCTCTTTTCCAGGCTCAACATACCCAGCTCCTTCAACCGTTCCTCATCAGGCTCGGTTTCCAGACCCTTGACCATCTTGGTCTCCCTCCTCTTCCCCCCTTTCCAGTTTGTCAACATCCTTTCTTAAATTGTGGTGCCCAGAACTGGACAAAGTATTCCAGGTGTGGTCTGACCAAGGCAGAATAGAGATGGACCATGACCTCCCTTGATCTGGACACTAGACATTTGTTGATGCAGCCTAGAATAGCATTAGCTTTTTTTGCTGCTGCATCTCACTGTTGACTCATGTTAAACTTGTGGTCCACTAAGACCCCTGGATCCTTTTCACATGTACTGCTAGTAAGCCAGGTGTCCCCCATCCTGTATTTGCGCATCTGGTTCTTCCTGCCTAATTGCAGAACCTTACATTTGTCCCTATTGCTATGAGCGCAACAACAGCCTGCCTTCTGAGAAATGAAATTGTCATTGAGGCAATGGAGGAATTTGTCAGACCTTATACTTGTGGCAGAGTTTGAGTCCCAGCAGATATCAGGGAAGTTAAAGTCCCCCACGATGACTATTATGGTTAGAGATGCACTGCTTCACCTCTGAGAAAAGCATTCACTAATGTCTTCCCACTTACCTTTGTCAGGTGACAGAAGGATTCCAGCAAGACCTCCTCATTCACCTTTTCATTGTGGTGGAGTGGAAACAGTGGCTGTGGAACCAGACCAGGTAGGAAGAAGGAGCATTGTGGGGAAAAGCAGCTGAGGAGTGGGGCAGCCAGGGCGCCTTTGGGTCTAAATAAACCTCTGTCCTCCTTTTAGCTTCTGTCAAAACTGCCCTGAACATGGTATTCAAGGTTTATGTGCTGAGAATAATGAACAACTGCCTCAGTTTAACTTAACCTTCTGAATGTTGCAAGTATTGTTTTTCAATTGTTGTAGTTTTGCTTATATATTTATCATTGGATGTTAAAATAGGCGTCTAAGCAGTTGAGAAGCCATAGAAAACAGTTGCCAGGGTTCCCTTAAGCAGTCCCATCAGCGGCACAATGGGGCTTTCCCACTGTCTCCTCCCCCTCCCTGTGCCCCCCTGTGCTCCTGGAAGTTGGCTTTAGGGCATCTGGGGGTATCCCTCCCCAGAACAGCACATGGGGAGAGGAGAAGAGAGAGGGAATCCTTGAGTCTGGCCAACTGGAATACCTGATTTGAAGAGCACAATGTGGAGTTCCACCCATTTGCACAAAGATTAATACCCATCATAAAAATACACAATAAAAGAATTCTTTTAACATGTTACAACCAGCATCCATACTTAAAATGTGCAGCCAAACAATCCCATTAAAACAGCTCAGCAACGAACAGGCAGAAAACAACATAACAATGTGTAGAAGACAATCTTTATGCTGTCTGAGAGCAAGACATTTTTCTTCTTCTTTTAGGGTCTAGTATGCTTTGAAGATGTAGCTGTTCATTTCACAGACGAGGAGTGGGCCTTGCTGGATCTCGACCAGAAAGCTCTGCATAAGGAAGTCATGGAGGAGAACTGTGGGATCATGAACTCTCTCAGTAAGGCTCCCTGTTGGATCATGATATCTCTTTTGGAATTCAATACGTATCTATGTAACGAACTTCCTGTATTTTGATGGAGCACAACAGGGCCACCTATAGCACCTGCTTTTCTGACACCACCGCAGCACATTCAGAATGGAAGGCTATCTACTGTTTGGTCTGCAAATATTCTTCCATTTATTCCTTTTTAAACAATGATTGGGCTGGTCTGAATTGCCTAGGCTTCAGAGTTGTTAGGGGAGTTGAAGAAGCTTCTGTCAGGTTTTTTTTGTTTTTGCTTTTGTCGGTTTTTGATTGAGCAAAGGGATGACTGACCTTGGAAACGGAGCTGATTTCTTGATTGGGCCAAACAAAACCCATCCCAGAAAAGAGCTAGGCTTTTCAAACGAAGGTAGTGAACCCTGTAGTAAGACCTCACATATTATTCCCTTCGATTCTTCCTCTATCACAAGTGTTCATGAGCATTGCTCAATAGTGGGGGCCTCCATTTCTTCCTGAGGCTTTAATCTGTTTATCTGTTTGTTGCAGATGGTGATGAATTGGAAATTAAGAACAGGGGAGACCATGACGAACTCCATCCAGTGGAGAATCCGTATGAAGTTTTGGATTCTGGAGAGAGCCTCAGTGAGAGCTCCCATTCTACTTCCCATCAAATAAATCCCACTGGGAAGACACTCTATCAGTGCTTGGAATGTGGAAGCAGCTTCACTCGGAAGGAAAGTCTCACTTCCCATCAAAGAATTCATACAGGGGAGAAACCCTATCAGTGCTTGGAGTGTGGAAAGAGCTTCAGTCGGAACTCCCATCTTACTTCCCATCAAAGAACTCACAGCGGGGAGAAACCATATCAATGCCAAGAGTGTGGAAATAGCTTCACTCGGAAGGAAAGTCTCACTTCCCATCTTAGAATTCATACAGGGGAGAAACCATATCAGTGCTTGGAATGTGGAAAGAGCTTCAGCCGGAAGGAAAATGTCACTTCCCATCAAAGAATTCATACAGGGATGAAACCATATCAATGCCTGGAATGTGGGAAAAGCTTCAGTCGGAAGAAAAGTTTCATTTCCCATCAAATAAGTCATACATGGGAGAAACCATATCAGTGCTTTGACTGTGGAAACAGCTTTAATACAAGCACAAACTTTCATAATCATGAAAGTAGTCAACTTGGGGAGAAAACATTTCAATGCCAAGAATGTGGAAAGTGCTTCACCTGGAAGAAAAGTCTCATTTCCCATCAAAGAATTCATACAGGAGAGAAACCCTATCAGTGCTTGGAATGTGGAAAGAGCTTCAGTCAGAGTGCCCATCTCACTTCCCATCAAAGATCTCACAGTGGGGAAAAACCCTATCAGTGCTTAGAATGTGGAAAGTACTTTAGCCGGAAGGAAAGTCTCACTTCCCATCAAAGAATTCATACGGGAGAGAAACCCTATCAGTGCTTGGAATGTGGAAAGAGCTTCAGTCGGAAAGAAAGTCTCACTGCCCATCAAATAATTCATACATCGGAGGAACCATATCAGTGCTTGGAATGTGGGAAGAGCTTTAATATAAGCACAAGCTTCTGTCAACACCAGAGAATTCATAGTGGGGAGAAACCATATCAATGGCTGTGTACAAATTTGCTTTTAGAAGACTTTAATTAGTATGAGAGTAAAGATTGCATTAGTGTATTTGTCATTTGTCAACCCAGCAAAGAAGTGGACTTTGTCTTATAAAACACCCTGTGCCCAATATTTCTTATTCTGTGTACAGTGGTGCCCCGCAAGACGAATGCCTCGCAAGACGGAAAACTCGCTAGACGAAAGAGTTTTCCGTTTTGGAGGTGCCTCGCAAAACGAATCTGCTATGGGCTTGCTTCGCAAGACGAAAATGTCTTGCGAGTTCCTGGGTTTTTTTTTCCCTTTCCCCCCTCTTTTTCTAAGTCGCTAAGCCGCTTATCTGCTTATCCGATAAGCTGATAAGCTGCTAAAAGCCGCTAAAAGCCGCTAATAGCGCTAATCCCGTCAATGGGCTTGCTTCGCAAGACGAAAAAACCGCTAGACGAAGAGACTCCCAGAACGGATTCTTTTCGTCTTGCGAGGCACCACTGTATCCAGATCTGTGAGGTGCAAGTCACTGGCAAAAGTCTTGAATGTCCTCTCTGGGGAGAAGGTAAAGAACAATTTGGCAACACTGATGAGGCAGCCCAAAATGCTGAATTTTTTTTTTGAAAAGTTGATAAGCAATTCATAGTTTACAAATTTGTGGCGCTCCTGAGCACTACTTCCATCCTCAGCATGTCCGGGATGGCAGTGGTGTCAGCTTGAAGCTCTTCCTGGTATCTCCTGACCAGACACAGGACAGCTCCCAGGAGAGCCAGAAGTTTCAGGCTTCCCTCTATGAGAAGGGTAAGTCGAGGATTCCCTTCCTGCTGTCCTCCTCCGATTAGTCAAAGTACATTCCGAGGGGATGCAAGGAGCAAATAATTGTTATCCACAAGGAAGAAAAAGTTACGTGTTTATTGCACTCAAAGGTGGTTGGGAGCAACAGCAAGCAAAGTTTATTTGCTTTAGCCAACCCCAGTCCTCACCTGCACACATCCGACACGTGGAAAGAGGCTTAGATTGAACCCAGATTCTAAACAACACAACTCATCCCAGTGGCAGGTGTCTGACACTTTTTCCCATTCCATGTGGACATATCAACAGATCTTGACGAATTGGAATTTTTTTTTATCAGTCTTTCACATATATTCCTTGAGCAGGTGTCACTGTTTTACTTCTCCCCAATGTTAACTGAGACTCAGTCACAAGGGACAAGGTATTTTTGAAACCATGCTGGGCGGCTGTGTCTTGAGTCAAGGCCTTGTGGTGACCCTCTCCACATAAGTCTGGTGCCCCACAGATTATTGGTTCTCATGCTCTTGCTCTTCTTCACAAGAATGGGAAACGATACTGTCCAATGTATAACTTTGTCCATGTGTATTCTGTCTTCCAACCTATCACCTGCAGTCCTTCCCCATAGCTGTTCTTGAATGTGACTGTACTGTAACATTAAAATACTGTTCCATGCCACCCCAGTCTCCATAGCAGTGTGAGATTACAGTGATCTAGGCACTTGCCCAGATTCTTGTTTCCTTTGGAAATGAGGCACCTCAGAGACTGTGGTTTATTTCATAGACTCATAGAGTTGTAGAGTTGGAAGGGACCCCCTAGAGTAATCTAGTCCAACCCCCTGCAATGCAGGAATCTCAGCTAAAGCATCCGTTTACATTTAACCATTTCCAGTGTCTTTCTTTATTAAGACTTTGACTAGGTTTCCTGTTCATTAAATGTCTCCCAATACCCTTTTCCATCTGTCTGCAAAACAATTCAAGATTAATCCCAATTGCCCTGTCTAGCCGATTCTCTTTTCAGGCATACGGTGACCACCATAGACCCCATAACAATTTATTCTTTTCAGTGTTCTGGAACGGACATTCACTACATGCAGTCCCTAAAAGCAGCTAGTTCTGTACTGTAAAAGGCAGGTAGAGACCTTTTCAATTTAGCTAGGCCATAAACCAAAAAGTAAATGGAATAATCAAAATGAAATTATTGTTTTCTCCAACACACACACACACACACACACACACACCGCTGACCAGCAAACCCGAACCAGTTGTAGTGTGGGATGTATTTACACTGGTGAAAGGAAATCTCTCCCTTTCTGGGAAAGGCTCTGGCTGGGGAGAAACCTTCCTTACAACTGGCCTTGACCAGCTGTGAACTTGCAGTGTACTAGGTTATTAAGTCCTCAAGCCCATCCTTGCCAAGGATCCTCCAAAGACCATGAAATCCCCAGAGACTCCTGGTGAACTCTGCTCTCAGAGCGAGTTGGCCTTCTTGTCAGGATAGGATCACTTCTTCCCTGAAATTCCTCTCTGCCTCTTGACCTTCACTGTTCCCTTTTGGGCTTCTGCTTAAAATATTCTTTTCAGGCAAGCATTTCTGGACGCATAAATGTTGATGTGTTTTAGTCTTGTACTGTTAGTGTTTTTACTGTTTTTGATTTTTATTTAGCTGTTTAATTTAAATGATTTGTTTTTAACTGTTTGTAATAGATAATTTTAACATTTCCAGTAAACCGCTGAGATGTTTTTATTACCATCAAGTAGCATATCCATTTTATTAGATAAAAATAAATTAATCCCACCCACCATGTTCTTACTATCATGGCTTTCTGCAAAGAAATGGGGCTTGTAAAATATATTCTCATGTTGGGCCAGCAAAACCCCCCAACTCTCCATCACATTGTGGGTGCTGCCTAGATGCGGAGGTGCTTTCTATTTGTTTTTTTTAAAAAAAATAGAGGTGGGGCAAACTTCAGAATCTTCATGGGGATATTTTCACTGATCAGGCAACAGAAAGTAACTTTCCCACCCACCGCTGCTTTGATCAGCTTCAACCCAGCAGCACCCCCAACTTTTTGAATCATGTTGTAGCATCATGCTCCAAGGACTCCATTGGGATGGGGTTGCTGCAGCCTGGATCGCATCGGGTGAGTCCACTTATGTAGGGGTACAAATATCCAGAGTGTGGGGGTCAGGTGGGATTGCTATGAGGAATTATGAAATATGGAGCAAGCCATTGCATTGACTGGGTTTGATTCATTGACAATAATTTCTGATCGAATCCCACAAGCCTCTCCATCTCTGCCATTTGCTTTCTCTATGCCTGACAGGCACGTATAAGCATTCTAAACACAGGCCAGTTGCTTCACCAGGCATCCTCAGTACATAAAGATAGTAAGTTACTTTGATGTAGTTTTTAAATCTTTAGATAGATCTTAAGGGCCAGGAAGAGAGTTCACAAGGAGATGGTATATACTGCCATCCTTCCTTTCCTGTTTACAACCTCTGGGGTTTTGCTGAATGCATTCCTCTAGTCCTGTTTTATTTACTCTCAGATATGTATGCATGCTCAAGTAGGAAATAGTTTCTTTGTAGTTTTAACTTTTACTTTGTCCCCACGTGGGTTTTTTTGAAATGCTCAAAGGAAATCTGATTGGTTCTTACGAACACTGTGTAAAAAGTTCTTTTGTGAATAAAACGACCTGGGCTGAGGGGTGGAGAGGGATTATTATTGGCACCTCCTCCCAGAGTCTTGCTGGTCAAGCCTCGGGTGTATTTTATTAATCAGAGTCCAATCCTTCCTTGCTTTGGGAACACTACACACTTCTGAAGGTGAGTTATGTGGATTCCTCCCCCAGCCCTACCCTGGCGTGCTGGAAACCACAGGAGGACAGAGGGCTCTTGTGCTCCAATCCTGCTTGCTGGTTTCCTGAAATGGACGTGCTTGGCCACTGTGAGAACGGTGCTGGCCTGATCCAGCAGGCTCGTCTCATGTTCTGATGCTGCTGGACAGATTAGAGAATAGAGGGAAAGATGGAGCAAAGGTTTTGCTTTGTGCTAGGAAGTGTCATAAGTTCGTATGTCTCCGCCATACCCGCCACCACCCAAAGACACCTCAGAGACTGTTTTTAAAGAACAGATTAACTTTTATTTGAAGGATGTTTCATTAGTGTAAATGGAGAAAGCAAAGCTGAGATATCCAGGGCTTCCTTTGAAGGTACTGCTGGCACAAGCAGTAGCAGGATAGCATTTCTGCAAGTGCAGTTATATCAAGGGCTAAGTTGATGGACTATTCGTTGCATTCTTATTTATTTAAAGAAGTTTATATCCATTTTTTTCAGCATGGCTATTGATAAGAAAATGATCAAAAAGAATAACACGAGTGAAAACAGCAGAATATAGCAGTAAAACCCTGTCTCAGGATAGATCAAATATGGCAGGTTAAATACACAGCTAGGGCACAATACGCCTTTGGGGTTATGCACATTTTGACCTGCAATTTCTAGGCACAGGCCCACGCTTTCCTGGTTCATGTCCAAGCACTCCCCCCGCCCCCCACAGCTTCCCCCGGGGAAACCTGATTTTCACTATTGAATTGGAGCAAACGGCAATTCAGGCTTTCCGTGGGCGTCTGTTTGTTTCGATTCAGCAGCAAAGAGCGGGTTTTCATGGGGAAAGTAGTGGAGCAAAACAAAGAAAAAGAGTTTAGACATGGACCTGAAGAGCCCAGGCCTGTGACTAGAAGTGAAGAGCAAAGGTGAGCGTCATCTTGCAGATGAGTAGCAGAGAATGGGCTGGAGCAGCCTTTCTGGGGGTTGCAATCTTGCCTCTGATTCTGGCGGAACGCAGAGGGGAGCCTCCCCAGTTCGTAAGCCCTTTAAGGCTTCTGAACTTATAACCTTCACTTAGAATTGGGCTTGGAAATGAATGAGGAGCCAATGCAGCAGTTGCGGCAAAGGGGTCGCATATATCCCAGCAAAGTAGCTCCAGTCAATAGGCTGGAATGCTATGGATCAGCTGAAGTTTCAAAGAGAAAAAAAATAAATCAAAAAATCGAAGGCACATACAGAGAATGACTTCCAACCACCATCTTATGCCAAGGTGGGTACAAAGGACCCTTCTGCAGCCTATGAGGCGCTCCTTGAGAGGTTCTTCTCACCATGAGAACATCACACCACCCTATAACCCAGGGTTGGGCCTGGTTGGGACTGATTGGAATGGAAGCGTCAAAAGGAATACCTTCTAAGAGTTTTGTTCCAGGAAAATGTAAGACGGAGGGAGGTGAGATGCTGGGTAGTCAAAAGTAAGGGTGTAGTTTGGGAGTAACTCCCCTTATTTTATTTTATTCTAATTTTGGTTAATAGGGTGCTTGGGCATGACGGAAAGCACATCACCAGGGTGTTCCCCAGCCAACCGTCATCTCAATTTGCTCAGAGACCCAGATTTTCACCTCTACATATAAATCAGCATATGGAACTTGTATACAAAGTTGTGTCAATAGTCCAAGCGCAAAGCATTTTAGGTACCTACCTAAATGCCCCTCGTCACCTGCCAGGTGACAGACCTCAAAGTCAGGTGAGGAAATAGTGCAAATTTAGCTAAAGCAGCAAACATTACTGCTGCGGTTTTCCTGGGTGGTGGGGGAGAAGCAGCTGGACAAGAGGCAGTGTGAATAATCTGCCAGCCCCCACATATCCCAACTCTGATCTAATTAACAGCCCTATAACTTGAAATCACTACCGATAGCCAAAAGCAATCAGAGGGTGTGTGCGCCAATTTAGAAAATACTCCCTTATTTAAAACACTTGATAACAGCTGTCAGATGCCCGGGTGCAGATGGGCATCAGAAGCAAAAAAACTTCCTAAATCTGGCCCGCAGGGAGGAGGACTTTTCTTGTTCACTTGGGTCGTACAGATCTTGATCCAATAGCAGAGGGCAGTCATTGTTTACAACAGATTCCCTCACTTCCTTCAGCAACTGGATTCTCTCCTGGTATCCAGGCTTCAGATCCTGCTCTTCTGAAATGATGAGCAGGTCAATGTATTCTTGAGTGGAGAGCGGGTTGGGCTTCAACCCAATTTGATGCAAGCGCTGGAGGCTTTGAGATGATTTCTGGATGAGGTCTTCTAAGGCTTGCTTAGCCTCTTTGTATTCCTGGTTGAGATTTCCAAGCACCTTCTCTGGGGTCATCGCCTCTCCAGAGGCGTCTTCATACTTTTGCTTCAACTCATCATAGGACTTAATCTCTTTTGTTACTTTATATTCAAACAGGTATTTCTGATTGAAGTGCATGTTCCACACGCAGCGGCCGGGACAGACATTGCATTTTCCCGTATTTGCATTGATAGCTACACAACGGCGCTTGCCCTCATCTCTCCGGATCGGGCAAGGATAATGGCAGGTGTAGTGACAGTTCATGCAGTTGGTTGTGAATCTTCCAGCGGCAGAGATGTCTTCCTTCCGTGGCACAGATTTTTCTACTTCAAACTCAAAGTTTATGTTGGCTGCCATCTCAGACTTGTGTTCATCCAGAGCTTGTCTCGTCTTCCTCAACTCTTCCAGCTTTCCAAGGGCAGCTCTGATTTGGGGCTGCAATCCTTCCGTGATGGCTTCTAGCTCCTTCCGTTCCCTGAGCACTTCCTTCGACAGAGTTAAGCTTTCACTGTCAAGTAAGCTTAACGTGTCAAAAAAATGTCTTCATGCTTGCGGTGCTCATTTTCCAGAACTTGTCATTAGGATTTAGGTTCCCTTCATTCTCTTCAGAATTGTTGGCAAACAGAGCTGAATTGTTGAATTTGAAGTGAACTGGGCTACCACTGGAATCTTTAATGCATGGCACATCCTCCTTCTTCATGGCTTCCAAAACAGGAAGAGAATGTCCATCTGCAAAGGTGATCAGGATCTGGATGTTGTTCCTTATATCTTTCCCAAAAATGGAGAGCACAGAGTCAAAGACGTATTTCTGGGCACGAGTTAAGGCAGCACTGGAGGCCTGAAGTACAATACAGATGACATCGACATGATCCGTTCCTCCCGGGGTGGAGAAAAACTCCCGGATCTGCTTTGTTATCTGTTTGTACTTCTTCCTACCTTCCATGTCTCCAAATCCTGGAGTGTCAATGAAAGTGAGAGAATAAGGGACTTCAAAACCCTTCTGGTGGTGCACTACGTAGGCGGTCACTTCTGAGGACTGACTTTCAGCCTGAATGAGTTTGAATCGGAAATCATCTTCCCATTGCACACCCAGGATATGATTGATCATGGCATTGACGAGAGTGGTTTTCCCTGACCCTGTTGCCCCCATCATCACGATTACTTTGTTGGGGACCTGCAGGTTCTCTTTTCCTAGCTGGTATGTTTGGATGGGGGCCGATCTATCTGAGGTGGCCTCCAGGGGAAGTACATACACGGATGGTTGCCCATCTTCCACCAGGGTGCTTTCCTGGAGGTATTTTCGAGCTAGTATATTTGCCCTGTCTTCTTCTTCTTCCATTGCTGTGGAAATCTCAGTCTCTTCGCTGGGCTCACTCTCAGCCCCATCAAAACATACAGCGGAGACTCTGAGTCTGTAGGTTCTGTGAGGCTTCAGCCCATCCAGCTGACAGCACTCTGTTCTTGTCCCTGTTCTTTTTTCTTTCCATCTGTCCTTATCGCCCACCAGCCCCCTGTACTCCACTTTGTACTCCTTTATATCAGCTCCAATGACCTTTGGGCTCTCCCAGAGAAGACTGATTTTGGAAGACTCTGCAATTATCACTCTCGGTTTCCCAGGAGGGCTGGTAGGAAGTGTCTTTACAGATCTACTCAAATCACTAGTCTCACTAAGTCCTGGTTTGCTCCTAGCAGTGTATCGAAACTGGTATTCTGAGTCCGGCCTCAACCCTTTCACGTGGAATGTCTCCTGACTGTTGTCTGTATTCACAATCTCCCAGTTTCCTTCTCCTGCAGTCTTGTATTCTACCTGATAGCTGGAGATTGAAGCCCTCCCATACTCTGCGGGTTGAAATGTCAGCTGCACATGGTCATGTCCAATTCGGCCAACCAGGGGAGGGAGAGGTTTTGAGGGCAGCTCAAAGTTGCTGTTGACCATCTCCCCATCTTCATAGAGGTAAATGGAAGCTCCTGGGTTGTCCTGATCTGGGACAGAAGCCACAAGGAACCGGGTCTTCCCATTGGATTCATTGACTTGGGCAAAATCAACAATGGACTTGGCAGCTTTCCGAGCTTTTCTCTGTATGTCTTTTCGCTCAAACCAAGCATGCCAGTCCCCCAGTGCATTCTGGACTCCTGTAGGATCTGCTGATCGTTTCTGAAGAAAGTGTTGTAAGCTGGTTAAAAATGGTTCCTCATCATGTAAAGAGGTGAATGTAAATGAGACAACAAATTCATTCTGGTGGTTAAGCACTACCTCTTCCAGTTTATTCTGGGAGGAGATGGTTTCTATCCCACTCAGGATATCAAGGTAAGACTTGACCATATTTATCTCTCGTTCCTTGGTGTCCAAAAATTCATTGAGTCTTTGTCCATTGAAGGGTGATTGATTTATGGATGTTAAGATGTCTACCAGAACTCTTTCCTCTTTCCCCCCTCCCCGGATCAAAGGCAAGATTCCTGCCAGATCTTGCTGGAAAGTCTGCCTGTGTTGCTTGCAGAAATCCTGGAATCTCTTGATTTTCAACTTTATTTCTGGGAAGGTGCTAGCAATGGGATTAGCAGCCAGATCATTGCATCTCATATCGATTTCACTCAGTTGCTCCATGACGGTTTGGGCATCATAGATGAGTGCTAAGCTGATCTCACGCACCATCTTAGCTGCTTTGGAATCCAGCTTGGTCAGTGGGTACAGCCAAACTCTGACAGGCACAGCCTTGTCCCCATTGGTACCCAGCATTTTGGGCAGAGCAGTGTAGACTTTCATGGCATCTTGAAAAGTCACTGGATTGCTCTCCAGAGAAAAATCTCCATAGAACTTGCAGTTGAACTGACTTGCATGGTTTCTTTCCTGGTCGTTCATGTGGAGGGCTGCCTCGCCTTCAATAGTGACCATCTTCTGTATCATAACTTTGAGGCTTCCTTGGATGTCTTGCACGGACTCGGAAGAAGAGACATTTCGGTCAAACACAAAGAAAGCCTGGGCTCCATACAAGATGGCAGTGACAACGTGGGTGGCTGTGCCATGGTCGAAAACTGCTGGATAAGAGACATTTTGGATTCCCAAATGGCTCATGGTCAGCTGTGAGTACTTGGTGGTAACTTTGTACTGCAGAGTGACTCTGGCCTGTTGCTTGGACTGCTTGGTGTCTTGAAGGTACTTGGCTGACCCTTCCACTTTAACCATTCCACCCAAAAAGCTGGCCTTGAGAGATGCAGAGACATTGAGGGCAGAGGCCTTATCATCGATGGAGTCAGAAGCAATGATCTCAGATTCCGTCTTGGGCTGGGGTTTGATATCCAGGTCCTTCTGAAGGGAGTCTTGGTCCCAAAGGGTGATTCCTGGAATCAAACAGAGAAACAACCACACAAGGTTTTAGTGATGTTCAGATAAATATCGATCCCCTCTATCCAAAACGCTTAAGCCTGCATAGGGAAATAGTTGTGTTAAAAGTGGCCCCATAGAGCCATCGTTGCCCAGGATGGGGCACACATTTCTTTTCTCCCATTATCATCCCCGCTTGAGCAGTTTTGTGCAGCTTTGTAAAGGTTTCCAAAATGACTCCTAAGCCGTTTGACCAGAGATGATTCAGGGTCTCGCCCCACTTTCCCTTGACCTTTATTTTGATTGTATCATGTGCCAATTAATTCCACCAGGGTCCGAGAGCTTTTCTCGTTGCTCCATTGCTGTGATTGCCAAAACCCGATCTTAGCCACTGAATCAGATCTTATTAGATGCATGGATTAGATGCAAAGAGAGATTGTGCTGAACTGAGCTTCAGTTAGTGGCTGAGATCGGCTTTTGCAAGTCACACCTGCCAAAGAACAAGGAAAGCTCTCGGACCCAGAGATCTGTACAGAAAATATGGGTCAAGCGAAAGTATGGATGAGCCCTGATTTGCCACCTTCATCGCTCTCAGAAGATGGATTTGTTTCTCTTCATAGCTGAGCATAGGGAAACTCTCTCCTGTTCCCCGTTCTGATCTTCTATTTCAACCAAGAATACCTTTTTTTGTGTGTCCCCTCCGCAAGAGGTCCAGAGGGTGGCAACACGAGAACGGGGCCTTTTCTGCAGTAGCTCCATTTGTGGGATTCTCTCCCCAGGGATGCTCGCCTGGCACCACCATTACATATCTTTAGGTTCCAGGCAGAATCTTTTTTTTTTATTTTTTATAATGATATTTATTAAGGTTTCAAAGAAAAGATTACATAGATAAGAAGAAAAGAAAAAAAGAAAGAAATAAAAAAGAAAAAATACAAAATACAGAAAAAAGATAAAAAACACATCAATCTTTCCATGCCTTACATTTCATTTCCTTGCTTCCCTGACCTCCGCACACCTCCCTTTTTTGTATTCCACTTCAATTAGTTAATTAGTTAATTAGTTAATGCTGTTGTGGCATACATAAAGAAAGTTCTGTCCTTCTTTGGCACCAATTGGCTGACCATGCCCAGGAGAAAGGCCTCTGGTTTCTTCAGGAAGGTATATTTATATACCTTTTTCATTTCGTTATAAATCATCTCCCAGAAAGCCTTAATCCTTGGGCACGTCCACCAAAGGTGAAAGAATGTACCTTCAGTTTCTTTACATTTCCAACATTTATTATCGGGCAAATGATAGATTTTTGCAAGCTTGACTGGTGTCATGTACCACCTGTATATCATTTTCATAATATTCTCTCTTAAGGCATTACATGCCATAAACTTCATACCTGTGGTCCATAACTGTTCCCAGTCAGCCATCATTATGTTATGACCAACATCTTGTGCCCATTTAATCATAGCAGATTTTACCGTTTCATCCTGAGTATTCCATTTCAACAGCAAGTTATACATCTTTGACAAAATCTTAGTTTTGGGTTCTAACAGTTCTGTTTCTAATTTTGATTTTTCCACCTGGAAGCCAATTTTCTTGTCCAAATTGTATGCCTCCATTATCTGATAATAATGAAGCCAGTCTCGCACTTTGTTTTTTAGTTTCTCAAAACTCTGCAGTTTCAATCTATCTTCCAGGCAGAATCTTTATAACCAGGTCTTTGGCCTCAAACTATCTGTGGCCTTTTAAAAGGGGGTGTTTTAACTGTATCTTTCCCTATTGTTTTTCATGTATCTTTGTGGGGTTTGGGCAGGGCTGTCTTAAGCTTTATCCGGTGCCGTGGTGCAAAGCTCCCTCCGCCCCTCCTCCCCCCCTTTTCCCAGAGTTTTTTAGGGAGGACAGCACTGCTGGTGGGGCTGGAGGAGGCGGGCAGCGGCTGGAGGGTGGCTCCTCCGGTGGGGAAGAAGCGGAGGCTGGCCGCTTTGTGCCACGGCAGACGGAGGCTCCGGGCATGGCGCTGCTTCGGCGCGCCATGGTGAGGGCAGCGAGCTGATGCCGCGTCCAGCCTCCGCCTCTTCCCTGGCGCCCTCCAGAATTTGGCGCCCTGGCGCCCCTGGGTAAGACGCCCCTGGGTTTGGGCTTCTTTTGGCTGGTTGTAAGTTGCTTGGAGTTGCCTTGGGCTACATAAAGTGACTAACAAATTTAATAAACGATCATCATCATAAGTGATGCATCTTGCCACTAACACTGGTTTGTTGGAATAATCTGTATCCCCTCCAACATTTTTCCAATGAAAATAGGGCCATACTACCATACCCTCCCATATCGCTCTCATGAAAATAGAGGTTTTTGACCTTTTTGAGCCCACGACTCCCTTGACCATCTACATGTTTAGCTGGTGATATATCACGATGTTGAAAACCAGACATCGCTCAGCCCAAACTAGGCATGGTTAAGACCTCCATTCATTTCAATGAGTCTAACTGTAGTTGCGGTTGTTATATTTCATTTATTCCTAAGATCACTGAACAGGTCACAAAGCTGTTGACAGAACTATCAAAAAAACCATTCCATCAGTCCTATAACATGATATATAAAACAATAAAAACCACACATTAAAGGACTGTAAAAGTAGAGATTTTGCCAAAAACTCTTTTGGATCATAATTCAATTTTAATGAAGTTAAGAGGGACAGACAATTCATTGTTTAGGTGGAGAATGAACGAAGGACTGTTGGAAAATCAGAAAATTATCGAGAAAGCACAAAAGACCCTAAAATATTATTTTGAATTAAATCTGAAAAGAGAAACGGAGATAGACATAGTATGCCCTCTTCCTAAATGAACAAATAATTGAGCAAGTGAGACATATATACAGTGGTATCTTGGTACTCAAACGCCTTGGTTCCCAAATGCCAAAAATCCAGAAGTAAGTGTTCCAGTTTGCAAACGTTTCTCGGAAGCCGAACGCCCGATGCGACTGTCAGCTGTTGCTTCTGGGGCACCTGCACTAATCAGAAGCTGCGTCTTGGTTTCCGAACATTTCAGAAGTCAAACGGACTTCTGGAATGGATTAAGATTGGCACTTTTGTTTTTGCTATTTATTTTGCATTTTTGTTTTTAATAAAAGCCCCCCATTCAAACAATGACTGTCATCAGTGCAGGTAAGAAAAATGTATTATTATTATTGTTGTTGTTCTTATCATCTACAATACTGTCTTATTTATTTTATAGTACAGCACATTGATTATTGCTTTCATTTTATGGACCAATAGTCTTGTTGGATACTAAAATTCATGCTAAATTGCTGTTTTAGGGGTTGTTTTTAAAAGTCTGGATCGGATTAATCCGTTCTGCATTACTTTCTATGGGAAAGCGCGCATTGGTTTTGGAACGCCTTGGTTTTGGAACGGACTTCCGGAACAGATTAAGTTTGAGATCCAAGGTACCACTGTACGATACATTTAAATCAAGCCCCCTAGTCCTGGGAACTTCATTTTGTTACGGGTGCTGAAATTGTAGCTCTGTGAGGGTAGAAAACAGTTCCCAGGATCCTTTTTGGAGGGTGGGGGCGTTTATGCACCCAAAGTCTCTCCGTATTTCATATGCCACATGAAATACCATTTTCTGCCCCAGACGTCCCACCCAAAGTGATCTCCCCACCTCTCTGCCAGCTTTACCTGGGATCAGGGAGTCTTTGCGGCAGTCGTACAGCATTCCCAGCTGGAACGGGCGGCCCAGGGCCGGGATGTCAATGGTGCTGTCTGTTCCCGCCATGGCTTAGGTCACGCTGCTCTCCCACTTCCACTTCCCTGCAAGAAACAGGAGCTGTGAAGGAGCCAGGGCAGACTTTGAAGCACGAGGAGGACTAGCGACACCATCAAGAGGGGTGCCAGCAAGGCTGGAACCAAAAAAAGGGGGGGGAATGTTGCATAGTGAAATAAGATGCTTATTTCAGCGGGTGGCGCTGTGGGTTAAACCACAGAGCCTAGGGCTTGCCAATCAGAAGGTCTGCGGTTCGAATCCCCGCGACGGGATGAGCTCCCGTTGCTCGGTCCCTGCTCCTGCCAACCTGGCAGTTCGAAAGCACGTCAAAGTACAAGTAGATAAATAGGTCCTGCTCCGGTGGGAAGGTAAACAGCATTTCCATGTGCTGCTCTGGTTTGCCAGAAGCGGCTTAGTCATGCCGGCTACATGACCCAGAAAAACTGTCTGCGGACAAATGCCGGCTCCCTCGGCCAGTAAAGTGAGATGAGCGCCACAAACCCAGAGTCATCTGCGACTGGACCTAACGGTCAGGGGTCCCTTTACCTTTATCCAAGAAGATGCCAGATGGAGCCAGCTTGTTTTCTGCTGCTCCAGAGGGCAGGACTGAACCAGAGGATTCAAATGACAGGATTCTGGCTAAACATTATAAAGTAACTTTGTGAGGGTGAGAACTGTTTGACAGTTCCATTGGAACCAATTCCCTTGGAAGGCTAGACTTTCTTTCATCTGGGTCAAAGGCTCCGTTTGACACCCCCTCCCCATGTTTGCACATGCATGCACACCTCAACAACTTTGTATTTGGTTTGATGAACCTAAAACATGGCCAGTTTTGAGAAAGGAAAAAAGAAAAAGTGTGCTAATGCCTGTGGTTTGAAAGAGGCTGAAGAAAATATAGTCTATCCAAATAGTAAAAAGTGTGTGTGTGTGTGTGTGTGTGTGTGTGTGTGTGTGTGTGTGTCTGGCTTTCATTCAGCCTTAAGTAGATCTCCTAACAGGGTCATGGGTTCAAGCCCCACATTGGGCAAAAGATTCCTGCATTGCAGGGGGTTGGACTAGATGACCTCGCGGTTTCTTCCAACTGTATGATTCTGTGATTCTCTTTTACTAAAGCCGGGGAGCAATCTGGATCAGGGCCCTGGCATTGGCATGATGAATCTGGCACACGAAGCCCTTCCTATAACGTTGAAGGAAAAGGTCACCACTTTGCATTCTGCAATTGCGATGCCTCAGCAGCCAGGCATGTCTTGGGAACTGCAGGGAGTGTTGATTCCTTTTTTGTAAATGGAGCCTGACACCGTCTACTCAGTGGAGCTTACTCCCAGGTAACAGGGTCAAGAATGGGCAGCCTTACAACTGAATCCAAAGCATTTAGACTCCAAACTAAGTCCCACTGAGTTCTATAGGATTTACTCTCTGGTATGTTCTTGATCATGATCACAGTTTATATCATCATCATCATCATCATCATCATCATCAGGGCTTTTTCCCCCAGCCAGAATCACCTGCACTTCTCAGGTGGGCAACATTGCCATTATAAGAGAACAAGGAAGGTGTTCACCTCTTTTTTTCAGGAAAAGAGCAATTATTATTATTATTATTATTATTATTATTATTAGTGCTTTTTTCTAAAAAAATGTTTAGGGGTATTCTCATGGAGTCAAATGGTGACTCAAGAAAATCACCATTTTATACTTCAAGTCAGGCGAAATAAAAACAGTAAATGGACAAAAGTACAAAGATTCACAAAATGTTTAGGGGTATGTGTACCCCTGCATACCCCCAGAAAGAAACACTGATGATGATGATGATGATGATGATGATGATGATGTTTACTCACCTTTTCCCTGACAGGGACTCAAGGCATCTTACAGCTAAAATCATATTTCAGTCCATTTATCTGTTGAAAGTGTTGTACACGACCCTTTCCCCTGTACATTTTTTCCTTACAACAATCCTGTGAGGTAGGTTTGGCGGAGAGGTTGCAATTGTCTCAAGGTGTCTCTATTTTCACCTGAGAAACAAGGAGGGTATGAAAGGAGGGCCTGCGATCTGATCTGATCTGAGTTCCCCAGCAGGCACAGTCCAAAGAGGGTCAGGGAGATACTTGTTCCTTGGTCATTTAGGGCTTTGAAGGTCATAGCCAACACCTTGAATGGAGCTGGAAGCAAAGTGGTGATCACTCATCGTAATTTGGGAAACCTGCAGACAGGATTGGAGCGCAAGAGCCCCCTCTCCTCCTGGTGGCCATCACAGCCCCTTGTGGCAGGGAGTTCCATAGTTCTAGCTACGCGCTGCCCTGAAAAAAGTGCCCAAGAGAGCAAGAATTTGCCCGGCTAGCTTCTCAGCAAGACCAGAGTTCCTGCAAACATACATTGCAGGAAAATGCTGCTGCAGCGAGGGCTGGGGGATATATCAATATATCGTCCAAAATGGGTTTGAAGTCCCTATTGTGATATCAGTTTCATAATTTCTGAGCTGGCAGTCATGACATGCATGTGTGTAATGCAAAAAATCACAATGTGGGGAAAACCGTGAAGCCAGCCAATTCCTTTACATAGGTTGCTCCATCCTTATTTCAGACATTGTGATATATTGGTATATGGCGATATTTAGCTGGTGGTGTATGTGGGAAACCAGATATCTCTCAGCCCTAGCTGCAGCTGCAGTCATTAAAATGCAAGTTTATTTTTTATAATTTTTAATGAGTTTTTTGGGGGGAAAATATATATATAAAACAAAATGATTTCCAACATTGCAATACAGAGTTCTTTCGAACCCTTAGACCTCCTTTCCCCCCTCCATGGATTCCATCTTTAAGATTAAATTTACTGCGTCTTTTACCCTTATCTATCTATTATATAACAATATTTACAAAAAATATTCCACAAGTGTCTTTATTTTGAAATCCTTAAGATAATATTTTAGTTTTCTGTTAATTGTGTTGCTTTGACTGTATACTATATTTGACTTTCTTCAGATTGTTTTGTTGATGTTTTAATATTCTGTAAACCGCTTTGAGATTTTTCTTAAAAATATAAAGCGGTATAGAAATGAAATAAATAAATAAATAAATAAATAATTTACCTGCCACCTCCCCCCCCCCAAGGAGCTCAAGGCAGTCTGCATGCTTCTCCTGTCTCCCCTTTATCCTCACAACATCCCTGCAAGGAAAGTTAGGCTGACCCCGTGAGCTTCATGACTCAGTGGGGATTTTTACCTGGGTCTCCTGGGTCCTAGTCCAGCACTCTAACCATTGCCCCACACTGTTGGTGTCCTCTTTCAGTATCCCAAATTGAATGGATAACAGCCTTCACACAAGAGGAACGCTGAGCATTTCTAAGCAATACTTTCCCTCCGCCTTTCAGGTACTTACCAAGGCTGTGGAAATCAGAGGAATCTCAAGATTTTTTCGCGTCGTCTTGAGGAAACCTACAAAAGATGTGCGTCTCCTCTTTGGCCCAAGTCTGTTTCAAGGCACACAGACCACTTCTCCTTTTATCTGGTTGATAATGAAAGTTTACGTGTAGGCAAAAAACATGCCTTGCATGAGAAGGAAGTCAAGAGATTGTATGAACTAGTTGCAGTGCTCAGCATTCTGCCCTCAAAAGCCTCTAGCGGTGATCTCCCCACAAGGATGGGCCCCTGCACTAGGGAGTACATGTATTTGTGGGGCGTTGTTTCCATGCGGCATCCATGCGCTTTGGGTTCCATTGACCCAAATGCAGCCTCCCTTTCTCCACCGAAGGCCCGTTTGTAGTATGTGTATTTTAAAAACGTCTCTTCTGCGCAGAAGTGCTCTTACACAAATAGCTTTTGGAGTCCTGTGAGTGCTGGAGTCATGTCTAGTCATGTTGTTGTTTAGTCGTTTAGTCGTGTCCGCCTCTTCGTGACCCCCTGGACCAGAGCACGCCAGGCACTCCTGTCTTCCACTGCCTCCCACAGTTTGGTCAAACTCATGCTGGTAGCTTCAAGAACACTGTCCCACCATCTCGTCCTCTGTCGTCCCCTTCTCCTTGTGCCCTCTATCTTTCCCAACATCAGGGTCTTTTCCAGGGAGTCTTCTCTTCTCATGAGGTGGCCAAAGTCTTGGAGCCTCAGCTTCAGGATCTGTCCTTCCAGTGAGCACTCAGGGCTGATTTCCTTCAGAATGGAGAGGTTGGATCTTCTTGCAGTCCATGGGACTCTCAAGAGTTTCCTCCAGCACCAGAATTCAAAAGCATCCATTCTTCGGGGATCAGCCTTCTTTATGGTCCAGCTCTCACTTCCATACATCACTATTGGGAAAGCCTTAGCTTTAACTATACAGTGGTACCTCGGGTTACATATGCTTCATGTTACAGACTCCACTAACCCAGAAATATTACCTCTGGTTAAGAACTTTGCTTCAGGATAAGAACAGAAATTGTGCTCTGGCAGCGCGGTGGCAGCAGGAGGCCCCATTAGCTAAAGTGGTGCTTCAGGTTAAGAACAGTTTCAGGTTAAGAATGGACCTCCAGAACAAAGTACTTAACCCGAGGTACCACTGTACGGACCTTTGTTGGCAAGGTGATGTCTCTGCTTTTTAAGATGCTGTCTAGGTTTGTCATTGCTTTTCTCCCAAGAAGCAGTTGTCTTAATTTTGTGACTGCTGTCATCATCTGCAGTGATCATGGAACCCAATAAAGCAAAATATCTCACTGCCAATTTCAATCTGTTACCCTCGAGGATGTGGACAGGCTGCTTGGACGAGTGAAATCGCCCACCTGTCTCCTTGATCCTTGCCCATCCTGGCTAATAAAAGCGAGCCGGGAAGGGCTGGGCGATGGGCTCTGCGGGGTGGTGAATGCTTCCCTCTGTGAGGGAGCCTTCCCAGACCCGCTGAAAGAGGCAGTCATTAAATCGCTTCTTAAAAAAAAAATCTTTAGACCCGGCCAATAAGGCCAACTATCACCCAGTCTCAAATCTTCCATTCTTGGGCAAGGTGATTGAGCGGGTGGTTGCCGAACAACTCCAGGCACGCCTGAAGGCTG